GTTTTTTTTTAGGAGTACAGTACTTCCATGTACCATATAAGTGTTTACTGCTAGGTATTCACAGGAAAGAAGTGTCCGTCTTGCCATGGGAATCAAACCCATGCCATTTCAGATGTGAACCAATTTATTGGCCACTGATGTATCTTTTTTTAGGAGTACAGTACTTCCATGTACCATATACGTGTTTACTGCTAGGTATTCACAGGAAACAAGTGTCCGTCCTGCCATGGGAATCAAACTCATGCCATTTCAGATGTGAACCGATTTATTGGTCACTGATGTATCTTTTTTTAGGAGTACAGTACTTCCATGTACCATATACGTGTTTACTGCAAGGTATTCACGGGAAACAAGTGTCTGTCCTGCCATGGGAACCAAACTCTTGCCATTTCGGATGTGAACCGATTTATTGGTCACTGATGTATCTTTTTTTAGGAGTACAGTACTTCCATGTACCATATAAGTGTTTACTGCTAGGTATTCACAGGAAACAAGTGTCCGTCCTGCCATGGGAATCAAAGCCAGGCATTTTTGTAATGCTTGAATTACAGGCATAATGATGTCTTATACAGTACTGCCTTGGGAATCAAACCCATGCCATTTTGGATGGGAACTGACTTAATGGCCCCTTGATGTATCGAGGGTATTCTCAGTTTTTTGGAGTACTGTACTGTACTGTACAGTACTTCCATGTATACCCGTTTACTGCTACGTATGTTCAGGAAACAAGTGTCTTGTCCTACCATGGGAATCAAACCCAGGCATTGCTGCCTGTGAACCAAATTACTGTGCCACAGGATTCAATATGCCAACTAGGTTTGGTAATAAAGCTTAGCTTTTGAATCTCTGACATTTTACCCACTGGTTTTAAGGTTCTGACTTTGACTGGTTGGGTTTAAGCTTTTTTGCTTCAATAATATCTTCTTGGAGCTAATAATTTTAATTGGCCTGCAGTTTTTTTTTTACGCAGTGCCATGTGATGCTTCACTATTTTGAGTGAGACATGGTTTTCCCATTGTCTCCTGGTTTTAACTTGCAAGGGCTTGGACACAAGCACCTTCTCACTATTGGGACATCATTTTAGAGAACTAAATTTGTTTGCTCCCTCATGACTTGCATCCTATATTGTGAAAAGTTATCACAATAGTTCAAGCTTTATGCTTATAACCTTGTCGTTGACAAGAAGCCTTTCTATATGGAGGCACATTCTTATTTTTATTTTATTATTTTTAGTTTACACCATTTTACATGCATGTGATTTCCTTGGATTCTCTTGGTTATCCATGTATGGCACTTATTATTTTCTTTACTGTTTATTTAACCATTAATTTATTTTAAGTTTTGCATTAATTTTTATTTTCACCAACCCCGTCACTCCTTGTGGGTGGCCGTCAGCATATCGCCTTCGGGCGAGCATGATTCACGGTGATAACCTAGCTATCATCGGGAATCCCAAAGTAACCTTCGGTGCGTGGTTTAGGGTTCCACGTAACGTCGAAGCAGTGTTTTCGACGGACGATTAACCCTGGTCCGGCCCAATAGTCGCAGACCTCATCGTGGTGGGCCGGTGAACATGGAATATCACATTGTTGTTAGGGTATTCCATGGCCAACTTGCGACTTAGTTAGCTATTTTTGTTGAGCATGGAATGTCACACTACTGTACATATTCCATGGCCAACTTAATTAAGACTATTAGTTAGCTAATTTTGTCAGTTTTTTTTTTACCTAACAATTTTTATAATGTACCTCAATAGAGTACTTACTATTTTTGTACTAATTTTGTCAATGTGTCTTTAAACATAAAAATTCTTGTACTGTACGTCTGTACAGTATCTTCTATGATAATGTTTTATGTAGATTATTGTAAATATGAGATTGTTTATTCTCATCCATAGGTATTGGAACTGTATGTATATATATGTGTGTGTGTGTATATATATATATATATATATATATATATATATATATATATGTCGTACCTAGTAGCCAGAACACACTTCTCAGCCTACTATGCAAAGCCCGATTTGCCTAATAAGCCAAGTTTTCCTGAATTAATATATTTTCTCTAATTTTTTTCTAATGAAATGATAAAGCTACCCATTTCATTATGTTTGAGGTCAATTTTTTTTTATTGGAGTTAAAATTAACGTAGATATATGACCGAACCTAACCAACCCTACCTAACCTAACCTAACCTATCTTTATAGGTTAGGTTAGGTTAGGTAGCCGAAAAAGTTAGGTTAGGTTAGGTTAGGTAGGTTAGGTAGTCGAAAAACAATTAATTCATGAAAACTTGGCTTATTAAGCAAATCGGGCCTTGCATAGTAGGCTGAGAAGTGCGTTCTGGCTACTAGGTACGACATATATATATATATATATATATATATATATATATATATATATATATATATATATATATATATATATATATATATATATATATATATATATATATATATATATATATATATATATATATATATATATATATATATATATATATATATATATATATATATATATATATATATATATATATATATATATATGTCGTACCTAGTAGCCAGAACGCACTTCTCAGCCTACTATGCAAGGCCCAATTTGCCTAATAAGCCAAGTTTTCATGAATTATTTGTTTTTCGACTACCTAACCTACCTAACCTGACCTAACCTAACTTTTTCTGCTACCTAACCGAACCTAACCTATAAAGATAGGTTAGGTTAGGTTAGGTAGGGATGGTTAGGTTCGGTCATATATCTACGTTAATTTTAACTCTAATAAAAAAAATTGACCTCATACATAATGAAATGGGTAGCTTTATCATTTCATAAGAAAAAAATTAGAGAAAATATATTAATTCAGGAAAACTTGGCGTATTAGGCAAATCGGGCCTTGCATAGTAGGCTGAGAAGTGCGTTCTGGCTATTAGGTACGACATATATATATATATATATATATATAATGTCGTACCTAGTAGCCAGAACGCACTTCTCAGCCTACTATGCAAGGCCCGATTTGCTTAATAAGCCAAGTTTTCATGAATTAATGTTTTTTCGATTACCTACCTAACCTAACCTAACTTTTTCGGCTACCTAACCGAACCTAACCTATAGAGTTAGGTTAGGTTAGGTTAGGTAGGGTTGGTTAGGTTCGGTCATATATCTACGTTAATTTTAACTCCAATAAAAAAAATTTGACCTCATATATAATGAAATGAGTAGCTTTATCATTTCATAAGAAAAAAATTAGAGAAAATATATTAATTCAGGAAAACTTGGCTTATTAGGCAAATCGAGCCTTGCATAGTAGGCCGAGAAATGCGTTCTGGCTACTAGGTACGACATATATATATATATATAATCTAATTAATCATACATATTTAATATCTGAACATATTGTATTGATAATATTTTTTTAAGTGATGGTAGCTGAAATTTTGGATTTTTAGAAAAAAATTAAATTCTTCCCTGATCCAAATTTTTTACATCAGATTCGAGAACATTTTGGGAAATATGGACATATTTCAACAGTACTGTAAAGACAGGACACTGGTTTCAACATACAGGCCCAGGGTAAGGGACAAATAAAAGGCACTTAAGCTCGGGTGTAACCCAGAATGGTGCAGAGGCAGAGGAGTTAGCATAACAGCCATATTCGACTTTACACATCACAATGTAAATATAAGAGTGAATGTGTATCAGCTCACCAGAAAATATGGAAAAAAAGACTTAAAAATCCAAATCTGCCAATTATGAGCTTGTGTTTACCTTGTAACAAGGTGAACTTATTAATCTGTTTACCTTGTGAACCTGTGTATAAAAGTGTCTTGATTGTTCACTACATATCCTGACAATGATACCATACCTAATAGTTGGTTAATTTATTAATTTTACACCCTATACCCATCCTGCTTAGACATTATAGCTGCAGGAGTCTTTGAGAATGGTTGTTCTGATTGATACTGTATTCAGAAGAAAGTCTTGCACAGAACAAAAAATCTAAATAAATTTTAGTTATAACTCATGTTGTTTGTACTTCCCTACGACAGGAAAAAAATGAAGGTGAAAGACTGTTGATGACGAAATCATGTCACTGGGGCCTGAAATTGTTTGCGATTAGATGCACTAAAGAGCATTTCACCTGATTGTGAGAAAGAATTGGTATCAAGGATACTGGGATTCTGAGTAAGTTACTTCCCCACCCATACTACATCAAAGTGGAATTCCTTCTTAGAACTTAAGTGACAGTGAAATAGACTGACTGGAATGCTGTCAGGACTGCAAGTGGGAGGCATCTTAAAAAAAAACTAAAGTATGAACCTGTCCTGTGACCTTTAGCATTTCTCTCATATATTTACTAAATGGAGTGTGCAGTGGTGTGGTGCCTAGATCTCTCTGCACACCTTTTGTGTCTTTCTTTAGTCTTGCTGTATCATCAATACACACTATTGTTATCGACATAAACATCTTCAGACCATCTCCTGAATCCAATAAACGTGCACATCTTCCTTGTCTCTCATCATCACTGTAACCAATTTTCCTACATTATCTCCATCATTGTAACTAGGCTGCACCGAGAATGCAAATCTGTGATCTGAATATACATTTTACTTTTAAATACAGTATCTGAATATTAAAATATTTAAACAAATTATAAAATCTGTGTACTCTAGGTAGAATATTTTACATCTGACTTTGTGAAGGGTGTGCATAAGGGCTGACACTCCATCAGGTGGGGCACGGGGTCTGACTCCAACCCATCCCCCTATGACACTCCATAAAATCCATACAAGGATAGACTTGTTAGAAAGTAGAGAGATATGCAAGAATAAAAAATGGTGCAATAAATATTTCAAGGTGAGAACATTATACCGTTTGATGCTGGAAGAAAATGTCACTATAAATTTCCTCAACACATTAAACTACTAGATTGGCTGCAATGCCAAAGTATCAGTAAACATCAATTCATAAGAGGTTAATAGTAAGGAAAATGCAATGTTTTCAGCAAGTTTTACAAAATTTATTAAAAGAAATTATGGAAATACTTTATTTACCAATGTTTAGTTACTAATTTAATAATTTAATGGAGGGAAATTGAACAATAGTGGATGCATCCCAAGCTGTCGCCCATGATAATTAAGATAGACAAAAAGTCAAGATTTGTTAAACTAGAAAAAAAATTATAAATCATATGCACCACTACTTAGGTAAACAAGAATCTAGCTACCTCAACTACCTCCTTGGTACACAAAGTTAACATGAAATAAAGTGGGGAAAAATATGAAGAAAATGGGACTGCAGAAAGTATTTTATAGCAATCGTATGTCGCCAAAACACCATAAAATGTATTGAACACAAAAAACTTCCATCTGATCAGTATAGTAATAAAGACAATAAGTTCTCTGATTGATAAAATTAAAATTATTAAGTTTTCATAAATGAAGATAAAAACATGTAGGCTTTATACTCTAGGTTTACATTGCTACTGGTAACTGTATTAGGTAGAAGATTAATACAGTACAGTACAAATGTTGTAGTCTGGAATGTGTATGACAAAGATATGAATATTCATTAATTAAGTCAGAGAGATCAAGCATCTCATTAATCTAACAACTGAGCATACTCAACACTAATTATCACAAGCTTTATATATTTTTTTCAATTAATGAAGATAGCATTGATTATCCCTCATTTTCCTGTGTGCAAAAATTAGATGGTAAACTAACATCAAACATTTCATGAAAGCCCAGTACAGTACTGAGAACACTAACGTTAATTACATAACCTTATTAACAAGTATTTCTTAGTTGAGTTAAAACAATATATTGCTGATTTAGTATACAGTACATATCCAAATAAATAACTGCTGAATAGTTACAAGGAGAAGTATAGTAGTTCACACTCACTGTCAACATGCATTTTACCATTAAACATTAAGATTTTTATAGTGGAAATCAACTCGAATGAAACAACTGTATCTGGACCCGCCTCCCTCCATTGCATCTAATCCTTGCTACATTTTGGCAAAAATTACTACATGACATTTGTTGTTATTAGTGAAAATAACAATATGATTTAGCATATTTTGATATGAAAATCACTTGTAAAGATAGATTTGTAATTGAAAAAAAATTACATTACAACTTTCAATATTATGCCACTGCCACAACTAGCCTTCTGTCTTTTGATATGGTGGATAATTACAATTATGAGTGGCAGAATAATTTGTTAAGAGAGCTTTTAACATGTTTACAGATTTTCTCTTGAGTGGCCAGATGCATATGATCAGAATCCTTCCATTGCATTTGATGTTCTGTTTGCTGGAACATTTGAGCTGGTTTCCATTTAAATATTGAATTATACTGTACAGTATTTCACTATTGCATACTCATGAGATTTCATCAACTGCTATAAAAAAAGCTTAATTAAATAATTTGACGAATCAACATGCCAACAAAAAATATTAATACTTCGCATTACATGTTGGCCCACACCCGACAACTTTCTGGGCACCTCAATTTCCCACTCAGTGATGCCTAAGATATTTATAGTATATAGTTTTTCTTTTTTATGTTTTCATAGTTTTGGGCTAAAGCTAAAAATTTGATCTCAAAACATGTAAATGAATTTGCTAGAGTATAGATGAAAAATAAAATGCATTTTGATAAATAATGCATAACAGTGCTGAATATACATATGTTTATGAATATTTCAACATTCCTTATATACCTTCAAAATTCCTCTTATTTTAAACTTAATATGGAACTGCACAAAAGTATGGTTTATATTGCTGTAAAAAGAAAAACATTGCTTTGCAAATTATCTGCCAGAAAAAATATAAAAAGTTTTGTCAAAATACTCACAAGCAGAGTAATTAGTCTCAAGTTGGTAGTTGGCTGAGGTGATCTCTAAATGGTCCCCTGATACTTTGGTTGGTATCCTTGTAAACTATGTCCACATTGTGCTAAAAAGATTTGGAAATTGGAGATGGAGCTTGAGCATCATTGGAGCATGGATGATGTGTTTTTGCATCGTCTGAATACTAAATATAGCCTCAGATTTTTCCACCTCATTTCAGTATTTCTCGTCATTTATTATCTCTTGAATGTTTCCTTTTCTAAATATATTTTATACTGTACTTGTTTTTAAATACTTTATTCACAGCAAGCATATGGCTGCCATATCTGACAGTCAAACATGAACATCACTTGAGCAAATGATATGAGTATTGCTACTGTTTTGACACTTGATGAATGGATGATGTATATATCATCACCATTTGGCCTAGAAAGCTTTGTATGTAGTTAATTTGACATACAGTTAGTATAGATGAATATACATATACACCATTTTATTTGACATAAAAATTAAAATATATACATCAATGAATTGGTAAACAAAGAGATCAATATATTGCCAATTTCCTTAAATAAATACTGTATTTGTAAATGTCTTACAATTTAAATAGGTCTGCCACAAACCAACCTTAATTCAATTTTTTTCTAAATCATGCCTTCTATCTATACTGTATACTGACCACGCATTTAACCTTAGATTACTATATATACATTTACAGCATTACAATTTTCCGTATACTGTATATTTATGCATCTGAGTTTCAACAAAATATGAATAAGTAAATTTATACTAATGGGTTTCAATAATTATAGCTCTGCATTTGCTCTGAGAGAACATGGATGATGCACTTAATTTTTCTTTAATACAGTACTGTATTAGAAATCTAGCTATATTAGCTATAATAACATGTAAAATATGATAATTTAATACATCATTCCTTATCTCTCATAATGCTACACATAATTTACTAAAAATCCTGTAATTCAATTGTCACAAAAACCCAATATTTACATAAATAATAATTGAGAATACTACCAAAGTACAGTACAGTACTTATATAAATAAGTATAATATGGCTTGTCTGCAACATAACTGACTCAAATTCTACGGAGAATGTTTACAGCAAAATTGGACCATTAAATGTCAAAATGACTAAAATAAAAATGGATGGTAAATGCTTCCAATTATCAAATACAAATTTACCAATAAAATCACATCAACATATAATGCTACTTATTTCTATATCTTTGATCACTTTAGGAATCCCCTATATTTCAGGGGACATCCTTATGTAGATTCTTCCCCAAATATCTCTGGTTCTTAATGACAAGACACTTGGAAGCAGTGTTAGGTACACTAGTTTGGCTATCACATGCATGAAGCAGTTACCATGACTAGTGACGTGTGGTAAGAATGAGAATTTCCTCAACAACACATACAACTGAAAACAAAAGGAAAGAAACCGAAGACAGGACAGTAGACAGAAAAAGAATTGGTAAGCAGTATTTAATAAGAGGCCAATGAAGAGGTGGAGATTATGCCAATAGGCAATTTACACGAGTACTACTTTGTGGTCTTTATGATGTCAAGAAGGAATTGGAAAGAATTTGTGTTTATTAATTAACTTTCTGTGGTCACTCTGGACTAGACTGAACTTTCCTCCAGTGCCTTTCTAGCATCAATATGACCTAACAGACATACAGTACAGGTATTTGAAAAAAATCCTAGCTGCAATGGTGCAGAATATTACCTTGCATTTTCTAACATGAACCTGTCCAATGGTACCTATAGTGATTTTGCCATAGGGAGCATCTAAGTGGAATAACTCAGAAAATTACCTTTTCAAAGGTAACTGACCTTAAATTTGTTTATCCTTTATTCTACAAAACCTAATAAAAGTTCTGAATAAAAAATTTCTTAGAAAATGACAAGTATTTTCTCTGAATAATTAACTGCATATTTGAAAAATGCATCTTCAACTAACTTACATGTAACTACATGCAGTGTGTGCTATTTCATAGCCAGAGCATAAACCTTTCATTTTAAATAAATTTTCTATTAAGAGCTTAAAAAGCATACTAGAAATGCTAACATTTAGTTACTCTAAATAACTGAAAAATTTTTGAACTTCAGAAGCAATACAGTATTACTACACTCATTTCTATAGCCATACACGGCTCTTTTTACACAAAAAAATTATAAAAATACATTACAAAAAGTCTTAAACTTTTAACAAGAGCTAGTGCTATATTTCAAGATATTATTTAATGGTTTGAAATTTGCTAGGTAAGTTTTAATTTATACAATAACCATCTAAATATTGTACAGCAGTTATCAAAATTGATGATCTCAAGAAATTGTTACTTTCTTCATTACAATTAAATTACTGTGTTCTTAAGAGAACCACGTACAAATAATGTAACATGAAGATGCATAAATTCTATTGTAAATTTTCATATGATTTTAGGATTAATTGAAGTATAAATAAAGGGTTCTCTAGTGATTAATTTATGATGCACGTAAGTGTTTACCTTATACAACACAATTTTATCTATGCATTTATCTCTTTCAACTTTACATTCTGCATATATTTCATACCTTGTCACGTTTCATCATCTCAATTCTCTTATTATTCACATAATCTCTTTATATGCTTAACTCTTATGTCCCATAACAGACAAAGTATGAAAACAGCTTTTTCAACCTAATATGGTGTCACATAAGAGCAAACAAACTCCCAGGGAACAAGAGTAAAATATGAGAACATTTTATATACTCTATACCCAATTATCCTTTACTTATAAAAGAATTTTAATAAGTAGTAAAGCGTGACATGAAATCTCTGGAATCTGAAAGCGGTCTAAATTTGTTATGCCACTAGCATATCTTTGTGCCATTGTTTACACTGAGTATGATATATAGTGTTAAAATATTTTTTTTCCATATTACATCTTAGTTTTCTTAATATCTTATTAATAATGTATTCTTATTTCATTATTTGACTATATTACTAATTATTAATCATTATTTGACTATATTACTAATTATTAATCTCGTCATACTGTACTGCAATAACTTACTATTCATATCACTTCTTATTCTCATAACCTCAACTTAATCTATAATCTCTAAATAATCTAATATTACAGTACTCATATAATAATTTTCTAATAATCTCATATTACAGTACTGTACATTCTTCTTATAATAATGCCCCACTGGGAATCCTTGTGATGGAACTGATAAATTCCTGGTTACTATTGATAAACTCTATTGTAAAGATATAAGAAACAGTTTTACTTCTTAAAAACTGTCTCTGGTGCATAGTCAATAGGAATGTTGATCCCTTTAAGTACCTTTCCCAAGGTCCGTATATACTGCAAATTTGGTCCTTACAAGTCAGTCTAGTTTGGCATTTTTAAGTACTTTGATTGAGAGTTCTTTTATACTCTTTTCCTTATCATTTATTATCATAAATACCCCATTTTCAACTTTCACTGGGTAAGGTGCCATTAATTTAAAGATAGGGAAGCAGCATAGGAAAAAACAAGATTTAAAGATGTTAACAAAATAACAGCCAACTATTTACAACATACAGTAATACTGTATACACTACACAGCATCACAGAGAACTGGCACTGCTACTCTAGCAAATCATCCACTGCAGTACATTACCACTTCATAAGATTAAGAGAACAATGTTCTTTGTGAATTGTTATGAACAAAATATTCACCCTCACCTCAAACTGCTGAAATCTAGACTTTTTCCCTACAACTTCTGTACTCTTTACATTCATTCCTCACTTGCTCACACTCAACATCTGCCCATCCTCTTCACTTTCACCTCCTGCACCCTTAAATTTTCTTGAATACACTGTCTACTAGTCAATAATCATGAAATCCATATACATAACCAAATTATATCAGTTCTCTTTTCAATCTCACGAGTTACTGATTTTTTAACTACTGTACACATATTTCTTGAATACAAAAATTCTGAATTAATCCATTCTCTCAATACCACACTTTCTTGATTTTTCATGCCACACTTATTTAACCTTAGTTCATTATTAAGCTTAACTCATTGATTTACAACCAGGGTTTCCAATTACAGCTCAGTGAACAAGGGATAACTAGAATAGAGAAACTACAACAATTGTTCCAGCCTATCTAGGATTTGTACTTGGTACAAGTCTTTCAGGGTGAGTGTGCTAGCCGGTGTATCACACGAGCTCCAAATTATAATCCCTCTGAAATTTTATTTATTTAGCATCTTCCCTGGAACACCCATTTCAGTTAATTTTACCTTTGAAAAAAATTTGATATTTATGAAGACCAATGGAGTTTCAGCTTATTCATACACAATTTTAAGCTCCTTTTGTTCCTTATTGTTCCTTCCATATCTATAAACTTTTGTTATTTTATCTTACTGTTAGATAATTACTGGTAATCGTTTCATATTCATTAGCTAAGTATCCATTCCTACGATGTTGTGCTTTCTCCTTAGAATTCCCTATTTAATTTGTGTCTAAACAATTCAACATAAAATTAAGTGACTAATGAAAACAATAATAATAATAATAATAATAATAATAATAATAATAATAATAATAATAATAATAGTAATAAGTTACATATTGGAAGATCACACAAGACTGCTTACTACTTGACAGTGAAAGAAAATCCAACGAGTCAATGTGTATAACTAAGTGTTTATCATTTACAGCAATCATTGGCCAACAAATATAGATATTATTCAGTCAATCAGTGTACTGAATATTCCTTTTTGTACAAATGAGTAGATAATAAAATAATTATTAATATAAGTTAATCATTATATGAGATTATGCTTTTCTTTATATGAAGCAAAGGTTTATAAGTGATGCACTAAATAAAAAAATTATGAAAAATGTATTGGATCTTTCTTATGCTAGCATATTCTATTTCAACTTTGTCATTTCCCTCACCCTTTTCTTATACTTTAGAGGATTTACCTAATTCTTTAAGTCTCCTGTGTCTCACCCTGTGCCAGGTAATGTTAGTCAATTGATATAAGTGAAAACTTCACAAATGCTGTACACTAGAAAAGGACCTAAAAAAATAATTCCACCCTGGAAGATCACTGTCAAATGATGAATGGTATTTAGTGGTCCTCTGCTTGTTCATAACCCTGACAATGTGAAATTTGGTGTTGCAGAGATTGCATATATTAGTAAGAGATATATAAATTGCATATGTCAGTAAAAGATGCAGATCTTAAAGTTTAGCTACAAAAGACTGGATGAAATTTAAGAATTTTTGTATATATTTCATAATTATTCAAAAATTATACTTACACAAACTGAAAATACAATTAACTTATATAAAACAATTCTTTCCACTAAAATAGATAACAATTATTAAAACATGAATAATCCTATGCATCTTAATCAACAGCATTAACATTTTTAAATAATTAATAAATGTTCCAGTATATAACAGAGTTATTGAAGAATAAATTAAAATGATAAAAATGTAAGCAATATATTTTTGACTGGAGTAAGGGAGGGACTAGATGTGGAATGAAAACAATGGAATGTGATGAATGAATATGCCCAAGGAGTATATGGAATGAAGGAAAAACTGTAAAAATAAGTGATTGAGATTTGGTTTTGGCTTGGGCATGTAGAAAGAATTAATGGTGATGGTGATAAGGTCCATAAATAATGAGGACAAATGGGAGAAGAACAGGGATGCTGAGCTAAAAATGATGATAATATGAAAGTGCTCAAGCAGTGTCAAAATGAAAACATCTGTAAGGTTGTAGTTGGCTATAAATGTCTAGAGAAGAGACTGCATAACAATTTTAGATTAAAAATAATAATCACCTATATTTCTAGTTTTTTGGTATTAAATATGGCCACAACATTGGCTGTTGAACCTTGGTAATTCAGGAACTGAAATTGTTTTTCTCACACACAGAACAAAAATGGTTTAAAGCTTTCCATGATATGGTTTTTTCAAGAAGACCAGTAGCAACTATCTAAACAGAATGCTGCATAATCCTGTACCCAGACGTGACAGATGAACTGTAAAAAGTTTACTGTACTCGCTTCCACAATGATATGGCAATGATTGTCAGAAGAAGCCTAATGGGGCCATTAAGCAGGATGCTGTCCAGTACTAACCAGGCAAAGATACTTGGCAGCTGAAACCCAATTATGACCATCATGCAGCCTGTTAACCAACGCCCACAACGATGTCTGGTTGAGTCAAAGCTGCAATCAAAGAGAAATGTCTAAGGAAACTAAATTAATGACTTGGAAAAATGATTAAATTTGAAGAATGCATAAAATATTTCAATTCATATTAATAGAATCAGTAAAAAAAAAAAAAAGCATTGAATGTAATGAAATACCATTTTCTGGGTGAGCCCCTGGAGCAATCAGGTCAATATGCGATACATTAGATGAGGGCATTAGTCAATGGAGTTCAGCCGACCGGGTACCACGAGCCAGAACCTGGCACTCAGAGAGGTAATGGCCCCCGGAAAATCAGCATGTGGTTGGGGGTTTTCTTTGTCTGCCAATAACCGGGGTTAGGCACCCAGAAATAAAAGCATAACAAAACAGACTCCTCTCATAGTAAGAAAATTGAAACCAAAAACTGAACTGAGAACCCTAAAACCCCAAGGAAACAAGCAAACATGAACGTCACACCTCCGAGGGAGGGAGGGAGGAGAGACAGAGAGAGAGATAACATAAGTGGTAAAAAAAAATTTTTTTTAAAAATTAAAAAAATTGACTAACCTTAGCATTTTTTTAATGAAGATGACAATAAAGATTGGCATTTGTAGTGTGATCCACTGGAATAGAAGAGACAAAATTAGCAATAAGTATACAATGAGCTCATTAAAGGAATAAACAATAAGTATACAGGTCATTTATAATCTCTCAAAGAAATCTTGAAGAGCCAGTAATAATTCTCCTTTGGGAGAATAACCAAGCATAAGTAAGAGGTAGAAAAACTCACTAGGAAGAATGCATCAGGATACGTCAGCTCTCCTGGTAACATTGAGGAGTCGATGAAGATTCCCCACATGAATACTGCACCAAAATGGTCTTTAGCCAGATGTCCAATATACCATGGACCTAAAGTAACCAGAGTTATGATATCACATCAGTTTATATATCCAACACAATCTCCTCTTACTATGTATTGAAATACAGTACTATAATTATTAGGCACTAGATGTTTGTATGGCCCACAATTATGTTAATTAACACTTTCGCACAATAATGTAGCAGTATGGCATCAAAAATTTAGTAGACGAATGTGTGGGAATGACGCAGCATGGCGTCAAATGTTAAAAAATTTGGCCTGCTTTCGGACTGGCTGTGGGTGGGGGCACGCGGTGATTTTGGATATTATATGCATATACAGTACTCTTGTAGGGAATTTTATTGTGAACACATTGATACCAAAATGAAAGACCTAAGACGAGAATTGAGGTGTTAAAGTTGAAAAGAGTATACACATTTTATTGTTCTTGATGAGCGCTCACGGGTAACCTGCTGTCACTTTCTCTGTTTGCTGCAGGTAGTATGCTGCGCTTTTGAACTTTATATGTATATACAGTGGAACCTCGAGTAACGAATTTAATCCGTTCCGGCACCAAGCTCGTTATGTGAAACGCTCGTCTTTCAACACGAATTTCACCATTTAAAATAAAGGAAATCAAATTAATCTGTTCTACCACCGAAAAACATCAATATGATATTCAATGTTTTAAATAATGGAGCAGCCTACCTTTCATACATTAAACAAACCTTTATAACATTTTTATTTTTTTCAAATTTGTTCAATTTTTGTTTTTCATTTTTTTTATAGAAAAAGGTTTGTTCAGTGTTTGCTAGGTAGGCTGCTCCATATTTCTTAAAAAAAAAAGGTTGAAACAATTTGAAAAATAGACAAATGCCATATAGGTTTGTTCAGTGTTTACCTGACAAACACTGAACGAACCTTTTGGATATGTGTTCTTTTTTTTAAAGTTTCATTTCTTTTTTCTACAAAACAGTCAATGCTTTGCAACATCACAGCATCATTAGCATCTTTAAACAAGAAAAAAATAATTTATTTGCATCGTTGGAGGCGTCCGAGAATGTGCGAGAAGCAGCACAACCACACTATGTGGTGTTGCCGATATCCAAACGAGCGCTCGCCAAACGAGACGAATTGTCGGCAATCAGGGCGCTCGTTACCCAAATTGCTCACCAACTGAAGCGCTCGTCACTCGTGGTTCTACTGTACTCCTGTAGGGAATCCTATTGCGAACACATTGATATCAAATTGAAAAACCTAGGATGAGAATTGAGATGACAGAGTTGATAAGAGTATGCACTTTTCAGTATTACCTCGCACGATCCAGTGGAATGCCAGGCGCACCTTGGGGTGGTCAGGCGCTTGCTCACCTACTAATCTATGAGTGATTCACTCACGTTCTGGTCAGGCACCACATGGCTCACTGACACTCCCCTTAGCAGGGCTGGGGTATGAAATAAGTACAATGACAGTGATGGATGAGGTATATATAAGCATATAGCAATATCCTCTAGCATGGACCACCACAAAAATTTGACATAATGTGGTGACATTTGACTAAATGTTTTACAAAATGTGTGTGTTTTCATCGTGAAAACACACATTTTGTAAAACATTTAGAGTAGAGACAATGATGACTTACCTATGGAAGGGTAGAGAAGAAATGTTAACAGCAGAACAAATACTGTGTGGTTGTTGCCTAGACTTGAAGAAGCCCCAACCATTCGCTTTGGTATGACAGTATCACATCTCACTGGTTCAAATGGAAGAGCATACAATATAATCATAATAATTTCATCATTACCAATATTTCCAATGAGCATTAATTATGTAAGTTTCCATTAAAAAGCAAAATCTCTCTACAATGAAATACAGTACATAACATAGTATAAATCAAGCATTGAATGTAATGAAATGCCCTTTTCTGGTGGGCCACTCATTAGCTTCCTGAAGCTAAAGTAATGGAGCTGCTAAACCTTAGGAAATCACACCAGACCTCTGAGATTCACTCAAGCCTACCACACCATGGCGAGGGAAGCTTGGGATTCAGTGGTCAAATCCGAAACTGAGAAAAAACCCACCAGAAAGTAAACACAAGTCAAAACAAGCAACTGCTTGAAGGAAATTTGTAACCCTGAGGAAAACATGGCAAATAATTTTGTACAATACTCCCAGCCCTGATATATGAAAATGAAACCTGGATATAGAAAAGAGCCAAGTGTTCAAGAGTACAGACAGTTTAAAAATGTTTTGTGAGATAAGCAACTGGTTTAAGGATATAGGATGGGTATAGTAATTAAAAAACATGTAGGAAGTGTTGTATGAAATTGGTGATGGAGAGTGAAATGTAGAGTGGAGTGAGTGTAGTACAATACACTTAAGTGCCATGCACTTATTATTGGAGTAGGATGCCTGAGACTTGTTTAACAAGAAAGGTGGACAAGGATGGGATAAAGTGATCTATAGTAGAAACAAATAATATGAGTGTCTTTGAAAGATAGAATAGAACAATACTGTACATGAAATACAATGTGGGGAAGAGGTTGGATAGCTTTAAAGAGTGAAACATTTGTTTGGTGATAGTGTCTCTAAGAGAAACTTCTACTGTAGCTTAGTAGCAGTAAGAGGTTGGAACTGTAGATAAAAGTATACACTGGTGAGAGAGTGCATTCTAGAAAATTTGAGGGTAGGAAGAGGAGAGTAAGGCAGAGATGATGATGAGCAGACATGGAAAATGAGTGTGAAGAAACAGTGCTGCTGTGGATGACTAACTTAATAGACTCACTCCATAATAGAATGCCAAAGTACTGATTAAAATGTTGCCAAAGTGAGGAGAGGGATTTATTTCAGACACAGCCTGAAATGATTAGGCTCTATTACCTTGGTACTTGCCGAGGAGGAGGAGGAGACAACACGTGCCAACACCAGTCACGTAGATCACTAAAAACTATGGGAAAGGATCAAGTGCATTACACAAGACATCACTCAATTTCTTCGTAATATACATTAAGCTGAAAGTATATCTTAAGAGACAATTAGTCTTACTATAACATTATACAGCAAAGAGTTAATTACCTAGAAATTTGAATCCAGCACATGCTTTACAATATTAGTATATCACACTAAAATGTAATTTCTTTTTATGTTTTATAGTGTTCACATTAAGCTACAGCACTATGATAAATCTTAACACTCCAGTAATGTAAAAATTAATATACTCCAATTTATAGTCATCCACTGGGCCTTACTAGAATCACATCCAGGCAAGAAAACATATGGCACTGATGCCACAAGGTTAAAGGTGACCCCCTGAGGGAGCATTTAAGGTTGTTGGAAGTCAACTGACAAAAGATTAATGCAATTAGAATAATATTCAAATGGGTCTGTTGTCAAGTCCAAGCTAACAAGAACCCAAGTGCTGTCATGCATATGTTCACCAAAAGAGATGCTCCAACTATATCTACAGTTAAGTTAAATGACTGCTTCATCTCATCACTGCTAAGTGGAAGCACCACAAATGCAAGACTCGGCCACCCCACAAACTCCCCACATGCATTCAGACTTACAGATGATCAAGCAGGACAGGACAACTTAGTGCGAGGCAATATAGAAGAGCATGGGAGTGGCAGAATAACTTACTCAAAAAGAAGGAAAAAGAGATAAATAGGAATGGAGGCAGGCCTTACGTACCTATCTGTTTATGATTCAGAGGAACAACATCCCCGCAGCCCAGTCTCTGACCAGGCATCCTGGTTGTTGGTCTGATCAACCAAGCTGTTCAATGCGGCTGATCACAGCCTGACGTACAAGTCACAGCTTGATTGATAGGTATTCTTTGAAGGTGCCTGCTGAGTTCTCTTTTGAACAGTGCAAGAGGTTGGGCAGTTATGCCCAATATGAGCAGGAAAAGTGTTGAAATGTTTTGGGCCTTTGATGTTTATTGAGTCTCTCTCAGCGTGCCTATTGCAACCCTGCTTTTCAGTGGGGCTATTTCATACATCCTGTCATACCTTCAGGTCTCATGTGGTGGTATTTCTGTGTGCAGATTTGGAACCAGTCCTAATATTTTCCAAGTGTAAATTATTATGTAGCTCTACCGCCTGCACTCTTGGGAATGCATATTTTAAGTGGTTCCAATAATTTAGATATTTGATTGAATGGATGCTATTACTGTAAATTTAGAAGTTTTATTGAGTGGATTCTGTAAAAGATCTTTGCATGCTCTCCAGGTCAGCAATTTCTCCAGTTTCGAATGGGGTTGTTTGTGTGCAACAATATTCCACCCTAGAGCGCACAAATGTCTTAAAAAGTATCGTCATTGGCATGGCATCTCTTTTTTTTTTGGGGGGGGGGGGGGGGGGAGGCTCTTGTTATCAAACCTGTCATTTTTCTTGTAGTTTGACAGCAACTTTGTTGTGTTCTGTACAAGTAAGGTCTTCTGGCATGATTACTCCAAAATCTTTTACATTGGTTTTTCTTCCAATAATGTAGTTTGACTGTGTTTTAAAAGTGGTTTCTGCTTTGATGGTTTTGTTTGGAAACTTATAATAGGATAATTGGAACTTATCTTCAAACATTATATGTTATTTTCATGTTGAAGTGATGAAGCCCCTCTCCACAGGCAGCCACCCCCCCCCCCTGCCATATGATAGTTACATTCAAACTGTGTTGCCTCATGCACTTATTCACCATGTCTGCACATCTCTTGTCCACTCTTTATTCCTCCTACCCTTAAATTTGTTTGAAAACATACAATCCACCAGTCTACTATCTTCATTCATTCATTTACCATGACCAAACCATCTTACAATCTCGAGACTCAATCTTTAAATTCACTGACCATTTTATTCTAATTTTTTCATTATATTTTCATCCCCTACTGTATTGTAACATACCACATTCTTCTCTTACTGCTCATTTCTACATGTTTAATTCTTGATTTTTCACATTCCTGCCACACCAGCATCTTGTATACATATATAACAGTAGATACAACTGCTCCTTCAGTCTTCAGTCTGGTTTTTTAAAAAGGTCTTACATTGAACTACCTCCAATACACTAAAAAGCCTAATAAGGCTTTTTATAAGGAATATAAGGCCATTGTAAAGCCTTTTATTCCTTATAAAGGCTTTATAAGGAATGTCAAATATTATTTAGTGATTTAGTGACTGACTCAATATTCATTAATAAAATCCAAGGGTATTTCTGGATTTGTCTCTGGTATGTTTGAGATATAGCAAAATAAACATGGATGTCATCTGGTGGTCAACTTAAGAACCCACACATTTTGAAGCAGGTGATATTTTGATGGGGTCATTTAGTGCCTAAATCTGGATAACTGACAAATTTGGCTAATAGGTGCTCAGATACCATGTTCTTTACTGTATTACAGTAATCTATAAGTAGTAAAGCATAATTCCAAAATACTGCAGTGAATTACAAAAGTTTTGAAACATTACCACATCATGAAGCTTGATGGAGAGGATAAGTGAACCAAAGTAAGAAGGCTGTGGTCGCAGGAACCCAGCTCCTTCCATCCCAATCCGCAAAAGAGTTTTGCTACCAGAAGAATTTCCAACCAACACCTACAACAATTAATTTAATGACAGTAATTATTTTATTACTGTATGGGTTACTGTAATTAGAGAAATGATAAAAACATTGCATTAAAACATTAATATTTTCCAGCTCACATTTACATAGCCCTCATGAAATATCAAACTCTTGATCATCTTGTTAATGGTTTTACGGAATAAATCAGCCTGATTTTATAGACACTGAAACTGGGGAAGGGCATCTAAATATTGAATGATGGAGAGAAACATTAAGCTGACAGTCAGATCAGGGAGGCAAAGGTGTGTTGAGATCATGGATATCAAAGATTAAAAAAGAGTCAAGAGTTATTCCTGAATAACCGTTTTAATATATATTGCCATTAAAAAGCAAAGATTATTAGCTACATTTTGAGCTTTATTTGAAAGACACTGATCAATTCTAAGTATTTAAACTGATATTTTTTTATGTGGCATGCTGATGTCTATAAAATAATCAGATTACTAATTATATATAAGCCACTGGAGAGTATATATAGTACACACAATACACAAATCATCAGACTTTACAAATGGTAATGTTGACTTTCTCAAAAAAATATTTTTAAATTATATATTCTCTTGGTAATTTTTGTTTAATATTAACCCTTTAAATGTAAGTGTCAATCAAGGAAGTTTTCGCCATTTTTTATTCCAAATGCGTCAGTCACTGAGGGACATTTTAGAGTACTATGTAAGATTTAAAAGTCCCATGAGTACATGTTTTTTTTTTTTTTTGAGATATATACAAGTGTTGTTACATTCTTGTACAGCCACTAGTACGCGTAGCGTTTCGGGCAGGTCCCTGGAATACGATCCCCTGCCGCGAAGAATCGTTTTTTCATCCAAGTACACATTTTACTGTTGCGTTAAACAGAGGCTACAGTTAAGGAATTGCGCCCAGTAAATCCTCCCCAGCCAGGATACGAACCCATGACATAGCGCTCGCGGAACGCCAGGCGAGTGTCTTACCACTACACCACGGAGACTGTTAAATGTGGCTCACATCTGTTTCCTGGGTCCTAGTGTGGCACCCCAGAGTCAACCGGAAGGCATGGCCTCTTACCATAAAAGAGCAAGGACGGACTCAGAAGAAATGGCTGTCATTTTTTTGTATAGAAAAGATATCAGTCAACCTGTAGACTACTAAGTAGCAGACAAGGGTAAACAGATATGAACATACCTGTAGGTTTTTAACAAAATCATCTTCCTTTGCATGAGGTTCCCATGAATCTGTCTGCACATCAACAGTGGCAGTGTATAGTGGGCCATATTTATGTTTGCAAGCAATCCAGTGTCCAAGATTATCATCAACCCTCACTGACACTGCAGAAATCTCCTCGTTGGTAAACACAAGTAGTCTATAATGGAAAAGAAACACTGAATAATGTGGTGATTCATTGCTAAGCAAGGCTTGCCATTGGCAGTCACATAAAGTTAAGGGGATGTGTGGGATAATGGGAAAAGGAGGGTTCTGCCAGGAGTGATTTTATGAGCAGATCTAGTGTAACATTGTGAGCAGAATGTATAATTCCTTCAGATACTCCACAGTACCTAATATGACTGCAGAAACTCTTTAAAAGAATCCTATAGCACTAGTGCTATATGTCATTCTGCTATATTGTACATGATCCTTTCCATAACACACAGTGGGTCACGTACCTCAGAGAACGGCAAAATGAGCAACTTGAGACAATTAGAATTATAACCCACCTGACAATGTATCTAATAGAGGCCTGTCCTTTTGGGTAGCGTCCAACACTCGATACAATCACCACTGGCCAAGAAGGATGGGTGATATCTAACCATGTTACTTGTCCATTATCAACACTCATTATGCGATACCTGAAAATACTATTTCTATTGGCAAGTTCTAAACATGCATACAGTATTGTCAATCATTGCAACTTATTTTAAAGTTAAATTGAAAAAACCAACCATCTTTTATATTGTCAATATTATCAAATAAAACCACTGCCTTTTAGAATGTACTATACAGAATTTTCCAGATTTTTTACCATTCCACTATTCACAATTTTATGAACAATGTACATAAAAGCTCATCTTATTGTTCATGTAATTTCAACACCCAGATACAAGTGCATTCACTGTGGGCTTCCAGGCAAGGGTGGGCGTCTCAGCTCCCTCTTTGTACACAATAATGAATACGTGTAACTGATGTAATATGAGCCTATGACATGTACAGTACAGGCCTGGTCAGAGACAGGGCTGCAGGGACCTTGATCCTTAAAATCATTAACAGATACAGCAACAAACACATATTCATTGTGATAGAATAATGCAAACCAGGGGTTCCCAATTAGAAGTAAATTGCCCCTTGTGAATATTTTTTTTTTTTGGGGGGAGGGGGGTAATGACAGTCCATTTGATATGTACATATGATATATGCATATTATACACACCACCAGTCATGTGTATCCACTCCAGATTCAGTACTTATGTGCAGGAATACATATTAAATGCAAAAATAATGTAATGTGTAGTTACCTATGATTGTGGAACCAGTCAGCTAATTCCACTTCCATAAGACCATTAGGATGCCTTGTCCACATGGGGTCAATAAATCCAAAGCCTGTGTGAAGATGTCCGCACAAATAAGCTGATCCCATGGCCAGCAACTTTCGCAAATCCTTTGATGACACAATGGTGCTAGTTGGGTAGTGGCCATAGAACAGGACAATGTTACCCTTTGTACGTGCCTCTGGTTAGAACAAAAATACAGTATTACATTAATAAAACAGCATGCAAAATCCTTATAATATGTACAGATCCTTATAATATATATATTGAATACAGTATATTACACCAGTTATTTAACAAGGGCTCAAAATCTCCTGATGGACCAAGTGGCCTACACCATCCGATGTGTCACCCACTTCGGTATACAGTAGTGTATTCAAAGCACCACTTACATAAACTAGCACAACAATGAAAAGTTAAAATTCTGGTAGTCTAATCAGAAGCTTGACAATGAACATCTTCAATCTGTGAGTACATGCACAAATTGGGAAGTAGTCCATGCAGTTTCACAGTGACCAAGACTGCCTTGAAAAATTTCTGTGTTACAGGCTACCATGGGAAATCTTATGTCGAGAATATGAATCTAAACAAGAATTCTAAAAACATTCCTCCCACAATTTTTTATAAGACTCAAACACATGGCACATTTGATATATTAACACACATTAAGTCATTTTATTTACCAACAGAATGAATTGAATGAATTCATGCATGAATATATGCATGAATTATATATTTTTAACAGAAAAATGAGACATAACACTTCTTAAAAAAAAAAAATTCAGAGCACATGCAAACAGCTTCACACTGACCTTTTAACTAAAGCAGTGCTTCCTTTATTGGAAGAAAGACATGAGATCAAGTTTAATTCAACACTCATACTATTTACCTTGGGCTGCATTGAGTAAATCCTTAAATTCTTCATCAGGAAGGTACCCTAAAAAATTATAGGCCCTAATTCCTGGCTTCAGTGATGCATCCAAGGGTAGTAATGTAATATTCTGACCATGAATGCTTCGAATAACTGTAGCTTTTGCTGTCCGGCTTTTGCCAAAATCTACTTGCACAGCATGTGCTTTGAAATGGGCCTGCTTTACCTCATCAAAGTTATCTGTAAAAAATAAAAATTACTAGAATTATACAGTGATTAATTTGAGAGTGTATATACACACACACACATAATAATAATTATAAAAATAATTACAATAATACTGTAATATAGTAATCATAATAATAAAAATACAGTAATAATGTGTGGGATAACTGAGAGCTACCACTCCGGATTTATGCAAGATTTCACTACCTTCAAGACATGACATATATATCACACTGCACAAGTCACACTGTAACACTCATGAACATTAGCATCAGTAGCATATGAGATACTGGCCAATGAATGGATAACCTTTTGTGGATAAAGGAACCTTCTGAATGCTATATACTACATATGTAAAACAGACTCTAAGTATGCTGCACTGGTGAGGAACCCACACCTCAAAGCACATAAAAAAAGAAAAGAAGAAACGGTTACAAGTTATGCAACCAGACATAATTATGAAGACAGAGACTTGGATCTTACCACACTGGAGGAAAGAAGGAACATGACAAGGATATTTTTAACATAAGAGTCATGGTTAAATTAAATTAAGAAATAAAAATTATTGAAGGGAATACAGTACATTTTTTTAAATGCAAATACTGTCATTGTATGATAGAAAAAATGAGAGATGCTTATGCTGCAGATGTTTGAAGCTTATGCTGCAGATGTTTCACTATGGTGTAATGGTGCTGATTTTATGTGAGGCTGCAGTATGCTGCATAAACAAAATACAGAAAATTGATGGAGTAGTTTAAAGAGCATCTTTAAAATTCATATTTCTTATAGGCTATTGAAGGTTCTTTCACACCATGAAAGTAGAAGAGTAATGATTACTCCTTCTTAGTATTGTTCCATCAGCCATCATCCCTACACCCCACCCACCCTACCCTTATCATGCTCCAACAGTAAACATTCCATACTCAGGTCTTAAATCCTCACTTCTACATTTCAGAATTCTTATTTAATGAAGGTCACTCATTACCACTTGACCCTCACCATGGTTTCCGGCAATATCTAGCCAGAGTGTTGAATTGTTGAGGGCAAGTCTGTCCTTTACTGACCGCTGGTATATGGACCATTCTTGAGGAAGTTGTGCCAACTTCACACCATAAGTCTTGCTGTTAGTCAGATCACCTGAATGAAGATAAATGCAAGCCTTGTAATATTAAGAAAAAACATTTATTAATGTTGTGCTCTCTACTGAACACAAGAAATAAAGTTGTTATACTGTACTTAGTGTTTAGAGTAAATTCTAAAATAACTTTTATAAGGATTATGACAGCTGCACTCACAACATATGCCATTAGTCAGCTATGGCACACATGACTTTTGTGAACTTATAATATTATATATATATATATATATATATATTATTTTGGTTTTTGTCTATTATTCAAGTGTTTTTATTCAGCATTTCTCGTGTTAGGGTGATGTCATGGGCTTGTCTCATGTGATTCCTAGGGGCACCGGATTGAAAATGACAGGCCAAACGCCTCGTCAGCTTGGTCGACGTCATACCTATGTACTTAGATTGAAGGTTACATCCTTGGTGGGGGCAAGTGTACATGTATACAATGCTTGGCTGCTGTAAAGGGTTCTCCGTCGGCTTCGGGCTGTTTTTAATAAGGAAGTCGGTAATCTTCTTTGTTTTATAGAATATGATCAGGTCTATGTTTTGGTTAGGAATAGTGCTTTTTACTCCTTTACAAATTATTTCCTTCATTATTCTTTCTTCTTTTTTATGTTCACTGTGCATAGTTGATTTGTAATAAAATTTTATTGGAGGTGTTGTGGTTTCTTTTCTAGGTTCAGGATTGTATCATCGGTATACGTGTCTTCTTATAGCGGTGTTTATTTCCGTGTTGCTATATCCATTGTTCACCAATACCCGAGTTATTTTTTCAAACTCTCAACTCACATTGCTCCATTCGGAGCAGTATGTAAGCGCTCGACGAATATAATCATTGAGAACACTGGTTTTGTATCTTTGGGGCACTCACTCTTACCGTTCAGGCATAATCCTATGTTGGTAGGTTTTGTATATACTCTGGTGCTTAAAGAGGTTCCTGTTTTTGTTATTAGTACATCCAAGAATGGCAGACCATTATTTTCACTATTTTCGTGTGTAAATCGGAGTACTGACTCTCTTTCTAGATGGCTTTTTAGATCATTTAGTTCATCTGAGTCTTTTACTATGACGAATATGTCATCTACATAACGGCAGTATACAGTTGGTTTCTGTCTACTACTAAACACTATCTTCGATGGTTCACATGTAAAAATTAGCGAACAACACTCCTAAGGGGAAGCCCATTGCTACTCCGTCTATTAGTAGATACATGTCCCATTGCGGACTGATGAAAGGAGCTTCCTTTGTACATGCCTCGAGAAGGCTCTTCAAATGTGGCTCGGGCATATCTAATTTGGGGGTATTCTTGTCTCTGTATACTCTGTCCAGTATCATTTCTATGGTGGTGTCGACTGGGACGTTGGTAAATAGGGATTCGACATCCAGGGAAGCAATGATTCCATCGGGCTGTGTAGTTTTGATTACTTCTAGGAAAATCTGCTTATGATTGTAGACTATAGTTGCTTGGAGTGTATGGAGTTAGGAGTTCATTAAATCTTTTTGCCAGGTGATAGGTTAATTTGGCTGATTATTGGATGTAGTGGGTTACCTGGTTTGTGTGTCTTAACATTGCCATAAGCATATCCTAAGCCATAGTCGCCCTGGAGTTTAGTAAAATGAACACTACCTTTCTTTGCGTTGATTGTATCGTTGGACGTTATTGGGTTGATTCAGGCTGTATCATTTTCAGAAACATGAATGCATCAGCATTTATTCATTCCTTATTGACTTACATTTGGAACACGCTCTCTTTACCCTATAACATTACACATGTAACTAATTATAAAAAGTATACTTTTAAAAACTAAAAAAAAAACTAAATGTTTCTTCAGCCAGGCAACATAATGTATTCATGCAAACTAATAACACTAATAACTATTAGCTTTCAGTATTCACATAGGAACATCAATGCTAATTGGAGCTATATCTAGCCTTAGTTAAAAGCAAGGAAGATGGGAACACATGCAAATAACTTTACTATTAAGTATAGTACATGAACAGCTACAGGCACACAAAGGTGTGAGTAGGTATACCTGTAACAAGAACAGCAGCAGGCTTAATGATTGTTATTGCATCATCCACAAACTCCTGGAAGTGCTGCACCTCCTCCACAGCTCCCATGTGCAGGTGAATATCCGATATCTGCAATTACACAACTGGCAGTTATGCAAATTTTCTCAAAACGCTGCTACAGAAACATTTCTAATATATTTTGTCAATAAGTGTCCATTACTACAAACCTAACAATATAAAAACAGCAACAGTAACCAACACACTAAGTACAGTACTGTACAAAGAAAATGCCTGTAATTTACTCAAGTGGTTGGGCCAGGTACTCGGAAGATAAACTTCCAAGTAGCAAGGGCTATGGTGAGCCCCATAAGATGAGGCTCTTAGGAGCCATTTAATCTGTATCGATAGCTGATACTGAAGATCTGGGATTGGGGTCCGTGGACGTGCCAATCCAAACCAAGAGCAGGACTGCAGATGATGATTGATGAAGATTAAGCCACCCTAAAAGTAGCACAGGCTATGGTGAGCCCGTAAGTGGAGGCTCTTTCGACCCATTACCAGTACCAATAGCTAATACTAGAGATCTGTGGATGGATGGGGGTCTTCATGGTGAATTCCAGCCTCGGATGGCTGGCTGTACCAGTTATGGAGCTGGTGGGTTAGTGAAGACCTCTACGTCTTCCGTTTTTTCTTTGGATTTTGTCAAAGCGATTCAGTAACGAAAAACAGGCAGGACGGATCGTGTCCCCACAAAACTGTAACGAAAAACAGGCAGGACAGATCGTGTCCCCACAAAACTGTAACGAAAAACAGGCAGGATGGACAGGGACCCCACAAAACTGTAACGAAAAACAGGCAGGACGGATCGTGTCCCCACAAAACTGTAACGAAAAATAGACAGGACGGATCGTGTCCCCACAAAAAATGTAACGAAAAACAGGCAGGACGGACAGGGATCCCACAAAAATGTAACGAAAAACAGGCAGGACGGACAGGGGCCGTCGAAAAAAGCAAAACGGTCCCTGTCCGTCCTGCTTTCCACTACTACTGAATTATGCAAGTAATTATGTAAGGATATACTACAAATAGCTTTATCCATATATAGTTTAGCACTTCTTACATCACATACTTTATATATGTAAACAGATACTGTAATAATATGAATGACGCTCATGAATTTAATTCCTCTTGTTAGAAGACAGGAAGCCTGTACTTTGGCTTATCAAGGCCCCCCTAGGCCAATTACTGATATTCTCACAGATATTTAATATCTCCACCTATTTAATGCTAGGTGAACAGAGCCATTAGGTGCAACGAAACATGCCTAACTGTTCTGTCCCACCCAAGTATTGACCCCAAGTCCATCGAATGTTAGTAGAGAATAGAGACCACTGTATCCAGTCAGAGCTATGCACTACCAGAAACTCAAGTAAATAATTATAAGCTTTAATACATTTGAATTACTGTACCTGCAGTTAAAATGCCTCATAGTTTACACTATGTACTCAAACACAGAACTTTCCCAATCATATAAACGTTCATGGAGATGTCCAGCTGAAGACATTGTCATAGAAGGAAAGCCAAAGTAATGTTAGCAGATGGTTGCATAAATTATAATTCTTATGCTAAAGTGTGCATGTCCATCCATGATATTAACATGTCATCCTGATAACCGAGACATTGGGGAGCAACTAGAAGTGTTTCAGGTTTTGTTCCTAATCTCGTGGTAAATTGTAAACCCTAAATATATTGTATAAATGTAAACAAAGAACATGGGGAAAAACAAGGATACTGTGCTGGTAATTCCAGGTATGCCCTAACGTTTAAGAAAAATTACACTGCAATTCAGTAGCAAGCAAGGTAGAGCACTCTTTATTTATAAAAGCAATTTCTATAACATCAAAGAGTACTGTACTGTCTAACTACAGCAGTAGTATTTACCTGCACCAGCCAAACAAGTCCTCTCTGGCTGTCTTTATTTATTTTTTCTTCCCAGTCCTTTCGCGAATACTGTAGGTAACTAGATTCTGAATATTGAGATTGGTAAAATCCTTCGTTGAACTCCAGGTGTCTTATAGGAAGCTTGCCACTTAGTGATCTAATAATGAGCAATGATATAGACAGCAGAAACAGCCCAGTGGCTGTCACCAAATAAATTTTACGTCCTCTTGGAGTTATTGCCCTCAGCCACAAGCTAGCCATCTGAAACAAATAGAATGATAAAGATGAAATGGATATGATGATCAATTAATTAAAAGCTGAAAAATGAGGATAGAGTGAAGGGACAGTACCCAACCACTTATACTAAAATGAGGATAAAGTGAAGGAACAGGGCTCAACCACTTAAACATTATGAATAAAATATGCGGATCCTGCAAAATCAATGCCATCACTATTGACCCATCTAAGTGGACAGAAAGGCATAGATATACGATACAATCAGTAGTTACTGGACACTTAAAAGCAGTTATTGGTGTTTATGGTGGACTAAAAATCTAGCATTGAATGTAATGAAATGTCCTTTTAGGAGAAGATTCTGGGATGTTCATAAAATGAAGGTGTGCATGGGGGATCTGAGATTAACTCAAAACTGAGCAAACCCATCCAGAAAATAGAGGCAAAATAAAAAACTAAGAATTTTAATTAATAAGAGAAAAAAACAAAGGTAGCACTAATTTTCCCATGTCAATAAACCATAAACAAGTACCATCAGGTGGCAGCTCAGATCATCAAGGAGTCTTCGGCCCTCCTTCCCCACCTCCTTCCCAGCCAACCACCACAACCCAATAATATGACATGTAGGAGCCACTCCAAGGTACAAGTTTCTCGCACCCCACAAATCTCCCATTTGCTGACTCCATCATCCTCTATATAGGTCCAATTCCCCAATACAGTAGTTCTGAAAAGTATATGACTAATGAACATGAATGTGGATGGTATAACATGCAAATTAAGGAAATTACATGGGAGAGTATGAACTGCAGTGGAGATCTGAGGAAATATCCATGATGGAGGTTAATGCACAAGACTACATCATAGGAATGATATCCATATGATAGAAGTGGCTTGTGGACCAATGGCTAAGCTCTTAGTTCTTGACGACTTCAATCAGGGGAAAATTGTCAGTGTAATGAAGAAACCCCCACGAGGGGAAAAATTAATGGATAAAAATTAATAATGGATGGTACTTCCTGAAGCAACACACAGTACATCCGACAAGGGAAATGGGAATGGAGGATGAGCTAGCATCATTTGATTTTGTCAAAACTATTAAGATGCTGAACAATTTGGGGATACTGATCCAGACCACTTCTTTAAAAGATCAAATGTAACACAAACAAGGTGCAACAGCTTCAAGCTTAACAAGTCAACATGTAGGATGGAAAATAGGAGATGCTTTTTTACCAATAAGGGTGTAAATCCATAGAACTGTCTTCCTGCCAAAGCTGTAAATGGCAAGACAATACTGAATTTCAAAATCCAGTTGAAAAAGTCAGGAAATGATGGTGAATAATTGACAAGTCAATGGCTTCCTGTCTCATCAAAGGCCTCTAGAGAAATGGTTGCCCTCAGGTATATTCAGATAAATAAGAATTAGACCTGCTGTACCCTCTTTTATATCCTGAATTCTTTTAATTTTAATAATGGGTACAATGAGCAACGATTTTCTTTTCAATCTTTCCATATACAAAGATGTTAGTCTATTTACTTTATGATTAACCGGTAATAATGTTAAGAGGAGAGTTTTGTGTTAAAAATTATAGTATAAAATTACAGACTCGAAGACTTAATAATAATTATTATTTTGTCAAAATCTCTAGATTGGAAAATCCTGAGATGTGGCAATTCTACAGACTGATGATATTGAAGACGATGCTCTCACCCTCGCGGCTGTGTGTCTAGGACTGGAGCACTAAGCACAGCTTCTCCCTCGAGGCTCCAGGAGATCAATGATCACATCTCCCCGAGTGTGACTCCAGTCCTCAGCTGATCATCGCTTCCTCCCAGACAGGCTGTACCGCGTCCATGTCAGCATCACATGTGACCACATGTTATCCAGGCAATCACACGATAACCCTATTATATTGCAGAAAATTATATTACCTAAACTAATCTTTACTAAAACATAGTCATCGTATAAACCTAAACATAGCTGGATATGTATTCTGCTTTATTATGTTTTTATATTGATAATATTCAACATATATATGATGCTTACTTGGACTCCAGTGCTGTTTGCCAGACATAGGAGTAAATTTTCTTTGTTTTACCTTGTGGTATATTTTACCTCATTTTAAATCAAAGTATGTCGAATTTGCATTATTGAGAGCAATTATATATTAACGTGTGAATATACCGAATCATGTATTTAGTGTAAGAATATATCTTTTAGATATGTTTTACGAAATCCTATATTTTCTGGCACCCACAGTAAACATGGGAGATACTCTCTAATATATTCAGGAATTATAGGAAATTAATTAAAGTAACTTATTAAATATCTGTGTTGTCGAATATTCTCAAAATTCCCAGTGGTTATATGTCCAAGTTTTCTTTTAATTCAATTATGGATCTACTATAATGCAGTTGAATCTGTGACTGTATTTCTAAATTTAAATAGAAAACAGACATAACTTCATACTTGAAGGCAGTGATTTATTATTTTATGGTTATGCTGGTGATATTTTGATTTAAGTTCTATTACATTCTTTTTAAATTTAATCATTTGCTTGGACTCGGCCGCGTCGTGAACCAGAAGGGAACTATACTGCATTATTAAATTCATTGATATAGGTATCATATAATATGTACAAAATATAAATACCACAAAGCTATTATTTAAGGCATATTAATGTGTGCGAGTGGCGAGAACGAGTGACGGTACGACAGTAGAGTCCTGGAGGCCGTGGGGGCGGCAGGCAGCCACAACAGTGAGCGGCTCCACTATGGTAGGACAGTTGTGACACAGATGAAGCAGAGATGAATGACTTAACACGTAAGGTAGACGCCTCCTTCTCGCCCAAATCTTCCCCCCGAGGCTCCAGATCACCCATGGCAAACCAAATGCTGTCGAGAAATGATTCTACAGGTACTCTTAAAATGACGATCTCCGCTGGGAAACATCCTGCAGTGGTTCACTCAGGGCCTTTCTACTTGATGAAAGTAAGTTCCTTGCATTTAAGGATAGAGATTTTGTATATAAATAATTTGGACCAAAATGCCCTCGTATACCTCCAGGTCTTTCCCTGGAAAGACAAGGCTAGGTGGGAAGCTTTTATGAAACCCTGGACTCTGGTTCAACCATAATAGAATTAATAATTCATTGTGTCCGGGGACAGGAAGCCAGAGTGTATTCATACACCTTTGGCTTTTATTGTGGTAACCCCCCCCCCCCACAAGACCGAATTACTGACCCCACCCAAAATGCATCCCCACAACAAGCTGACTAACTCCCGAGTACCTACTTTCTGTTAGGTGAACAGTGCATTAGGTTAAAGGAAATGAGCCCAATCATTTCTGTCCTGCCTGGGATGCGAACCCCGAATTCTCGATTGTGCATCGAGAACGAACCAGATTACTACCCTGACCCTGAATGCTGAATGATGTCCATCCACTTGGGCTGGAGGGTAGAGTTATAGTCTTGCTTCATGCAGGTCAGTGTTCAATCCCTGACCATCCAAGTGGTTGGGCACCATTGCTTCCCCCCGTCCCATCCTAAATCCTTATCCTGACCCCTTCCAAGTGCTATATAGTTGTAATGGCTTGGCACTTTCTCCTGATAGTTCCCTTCCCTTGGTGTTGATAGACTTCCAGTTGGTCCTTTATGCAGTTGTGCAGAACAGGGTCAGGTGCTTGCCTACCAAAATGTGGCCATGAGTATTCAGTATCTACAGTATCTGTCTACTTGTGGGTGTATCAGCCACAAGCAATATTGTATACCACATACAGGTAATAAGGGGGAGGGGGGGTAGAAATAGCCTAAGCTACTCTATCCCTTTGAGATGTATTTCTTTCTTGTCTCAATAAACATACTTGAACTTGAAGGAGAGGTTGATATAGAAGTAGGCTTGTAGAAAAAAAAACACTGTAGGGTTGATATAAGAGGATCAATATTTGTTCCTGTTTACTGTGAATCATATTTGTTAATATTGAATTGGAGCTTAATTTCATGATGTTTGAGATCGTTTGTTAAATTTTTCTAGTCATACTGCTTTTTCCCCCTTGCTTCATTTGAGTATTTTTACTGAAATCTTGAGTCTGAAAAGCTTGAACAAATATCGTTCATTGGTATGCAATGGTTTTTAATAGGTTTGAGTGTTTTTCTTGGGATACTTATCAAATGAAATGAAATTGAACAACATTCTTTAAATGGCTTCTCTTGCCTGCAGGACCCAGCTACAGAAAATGAACTGACAGGTGCAACAAATCTAATGGCCCACTTCAACTTGGAACATTCCTACAATAAGTTCACAGGCAAAAAGGTGAGTTCTGGCTTCTTTATTTACTGAAATACTGTATCAGTTATGTTGTTTAGAATGTGTGTTAACCTTCATTTGACAAGTGGGTAATTCTTTCATGAACTGAAATATTGGTACTTGAGAATTATTTAATTTTACATAGTTAAATATGTATAGTACTGTGCTGTACTTTTTTGTGGGGAAAGGGGGAGGGTCTTGGCTCATTTATTTACATTGATAGAGGTTATATAAAAGAGCTAATTTGCTTTTGAGTAAGATCTTGTTCCATGTTTTTTGTGAGAGGGAAGAAGAGAAAGGAGTTATGTTTTTGACATCTTGTGAATTTAAGATTAGGGTAAAGTTGCTAGTATCCAGTTACTTAATTTACAATAAGTTATTTGTGGTAAAATTTAATTAAAAATGCATTTAGAGAATCATGATGGCATATGTAGCACAAGATGTTTATCTTTAATATGACAACACAATAAATTATGTAGATGTAACACTTATTGAGATGCTAACCAAGATTTGTAAGTGGCTGGATGTGTAATTATTTAAGTGTAGTTACAGGATAAGAGCTATGCTCATGGTATTGCATCTTCCCCAGTAATATTTGACAGTGACACTTTGAAGCTACTGATGGCTTTAGCATCCATTGCCTTGTCACTTAACTTTTTTAAAATTTCTACAGTTCTGCAAAAGAGAATTTATGTATGCTTTTCAGCACCTTTGTTTCTTTAGCTTGAATCAATGACCACTTGTTTTTGAAGTTGCAAGTTTCAAAAATTCATCATTGTACGTATATTTTGTTGGTTCTTTTACTATTTTGTGTAGTGATCTCCTCTTCCTATCGTCCATTCTTAGAATGTTTTAACGCCCAAATGCCAGTCTCTGGCTAGGTAGTCCTGGCTGCGCATATGAGGCAGCTCCTATTATATCCACCCAAACTCATTCATATACTGTATATGTCTAACCTATGCTTGAAATATTCCATGAGTCTCATGTCTAATATGTTGCCAGGTATTGTTCCATAAATACAGAATTGTTTCCAAACCCGTATTTATCCAGGATTTTTCTCAATCTGAACTTCATTTTATATCCATTGTTTGTAGTTCTATTTTGTGTTGACATTTAAACCCCCTCCTGCACAATATATTTACAGTATAAACATAATTAATACAGGCTACATCTGTATATTTTCATCTATATTGGTCAGCAACAGGTTGGTGATGACTTGTTTGATAAAATAAGTAGTAATCAAATATATTTTGTTATATGGTGTTAATTTCAATATATATACAGTAATTGAATACTTACTAAGTGTTTACTTGCATTTTCCTTTATTGCTATTTTGGCAAGAGTTTGAGTATCCACATAGGGACTTGTAAATATGCAAGTTAAGCAGCACAGTATTGGTGATATTGATTATAAATCATTTAAGGAAGGTGAAAAATACTTAAAATAATTTAATTTTTAAGTACATGGAGTGACTGTTAATAAATATCACCTGTAAATATAATACTGTACTGGTATACTCGCAATCTTCATTTTTAGATTTGTGGGAAATGTTTCATTGTTCTTTACCCTCAGGTACGAGACTCGTTATCGTCCTTCCTGCCAACTCTCCCTGGCATCATTGACACCCCAGCTCACCTCACAAACTCGTCACTCCGCTCGCTCATTGAAAAGCCGCCAGTCTTCAAAGAATTTACATTACTTAATCATCACCAGGTATGTTTAAAACACATAAGTTAGCCTTGTTCAAGTAGTTTCCTTTACTAGTTTTGATGAAGGAAATTGTAATATTGTAATAACAAATTATGTATTTACATATTTAGGAATTTGATTTAATGACTTATAAAGGTATATAGATATTATTATTTTATAATTAAACAGTTAAATGCTCTTACACATGCTAACACACTCCAAATCCTAGCCACATCAAACCCTTGTCAGTTAAACAGCCCCCCCCCCCCACATCCCCATCTTCTATGTGTCTCTGCTATTACATTTAGTCATAATTATTGTTGCTGTATTGCCAGCTTGCTGCCTTCCGTCTTCACCCTGGTCCTCTACCTGAACAATACCGTTTCATGAACCAGCCTCCAGGGCAACGAAAACACAGGAAGCACAAGAAAAATAAGTACCGACAGGGTGAGACTCCTACCCAGGATGGTTCAGCAGATGGCGCCGACATGCATGAAAAGAAACACAAAAAGAAAAAGAATGATGATGATAAAGAAAGGAAGAAGAAAAAGAAAGAAAAGAAAAAGAAGAAGCAGAAACACAGCCCAGAGCACCAAGGGGTTTCTGGAAATGATCCTAATAGAATCACACTATGAGTAAATTGAAACTGGCAAATGATTACTGCCACAACTTACAATATTTGCGAGAGGAACATATTTTTATGTTTTTTAAACAAATCTTGCTGATATGAGGTCACCCAGTTTTTTAACATTTAGAAATAAAGCTTGGAATATATTATTGACAAATAAATTGGCATTTTTATTTCATTGTTATAAAATCTCTTATATCAGCATTGCAACTTCAGTATTGCAGCACTGTATGATACTGTACATCAGAATGGAAATAAGCTGCATATTGAAGAAAATATATAAGTTCTATGATTCATGTTAAGACATGAGGTGTCTGAAAATACATAATTATGATAACAAAATTTGTTTTATTCGTTATTTCTTTCTGGGATCTTCTCATCCATGAGAATTAAATAATTTCTTGCTTAACTGTTAGTTAAAATGAGAGAGAACTTGGGATAATTTGCTAGGATTCTTGATAATACAGTACTGTATGTCTTTCTTGATTAATTAACTACTTTGACATACAGCATATAAACAACTGATAGTTCTCTTAATTCTTGTATTTTTTCACATAGCGTTCCTGGGTTGGTGCTTGGTTACAGCAAGAGAATGTGGTGCAAATTCCCAGATAAAGCCAAACATAACTAAACAAATTTAGAACTCTATAGAACCTATTAAAACATACACACGTAGTTCATACAGCCTAGTACGATTGATGGAGTAATTTACTTTGTTTCAGACTTATTAACTTTTATGCAAGTTTATTGCATATTACTGCCCTTAGGCTGTTCATAGACATACAAAGGCTATTATCAATGCATATTCTACACTGGGAAAAGTCAGAGCATCACATGGGAACTTAATAAAGGATGGGGGTATGAAGAATAACAAAGAGCTAGACCTAACATTATTAGTAAACTTGAGTTCAGACTAATAATAATAATAATGTTATTTTATTTGCAAGAAGGTACAATGGGTTGGTGAGATTAAATAAGACTGATATTTTTACATTCTTGCAAAGCCACTAACACGCATAGCATTTCGGGCAGGTCCTTAATCTAACATATCAAATAACATGAAAAGGTACATTGTAGCAAAGTTTTATATCAACAAATAACTACAATGTAAGTTAACATAGGTGATTACACTGGTAAGCATATATGTCTTAAGTACTAATATTGGGGAAGTGGGTAGTACAAGATAGGAAACTGAGGATAAAATTAGGTACTTTTTAGTTTTACTTTCGAACAGGGGATGGGTTGGGCAATTTTTTAATTCATCAGGTAGTGAGTTCCAAAGATTGGGCCCTTTTATTTGCATGGAGAGTTTGCACAGATTTAGTCTGACTCTGGGGATATCAAAAGATATACTTATATCTGATGTGGTGCTCATGGGTTCTATTACACCTATCAAGAAAACGTTTCAGTTCAAGATTAGCATTTAGGAACAAGATTTTGTACATGTAGATAGCACATGAGAATGTGTAGAATGAGTGAATGTTTAGCATGTAAGGGGACTTAAACAGAGGGGCTGTGTGTGTTGTCTGAAGACAGAGTTTGTTATAGTTCTGTAAGCAGATTTTTGCCAAATGATAATTTTGCTTGAGGTAATTTGCAGTGGTTGAACCCCATGCACAAAAACTGGATGTAAAATAGGGATAAATTAGTGTGAGAGGAGAGCAGAGTGGAAAACATCTGATTTTAGACAGTATACCAACATGTATGTAATGGAAGCCATAACCATCAGTACAATAGTCTACATTCTCATCTGACAATCTAGGATTATGGGTTCGATCTGCAGGTGGGATAGAAACGGTTGTGCCTTTCACTTGATGCCTCTATTTACTTAGCCGTAAATATGTACCCGGCAGGAGTTTGGAACTGTTGTGTGTTGCATACTTGAAGAGGTCCGTAGTTCAACTTAATTAAGGGCTGGATGGACCTGCATACAAGCCGAGGATACAGGCTTCTTGTCCCTTGAATTATCATCAATAATCGGTGTATGACAAAGATTAATTATAGGGTATTTGACTACGCCCCAGCTTCCTCCAATAGGATGGAAAGGATGTTACCTGTAATTAGGGAAAAGATTAAATGGACTAAGTAGACTTATCTTCTTAAGCTAATGAGAGCTTGGAGCCCGTATATTGTTGACATAATATACTCGCTACACATGTATACAACATCGCACAATTTTTTTTTTTTTTGAGATATATACAAGAGTTGTTACATTCTTGTACAGCCACTAGTACGCGTAGCGTTTCGGGCAAGTCCTTAATCCTATGGTCCCTGGAATACGATCCCCCTGCCGCGAAGAATCGTTTTTTCATCCAAGTACACATTTTACTGTTGCGTTAAACAGAGGCTACAGTTAAGGAATTGCGCCCAGTAAATCCTCCCCGGCCAGGATACGAACCCATGACATAGCGCTCGCGGAACGCCAGGCGAGTGTCTTACCACTACACCACGGAGACTAATCTCATATATCTGTTGTTTTAGATTCAGCTACTCGGAATAAAGTATTTCAAGTAGTACGGTCATGTGGTGAGCCCGTAGTGGACTGACCTGGCACAGGAGTTCTCATTAATTGATAAAGATTAAGCCACCCAAGAGGTGGCTCGGGCATGAATATATGTTCTGAGAGAAGGAGGCTCATATAATTCTGTAGTAACTAAACATAATTAGATAATTGCACATAAATATATAAATAAATTAATGTCGACTGCTAAATTTTATAAAGGATCAAAATAGATTCCGAAACCAGAATCGAAATCGAACAAGTGTAGAATAAATTTAGAATAAATTAAATCTGATGTACAGATTTTGTCAATCAACGAAATTAAAAACCGTTTTGAATTCGAAAAATATGTACAATAGGAGAGAAACGCTAAATTTACCAATTCCAGAGCTAACCCCACAACAAAACACACAACTTAACAAACCATATCTCAACCAAAAAAAGACCCGAATCGGACACCCAAACAGTTACCGATCCTCCTGCATGTTTACAACTGCCCGAAACGCTTTGCGTAATAGTGGCTTTAGGCATTGTATGTACTAGCTCTATCTATAAAGCCAACAAACTTTGTAAAATCTCTTTATGTATGTACCTTTACCTAAATAAAAATTATTATTATTATTATTATTATTATTACATTGTAGTTGGCAGGCCTGGCGAGGTGGTCGGCGTTGTTTACGTTGTGGTTGGTAGGCTTGTGAGGAGGTCATTCAAAAGCTGGTTAGAGGTCGGAGATAAAACTGCATCTACTATCAAGAAGAAGAAAAGGTCGGAGGTCGCACTTTATTGTGTTGGTAGTGTGTATAACAAGCGCACATCATGGTGGAGACGCTCGAGGGTAAGAGGTGTGACTGCTGCATAAATAACCAATATTTGCTGTAAATGTGTAACAAATTGCATTGTAGCCATCAGCTGATCATGACTAGTTTTTATTGTTCTGATTGATGCTGGTCCGGTCATGATTAAAGAGTGGACCACATTGAAGATAGTTTAGATCTTTTGCAGGAGTAGAGGGATGACATAGATGCTAATAGATCAGTTTGATGAAACGCCTCTGTGTCTGGCTAGCAATTGGATGGGTTATTGGATGGGTTAAAATCAGAAGGATTAAAAAAAAAAAAAAAGGGCTCCAGAACTAATTCAGTGACATCACATCATGGGGTGCTGTACTTTTGAAGTATAGGATATATAAATCACACCTTGCACAACCTATACAAATCCCACCTCACCTAACCCAACAGCACTAGGTTGAGTTGGGTTAAGTATGGTTAAAGAGTAGCAATAACATAAATGGGCAAAATGTCTGGCAGCTCTTAGACCCCGCTCATTAATATAGTTTGTAAACTATTTGTTCTAAATTTGTTCTACTTCATTGCAAGTCTTTGAAGACATGTGTCCTAATTTAATCTAACTAGGGTTCAGGCTGGATTGGAAAGTAAAATTCTTGAAATTGATTAAAGTACAGTTAAAACTTATCCTATCTTAGCAAAACTTAAGTTTTTTCTATACTGTATGTAATTTAGATGTATGTGATGTCATCATCTTTCCTTCAGGAATCTTTTAGGATACTACTGCAAATGGCCTTACTATTATAGATAAGATGATCTTCATGAGCCTAATGGGCTTCCTTTTCTCAACACTTGTATAACAGTTCTGTATACTCTGGCTGATATTATAATTAATTCATATTGTTGGAGAGTGAATCACATTCATTTATTTATTTGTTTATAGACTGTATACAAGAAGGTACATTGGATTTATGAGAGTACAGAGATTTGACGTTTTACATTCTTATAAAGCCACTAGCACGCATAGCGTTTTGGATAGGTCCTTAATCTAACAATTTTAAGAAGGTAATTTCTAGCAAAATTAAAAGAAAAATTACTGGTACATTGTAAGTGTAAAAATGCACTGTAAGAAAGTATAAAAATGCATTGTAAGAAAGAATAACAAAATACATTGTATAAGAATGATAAAAAAAAGGTAGGTACATTAAAATAAATTTAAGGGTTGTCCACAGGTACATTTTAGCATAATGAGGGTTATTGCAGGATATTATGTAGCAAACTGTGTGTATAACAAGATACTGTATAAGATAACAGCAACGATTACAATTGTGAAGTTGTATGGCATAGATACATTGGGGAATTAGGTAGCACTAAATACAGTGCGAGTTTCAAGCGCTAGGTAGGAAGCTATGAAGATGAAATTGGGTACTTTTTGGTTTTATTTTTGAATCATCAGACAAAAATGCAGCACTTTTGGCAGCATGTTAATTGGATACAGGATTAAAAGATTATTACTGTTGCTCAAACAAGTCCAGTTATGGTACATTATATTCTATCCAAATGGCACAATACCCAAGATGGGTTTCCAATGTATCTACAATGTTTATCTAAAGTTAAAGTCGAGGCAATTTTTCCAGTTTCTAAAAACTGGAAGTTGGGGTAAGGGTTAGGGCATTTTATATTGTGAAAGGTATGTGTGGCAATGACTCCTGGAGAAACTTATGCTGTGGGCAACTGATAAAGAATAGGAAAGAGTAAGATGTCCTAGCTATATAGTGTATCTTTAATTTGGTTTTCGCCAAGTGATTTTCATATTGAGTATAAAACGTTATGCAAATCCTAGGATTTTACATGTTACAATTTTTGCAGGATGTGTGTTGGAGGACTGGGCAATGGCTCGAACTCCTTTAGGAGTTCCATACTATATCAAGTAAGTAAAACTGTATGGTGCTTTACTATGAAATATACTGAAAATTTCATAAGGAAATACTGTACTTTGATTTTTATTGTATTGTACATCCATATCTATAAAAGGGAATGTCTTGTCTGTCAATTCAAGGTTGGAGGCCAGACACTTGGGGGTGAAATTTTTAAGGGTGACAGGTCTTTATCCAGGGAATAGTCACAGGCAGATCAAGGTTGAATCATAATGCTTCAACCCCTTTGCTTGAAATGGAAAATCATATTAATTTCCAATCTCGCCAAATAAGACTCGATCCTTGCTAAGATTAGAGGGATGAAGAAAAAGTAGTGACTGTAAGGGTGGTGGTAAATGGTAGGAAAGTTGGTGCAGGTTTGGGGGGGGGGGCGTGCAGGTTTGGGCGGGCAGTGAAAGACAGGGAGGGTGGTGAAAGAAAGGAAAGATGAAGGGTAGGAAAGGTGGTGAAGGAGAGGGAAGTGGAACAGTGCACAAACATAGTTGTATTGATGAAGATAGTGGATAGTTAAGATGTTTACAGGGGGTGAAGATGGCAGTTAAGGCGGTTACGGGGGTGAAGACGGCAGTTAAGGTGGTTACAAGGGGGAGAAGATGACAGTTAAGATGTGGCACCCGTTACCTGAGCAATGCAAAATAGCCTCTCTAGTGATACAGTATATAATTGTTTATTTTTAACAATTTGCCCATCACCAATTAGAAATTATTAGAGAGTAGTAAACGGTGTATTTTATAATCGGATATCTCCTCTCTGATATGGTCGAACTCGTTCAATATTATCCAAGTAACTGGTCAGCTTTTTCAAAATTTCCATGTAAGGGGAAGAATAATGGCAGTAATTTTTAGGGTACATGTATTCATGAACATTAAGTGCATTGTTTCACTTAAGGTCTATAAATGTTTTATGTTTGTTTTTGTAGAATTTATTTATTGTGTGTGTTTTAGTGAACTTAACCTGATTCATTATATTTGCCTTGTAATGGCAATAAAAGTTAATTTTTCATAGGTAACAAATTTCATTTTCTGAGAATGTTATCTAGTTTTCCCATAAGCTTCCTGACATTCTTTTACACTGCCTTTGGGAATGTATTCACCTGTAAAATTGGGGTTGTACTGTTATTTTACTTCTTTTTTTGTTTACTGGTATAATTCTAGTTATTATGTGGGTGACTTGAATGGTTGGTGTCAAAATGACACCTTTTGGTTTATTCCCTAATATTATAAAGCATAATTTAATTAACATACCATTCCTGTGCGACTCTTAAAGAGTTTTGTGAAGTTATAAATATTTTGATGGTGTGTGTTTTTCAGTCACAGCCGTGGAATTACACAGTGGGACCACCCAGAGTACGTTCGCATATTAGAGGAAATGCAGTTGGTCAACTCTGTGAAATACGCAGCATACCGCACTGCAAGTAAATTGCGTCGTCTTCAGACTCGGCTTAAGTGTAAGCTCTCGTGTGAACATTATTTTACATTAACATTATTTTATTAACAAGTATTCTGCAGACAAAGTTCAAGTAAGCCTCTTGTCTACTAAGCTTCTGCTCCACAAGAGGCTTAAGTGATGTACCAAATTATGAATTAATTCTAGAACATATTTTATTACCAAACTTTGAAACTTGCAGATTTTGTACATTTCGGAAGAGTCGTGCATCTGTGTAGTTGAAGGTGTCCTTAACTGAGGGTTGATTTTATGACAAATTTTCTAGATACCATTTATATATATTTTGTATTTTGCTTATTGTTTTTGCAGACTTATTTCCCCCAATTTTTATGGTTCCTGTGTGATGTTTGGAGAGTACCTTTGTATATCGGCTAGAAATTTTAAGTATGTTGCCTTTGACCTCAAACTCATTACTGGGGGGGGGGGGAGGGAGGAACCTTCTAGAAAATCTAAAAAACAAATGGGCAGAGTTTGGACATTATTTCTACATATGCCCTATGCAAGGAAATATGCCAAATTTTAACTATCATAATCACTCATGATTGTGATTATGAATCATGAGTCACGATCACTCATGATTGTGACTCATCACCATAACTACCACCTCAACTACAGCATAATCATCAGAACAAAGCACATCACTTCAACCATAACCCAGCTACCACTATGGCCACCAACACCACAGCCCATCCTTAGAGCAAATCCATTGCCATGAGAAACAACACCCTGCCTTCAAACCACCTTGATAGTTATCTTGGATATTTGTGATGGTCTGAAAGCGTATTACAGTTCCAGTAATAGTCTACTTGTAAACTGGCAAGTGAACCTTTGTCCTAAACAGAGATTATTCTCAAGTTATAATTTTAATGTACTAAATATCGTTGGTTAAATATGTATAAAGTGTATGTTGAAAACGTTTTCTTTGAAGAATTTGGCTTTCTATAAACAGAATTCTCTGGTACATATTAATAGATATCGAATTCAATATTCCACATTATTGTCAATAATACACTGTATTAACATAACCAAATGTAATGAGACCTAACCAAACCTTAACTTTAATCTAAAGTAGCCCTAACCTAATGTAACCTTAGAGAGTAGATGATACTGTAGCACTAATTATGTAGCCTTTCCAATCCATTCCATTGAGCATTCTTTCCTTGAGGGCATGTTGATCACCAATACTTCTGGGTTATTGTGTGAGAAGCTTCCATGTCAAGTTTTTAAGACACTTCTTGAATTAAGTGTGTAAGCCAATAATTGTACTGGCAGTGCCTGTGTATTAATGAAATTAAAGGTACTCTTAGTTAATTATTATACTGTACTTATATTTTCTTTACAGTTCATGAAGTATCCCTGCAGTGTGTAGCTTCAGCTTTTGACAGTGCTGGTTTGCGAGTTGCAGAAAACAATGATCTAGTAGAGCTGAAGCAGTTGGAACAAGTCATTTACAAGTGTCTGCGTACTACCTACAGAAACCGACAAATGCACATTACCCTTGCCACACACCTCATCGTTAACCTTTTGCTCAATATATATGATTTGTAAGTTTATTTTGATTTATAAATATCTAACCTAAGATCAAGGTTGTAATCTGTAATTGTAATAATTGCTATTTTGTGTAGTGCCTTTATCAGGACATCTTTGTTTCTCAAGGAACTAATGACCTTGAATCTTTGAATAAACATGTATTTTGCTACTCGTGTTATATAGACTAGTGCACATGAATTTTACCAAGGCAATCAACAAGTGTGAGTATGTAATAAGTGAGGGTAAAAGGAGTAATGGGTAAAGTAGGAAAGTGAGATTTGGATTAAAAAAAAAAATCAATGCTTGTAGGGCAATGTCTTAGTTCCCATTCTAATAACACAAACATTGGAATACAAACCATACCTTTCTACAAACCCCTATTTCCATCCACTTCTACCTACACCTGCAGGTGCTCCTTCCAGTCTTGCACTGGTGTCTTGCTTAACACATATCTAATTGTATTTGTGGAAGTTCGGACTCGCCTCTCAATCTAAGTTTGAAGTAGAATATTTTAAATGTGTTGTAACATATTTTGTACTCTGCAGGGAGGTATTACATTCTTATAAAGCACACTCTTGGTTCTCTTCAAAATTTCAAACTCAACATGGTCCTATTCTAAGGCATCTTGCCTTGAACCACTCCATATAACTATGGATTTTCTTTGTGTTAATTGATAATATCTGCTTGGGAGTGAGTTTTAACATTTTTATTTAGTAAACTCTGCAGGAGTATTTGTTCCGTGATTATTTTTATAATTATTGAATGTTATTAATTTACAGTACTGTACTGTCATTGTTTAAATACCCTAAGATCATGAGAAGCATATTTGTCTTAAGTTCTAACATCTAAAAAACAATATTTAGTATAGTATCAATATTTAGCAGAAACATTATAATTGGTACACCTCTAATAAAAGTACTCTACCTCAAACTTCCAACAAAAAGGCAATACTTCACAACATCACAAAGTCCATATGAGAAGCAAGTAATAGCTCATGTTTCTGACATGAGACCCCTGAAAGTCTTCTAGAACCTGAATTAGTGGAAAAGATTAATAAGTATCCTGATGAGTGAGGGAGAAGCCATGATGCAACATTTAACAGTTAAGTGACAAGGTGGGCTTTAGAAATGTTAGAAAAGGGATATGGCCGATGAGCTAGAATGAGTAATGTATGCTGCTCCCGTGTCCAACATCTGGTCTGGAACACAAAGAAGTAAGGGCAGCAGATGGCAACCGGTTACATGCCTAGAGGCATATCATGAAAATGCTCCAGAAGGTATTGAGAGCAGCCCTTATGAGAATTCTCTAAAGGGAATGGACCTGCTCTCTTCTAAGGAAGGAGGCAGGTATGTATGTGGCGTAATAGTGCATGTACGAGAAACCAAAGCCATTGAGCCCTTACCTCAAGCCAGAGGAAGACCTGTAGTGGCATGACAAGGTTAGAATGAAAACACAGCATTCCTCTGACAAAAAAAAAGTTAAGGATAGTATAGGTCTGCAATCAAGACAGGCTGTTATATTTGTTTGTATGTATATCTTAACTACATAATTCTTACCTACCCATAAAACAGACTAATCCTTGTAGGCTTTTTCATTAGCACTAATCATTGCCAAAGCTAAAACATTTTTCATTTACCAGGGGACGCAGTGGCATGGTTCAAGTGCTCGGGTGCAAGGTGCTGCTGGTGGTTTTGTGTGGAGGGCGGCTTCAGGAAAAGTATCGCTATCTCTTCACTCAAATAGCAGACCATAACAACTGCTGCACTAGGTGAGACTAGGATAGTTTATTGCCTAATGATTCACTTAACATTTTCATTCTTCATAATTTATATGAAATTAATAATATTGTATTAACGTGTATTCCAGTGCAATCACTTTCTCTCTTTTTTTTTTTGTACAACATTTATTGTATTAACGTGTATTCCAGTGCAATCAATTTCTCTTTTTTTTTTGTATATTCCAAATTATATCTGTTAATACACGAGTATTAATAGATATAATTTCTGAATAGATGAATAGAAATAGTTTAAAAAAATTAATTATCTATGTTTATCTACTACAGTATTTAGATATAAAAGGATTAGATATACTAAAAATTTATGATTGGTAAAACTTTTTAAAACATGAACATAAAAATATTAAACTTAATTTATATGTTGGGAGCCTATTATCTGGATCCCCATTTTTTTGTGGATTCTTGAACTAAGTAAAGACAAAAGATCCTGTTCTCCATCCCCATTAACCAGATCTTGCCTAGAAATTGGGGGTCCATTCCCATTAATCAGGAAGTCTTGGCAGGAGTAAAGACTTGGGGCTTGACCACACTAGGCAGGAGTGGACAATGTGTGGTGTGAACTTGTTTTAACCATACCATAGAATAACAGGATATCTAACTCACATTTTGCCCCCTTCTAAATAATTTTCTACAAAAATATCAACATTTTCATAACTGGTATAAATTAAATCCTGTATTGTTGTCTGATAATTTAATGTGAACTATTGTGTGAAATTATGTTACGGTTGATAGAAGTATATGCAGTCAATATTTGTCCACCCTTGCCTGGTCATATGCTTCCTCACTTGTGTACAAGGAGCTTAATCACTTGCTCAGAGACCCTTATTTTTTATAAGTTATCTTCAGGACATTTTCATTCCTCATTCTAAGAAATGTTTATAATGAAGCTCTTAATATCTTAATTTGTATTATAATTCCAAAATAAATAATTTTTCCCCTAGACGGAGATTAGCAGCAGTTCTTCGTGACTTGGCTCGTATTCCAGAGCTGCTCTCGGAGCAGCCATCATTTGGCCTATCTCTGGTGGCAGCTGCCGTTGAAAGTTGTTTTCAAGAGGTAAATAAATGTGGTTTTTCATTGTATTGAATTAATTTATCTGTACAATATTGTACATTGAGAGCAGCATGCCTATGCTATACAGTATTGATTTTAATAAACTCATTTGCACTATTTGAAAATTTTATCAAATAATAAAGGGATGTGACAACTCCTCCATCCATCAATACACTATGTAGGGCAATTTGTCTCACATTCCCTGCATTATAGGGGTGTGAGGTTTGGAACCCATCCTGCTTTTCTTATCTTACCTCTTTCTTCAGCAGTACTGTGTGTGTGTGTGTGTGTTTCTTTGAACTCTGTTTATGTACAAGCTATATAATTTGACTTTGTAACCAAAAATTGTCTTTCTCGCTAGGTCATTCTTGCCCTGGATTGTCTTAAGGAAGTCCCTTGCACTCTACAGTTTTGTTTCATTCTGGACAGCTATCCAATGTTCCCTGTCCTCACATCACCTATGTAATCAAACTATAATGGCAGTGATCACCGGCTGCCATTGGTGCCTTATATGATGCTCTCGATAACCAACTCGCTCATTAAAAACTAGGTCTTTCTTTCCCCTTTCCGTTAGCTTTTTTATTTAATGCTTTAGGAAGTACCTATCTGTGGTGTCAGTGTTTTGCTCTCAAAATGTCATCCCATCATGGATATCCTTCATTGTCCAATCAATTTATGATATAAAATTGATTAAAATCAAGAATTAAGTTTCTAATGAAACCGCATTCTAAGAGCTGTTATCTTGCATCACCTTATCTGAAGCCTGACTAGAAATTGATTTATTTAATGAGATTATTATTAGTTTTCATTATATTTGAGTCAGTCAGCATGTCTTAATTCATTAATCTCCATTTCTCTTCCTTCTTTCATTTCTTTTTCAGGCCACTAAAAGTGTTGCTCTCATCCTACAAGCTATATAGGTAATTTTGCACACAAACTCTCACTCGCATACGTTCCTTAACAAATACACTTGCACAGTTTCATATACACACCAGAACCTTAAATTATCATGACCAAACTACACATCAGAAGATGAGGAAAGACAACATTTCAGTCCGTCCTGGACCGAATCACACAAGACTTGTTTCAGTCCGTCTTGGACCATCATCGTCGTCGTTTCTCCATCTTCTGATGTGTGGTTTGGTCATCATATCTTCAGCCTAGTTATTATGACTCATTATCCTCCTTAAATTATGTTTTTAGTTTCTTGTTTAAATACAGTACAGTATTATATATTTTTGTGAACAGGCCCTCGTACTGGAAAGCAACTCCACAAATATCCTAAATTACCCTGATATAACAAAAATATACAGTATCTCAAGATGGGATTTTCACTAAATTACCTGAGCATTGAGGTCGGTGAGACTAAAGTCAGTGTGTAAAGTCATGAACTTTTGCCTCACTATTGTAGTATGCTAACAAACCATAACAGAAAAAACTTTGTATCAATAATTAGTTTGTATTGAAAATGTGTTGTGTACCTAATCTTTCATTGATTCTGTAAGGTATATGAGAAGTATACCTTAATTTTATTGTTGTAACTGATATTGATGTACAAGTACTAAATGTGTTTCATGATAGGTAGAAAGTGAAGTTGGAGTGACCGAGGAGGTGTTGCTGGCTTGGCTGCTCAAGGAACCTCAGACTTTGGTGTGGTGGACAACCTTGTACAGAATTACTGCTGCTGAACTAGGTTAGTAATTGGGAAATTGGTAAATGTGATTAGTAATTTTTTTTTTAGTCACCTATATTGTAATTTATGGCCCATGTACGAGTTAAGGGAGCCTGTGAGATAAACTGCCTTAAGTCTTGTTGAGTATCATCAGTGTTGTAAGTTTTGGCAGTACTGTACTCAACTTATAAAGTAGATCATTATCACAATGATATCTTATTATAATAGAAAAGGAATTAAGTAGGCTGGGGATTCATTTTTAATTAACTTCATTAACATGGCAGCCTAGAGATTTTTTTTTTCACATCCAGCCCTTGTTAGTTGGGAGCCTCTGGAAGGATAAAAGCCCTTACTATAGCTTTAGCTACAAGTGTAGAAAATAGAGCAGATAGCTTAAATATTAAATATCTAAAGTTAAGTTGCATTGCATTCATAAACAATTATTTTTATATGTTGATTAGTTTACCCTAAAGAGATAGCAATTATTCTACAAGTGACCTCCATATGTGCAAAATCTACAAACATTATAAAAATGTAATTGTTTTGCATTCCTTATACTGTATTTAAAAGTTTAACATGAATATATGGAAAAAAATATTGTTAAAAACTTCCATTTATTTCCTTGGAAATACAGAATTAAACTAAATTATAATTATTTCGTATGAAGCTCCGAAATGTTTTCTTTCGAAATGTTCTCCATAATTAATATTTTTATCTTTTTGATTAAAAAATAATAATAAATATTTCATGGTAAACTTTTAAAAACTTAAACAAAAAATTAAATTCTCACATGCATAATTATTAGCATTAATGTTTTTTGTGAGCACTGATTCAAATTGCTAAAAAAAATCTAAATGAAATTTATAATAAAAAGGTTCAACTTTTTATTAGGTAATACAGTGCTGTGTTAGCCAGAGAAATGTCAAATCTTGATAATTATAGGCATTTAGGATCAAAACTCATTTTCCAAATGTTTCTGTAGTGATGAACATCAATTTACACTTGCTGTATTGACCTCAGAATACCCCTTATACAACAAAATTGATAGAAAACATCATTAAGAGTTATTGTGTATATATATAAATTTAGATTTGTTTTTCAGTGTGTCATGACGTTAAGTGTGGAGTGTGCAAGCAGCGACCAGTCATTGGGCTTAGATACCAGTGTTTGCGGTGTTTGGGATACAATCTCTGCCAAGACTGTTTTCTTCATGCTCGAACTTCTCGTAGTCACAAGTTATCACACCCCATTCAAGAATATTGTCATGAGGTGGGAACAAATGCCAGAACTGGTTAGAAATGAAAAAAAAAATCAGCTAAGGCAAATTCTTTTGAAAGCTTCTAGATTTCATAATTCTTGGACACAGTACATGGCTACTGCTTTGCCATTGAGCATATAAATAAATATGCTATATTTGTTAAACAGTTATCTTTGTTAGACAATACAGTACAGCAGACCCTTGTTATTCAGTTTTAATTATTCACTGTTGGTAGCACTACAATAGTATTAATCTCATAGTTTTCATTCTGATGATTTTCACCAAACATATTATTTAATGGTTAAACAATTAGCCAATGAATGGCATTAAACAAAAATATACCAATTTGTTGAGACACTAAAAAGACAGGTAGGTGGAGCTAACACCATGGAACTCTGGGACTCTTCCATTAGATAGATGGAATTAGTGAACTGTTTGGTGTGTGCCTACACCATTGGAAGCTTCAAAACTTTATAATGTTTAACAAAGATTATCAAGAAGAGAGACCACATGCTCAACTCTCATCCTATAACTACTTTGATAATAACAAACATTGCCACCACACAACCATATCTCTTGTTTTTTTCCCCAATTTGGTTATATTTGTGTTGGCAAACATTCTCTCTTTATTTTCCACGAGCCTATTATCCTCATTCAAGGTTTTACTGGTGTTTCACGAATGTATCTTCCATGAATAGCGAGGGCCTGCTGTATAGATAATTGTTAGAAGTCATTGATGCATCCTATTTATTAAATCATTCTAATGTTCTTGTAGACAAATAGTAAAGAGTGGCGTAGAGCTCTGATGAAGATCCTGAAGCACCGCCTGAGAGGTCATACAAGGTACAACAAGCAGCGATACTTAGCAATAGCCTCCAGTCCTGATGCTGGGTGTAATATGTGAGTATACAATGGGTCATGCATTCAAAGAATTAATATGGGATTCAGCACAAAATATTTACTGTAATTATTTTTACTGAAGTATTCCATTTGAGCTTGTTTGCTGAAATATCTGTGCTTGTGAAGTTGATTATCGCTTTTATGGTGGTTTTTTAGAATTGTCAACCCCAAGATATTTTTCCCATCTGGTTTCAATTTGCAAGTTTAGAGCTCTGGATTGGAACTCTTGAATAAATTATTTCTGAAGTCTTCATGGCTCATTTGAGTACTTTTTCACCTGTGTTCCCTTGTATTTCTACTTAAATGTTGAAAGAATGGATGTAGTGTTTCCTCATGATCCACCCATCCACAACTGGCATAGAATATTATCTTTATTTTGTAATCCTTTAAAATTCTTTGTTTTCCTGGTTTAAAATACAGTACTCAGTAAATCCTATATATTTAGAGTTATTACTAGATCATTTTGTATTCCTCCGATTATGTAGGAAGAATTCAAAATGTATTATTCCGTACCATTATGTAATAAGGTGCTCGTCACTTGACCTTCACTACCTAATCAGTAAATACTGAAAGTATTCCATGCTTTATTAACCTCTTGAATTGTGCATTATAATAAGTGTGGTGTTGTTTGACACAAGGCATTTAATATCGTTAGATATCTAATTCTTATTGGTGTCTGCAGGACTAGTGTATTGTGTGAAGGCGAAACAAGAGAGTCATCGAGTGAGAGCAGTGAGGAAGAAGAGGAGGAACTTTTCTCGCGTACCATTCTCCATGCCTCCCATGACAATGATTCTTTAAGTTCTGAGGAAGGACGTATTAATGATGTGGAACAGCAGAGTTGTGGCTTTAGAAATACAGCAGAGCCAACTATATTACCCACATCTCCCCGAAATCAGATACATTCTATCATTATGCATCTTGAAGAGGGACACAGGTAAACTTGTATATTCTGATAATTTTATATCATTAAGTTGCTTGTACAGTATGTGTTTTCTTTTGTCCATTGTATTTTTTGACTAAATCATGGTTGTGGGTCTTCCTCATACTCATTGGATTACCAATCACTGTACATACACACGAGTTTAAAAGATCAAAAGTAAATTGTATTATTTCCATATTAGCAAAACATCCCAGTTGGGAAAATATGATTAAATAAAAATGAAGGAAGAGAGGTGGAGAATAACAAAATTAAGTAGAATAGAAATAGTAATACAAGTTACTATAATAGCATTTAACTGTGCGAAAGTGGAAGATATGTACCATGCAAAATATTAATCCATTGCAAATGTTGAAAATAAATTGAATTGTCAAGAAGAACTAGGATTTCTGCTGTATTATCTCATGAACAAGGTCTATATTTAAAGTAGATTCTTCCATACTGTATTTTTTTGTTGTGTATTTTTTATTTAGTTTTACAGTATGGTTATAGGAAATTAGTTCCCAGTATTGTGACTAATTTACCTCTATGAAAAATGATCGATTCTTCATTGTTGGGTTTTCCTAGACAACTAGAGGAAGGTGGCTCAAAGGATATGGATGCTGGCATTGTGGAACAACACACTCAGAAGCTTCAGACGCAGATAAACAGATTAAAAGCTATTCTGCAGGTACTGTATGTTTATATTTTGCTTGTGTATGATTTTTTTTTGTTAGTTGGGCATTCTTGCATTATGCTTGGCTGTGTTGTAATAAATATTTGCTAATGGCATCACATTTGGCTTTCGTAAGATTTTGTATTTTTCAAAAGGATTATTCTACTTTCAGGCATAATAACATACTGGCACCACAGGGAGCTTTTCAGTCTCTTCCAGGGTTATTCTAAGCTTTATGGAGTTGCTTGAGAATTCTCAATCTATCTCCAAATGAACTGGCCGAGGCTAATTAAAATATTCAAGTCATTCTAAAACCTCTCGCTACATCATAGATGACTGTGTGTGTGTGTGTGTGTGTGTGTGTGTGTGTGTGTGTGTATGTATGTATGTATGTATGTATGTATGTATGTATGTATGTATGTATATAATATAATATATATAGTATAATATATTTTTTTTACATCTGTTTTAAAAGAATGGTGAACAAATATATATGTACAGTATATCACTTCATTTAAAACTTCTTTTTCTTTACCAGACTTTTAATTCAGGGTCAGCAGGTGCTGGCAAAAGTGGGGTTAAAGATGGCACTACCTGTACTAAGCATAATAAAGGAAGAGGACTTCAACTTCTGGAAAGCACCCCAATAGTTGATCGTGGGTTGTTACTCAATCTCTCCCCTATAGTTACTCGGCCCTCAGCTGATGATACGGCAGTGCTAGACAATAAAGAAAACCACTTGGTGAGTTGTGTAATGCTTTATTATTGTGCATGTATCTAATTTTATTCTCATTATGAGAAATGTTCATATCTAAAGTGGGTTTGCCATTTAGATAGTGAAATAGTACAGATAAATCAAAATCTGGTCAGTAATTAACAGGGTGTATTTCATTGGAGAAGAATGTGGTTGTGTGTATCGGGTACAATATTTACAATGAGAGAAAAGGAAAAGTGCAAGATTTATACCTTTTTAGATTTAAGGAAAGTGTGTCTCGAAGTGAACTGAGAATGAGTAATGTATTGAATATGTATGTAGTTGAGGAATATTAGTAGTGGGGAATTTCTAAGATAACCAAAATAGCCCATCGACCTAGGACATGGTACATGTGCTAGGCTCCATGGACTTTACATGCCACTGTGACAATAAACTGCTCCTGTTGCAGACAGTTACCATTCCAGTGGTTATTACTGTTTCTTTGGAATAAGCTTGTGAAGCCTGGAATTCATATTAGTATGAAGGGCAACAATCAAGATGTCAAGCAGTTCCTTCCATTCACACATTAGTTTGTTAATGTCCCCATAATAAATTGCAAAGATAATGTAATATTATCTTAAGTTGAATCTTGCAGGTAGAGAACCCAAGAGAAACTCCAGTGAGAACCAGTTTAGATGCTCATCACAAGAGAAGACCCTTCACACCTTCTCAAAACAATTTCCCATCCTCCCCCATGCCTGATAGTCATACAGATGCTGCTCAAGGTGAGCTAAATAAAGTCATTGTATCAAATGTTTTTTTTTCTTCAGCAAAATGCACCATATCCTGACATACTGTGTTTGCTCTTATCATTAGCTAATAGTTACAGAAAAAGAGTAATTCTAGTGTTTCCTGCTATTTACATGATTAGTCAGTGCCATGATATATAATGAATAGTATAGTACATGGCACTAAAATTATTATTTTGTAGTCAATGTAAATTGAATTTTGTGTATACTAGAGAAGGGTTGTTAAAATCATGTCTAATTATGGACATGTGGCTTCCCATTGCTTGGGGGCAGGATACCTGTTAGGCTTGCAGAGATCCCTCAAGAGCTAGGTCCTTGACTGATCTATCCCAGGAATCACGTGCATCTCTTGATTACCTTGAAGCACTACATGTTCCCAATACATATTTCTTAATATGTTCTTTGACTATATGCTCATTTTATCAACTTCACTGACATCATATTCCTTGTCTGACATCTTCAACACAGAATTACTCGCATCTTGCCTTGTGTCACCACATGCCTTGCTCTATATCAATTGATCAGTAATTTAAACAGTGAACATTCTTTTTCCTATAGTAACCTGTTAATTTCTTAAGGTTTACCCTTTGTAGTTTTGAATTCTCTTACTTGTATCTTTAACATTAACATTGCCACAATGCTTAGCCTAAATTTCTTGATTATTCTTGAATTCTATTTATTTCACATTTACCGTTTTGTAATGGACCAGTCAGTGCTTTCACCCATTCCATGTGTATTTTTACTTAATTCTAAGTCTTCAGTTATCACAGAAATACTAGTGAGCTACCATATCTTCTTTACAGACTTCTAATAATTTTATCACAACTTACTACCTGTCCATATTTCATTATTTCTCCAAATCATATCTTCCACCAACATATATATTACAATGATCTTATCTATCTCCTTCCATATCCAAGTGTCTCGATAAAATTCTCAATCCGATTCTTTCAATGTAGACAACTCGTGTTTTTCCTACTCCAGCAATGGCATCCCGAGTGATATCTACAAATCTGAAACTTCTGTATCTCACACAGTGCTGTATAGCCATACTGGCTTAGCTCATTATTTTGTATAGTTATGTACTTTTTAATGTTTCATAAGCTTAAACTTAACTTCACCATTAGTGATAAATAGCCAAAAACTCAAAATTCATACAGTTCACATTAATCCGTAACTAATTAGCCTAAATTTCGGAGGTTGCAATGCAGTGCAGGTGGAAGCAAGTGGAATGCTCTTGCAGAAGATGTCACTTCCATCCACTGCTCAAGAGCAAGTATGTCAGAATACTTGAACTCTGGGAAGTACCAATATACTGCACAGTACCTGTAAATGCAAACAATACAACAGCTGTGGTGGGGAGAAAGAGTTCAATCTTGCTTACCTTGAGCACAGTTTGGTAAGCTATTTTTACTTAAGTTAATATTTCAGATTGACAGTAGCTGTTTTATAATTTGTTTATCTTGAATACAGATATTGGTGGCTTAAAAGTTGTTCCACAACCATCGAGACTACCCAGCTTCACAGAGGTCAATTTCAGTGATCTGTCATCTTTGACCTCTGCTACAGCTTCATCAGAAACTTCTCCAATAATGTTGTCACCGGATAGAAATGGAGCAAATGGGGATACTGTTGATGGCACAATGGATGTCAGGGAGGAATTGGAGAATATCATGCGGCAGTTAGACCAGATATTTCCATTTACAGAATCAGATGGTGAGTACCAGTAGTTGAATAATGTTGATATTTTATTGCATTTTCTCTTCATAATTAAAATTAAACCGAATTATTATTTACTTTTTGTTTATACAGTATATAATGACAGAAAATTTCCCCGCAGATTTCAAGGTGGTGCTGCCAAATAGCGTTGGTGTTGTCGAAGCTGCATGTGAGCTTGGAGATATTTTAGCAGAATATGTTAATGTTGTTCCCAACCAACAAGACAAATTGTAGTGTAATTTACTGACAATAATCAGTGTGCTTTTTGCCTGCCGTCCTACGTAGATTTGGTAGTTGTGTGAAGTGCTGACCATTTATAATGTTTTACAGTAATTATTTTTGTCAGAGGGACAGGCAGCTAGTGTATATATATACACATTAGGCTTATGTTGAGGTCCTCCCCAATTTCATTCTACTGACCCTCCCAAGGGTGCAGCCCCACAACAAGCTAACTCCTGGGTGCCTATTTACTGCTTATCCAGAATTTGAACCCACTGTACTACTTGGGATTAAGGTTTTAAACATGAAAATACAGTATGTTGTATTAATTTTTAATGATTTCTGGGTCCTGTAGCACAGTAGTCAACTCAGTCCATTCACAACCGAAAGATACCTGGTTCAATTCCTTTAGCATGACTGAGAGAGATGTTTGGCTCGTTTCTGTTCACCTGCCAATAAATTAGGCACTCGGAAATTAGACAACTGTTGTGAGCTGCATCCTGAGGAAGGTCGGAAGTTGGCCTGGGGGGGTGGGGGATCTTATTTGGCCTAACTTGCTTCCTGTCATTGACAGTGCAAAACCAAAACAAACAGTGTTTGAAAATATTCCTGTTTTGTTTTTTTAAATGCTGATTATAGTGTGTTTCAAGCTTGAATCATAGTTGATGTATGGAATTGGCAGTGTTATGTCAGTCTGTGGCACTTTCATTCACAGACCAAAGATATGATGATTTTTTTTTTTAACAAAGCCGTGATTATATATTCTTGTGCTAAGCATTGAAGTTGTTTGATTACATGTTATATTTTACAAATTGTTAGTTTTCAGCATTTTGAATCCATGGCATTCTTGTATACAGTATATCCATATGTTTGTGTGGTTAATCATGGTTAATTAGCAGTTTTCATTCTTTACACACCTGCTTTTCAATGCGAGCAGTGGGTAGCTATTTAATTTGTGACAGCCATGCTAATGGGTGAAATTATTTGATTGAAGTTTCAGAAACGTGCAAAGTTTGAATACTTGACATGAGAGTTTTCAGAGGGAAGACAAAATAAATAAATATTGTTATTTATAAACATTTTAAATAGTTGCCCATTCTTGCACAGTTTGGTGTGGTGTGAATGCAAAACTTCTGCATACAGTGGAACCTTGGTATTTGGATTTAATTGGTTCCTGAAGGCGGGATGAGTGCCGAAAAGTGCGACTACTGAAGAAAAAAATTCCCATAAGGAATAATGTAAATTGGATTATTCCGTTCAAGACCACAAAAATAAATATATTTGTACAACACTACAAACTTTACCTGCACTTAGGAGAGTTGATGGCATATGTGGATGGTGTTGAGGTAGGAGAAGAGAGAGATGTTATTCTCTGGCAGGGGAGTCTGCTACCATTATCACAGCTTTGTCAGAGTGATATTTATCTGGAATATTTTGCACACATTTCTTTTATTAGAGAACTAGATTTAGGCATACCAAACTCGGTATGGCATGCAGACACACGGGCACCATATTCAGATTTAGCTATGAGTTCTTTCTTCATCTCTAATCATTTTTCTTTTTGCTTGACACTTATCACAAACTTTCTTAGGTGACATGGTGACTTATTTACACTTGGAATATAAAAATATCCAAAATAGCCCCCCAAAAAAGTGTAATGGGTTGTGCACTGAACAACAGCTATGGTGAAACTGACGCGTGTTTACGTCTAAATGCCCAGCAAACGGACGAATGCCGAACATGAACACAGCATCTGAATGCCAAAAAGTGCGAATACCGAGGTTCCTCTGTATTAGAATCCATCAGTAAATGTTATTGTTGGATTGTTCCTGTATATTTAAACCCACCAGCAACTTTATAGTGTTCAGCTACTCTATTTTAAAATTCACAAGTAAACAATGATTCCCATTTTCCCATTTTTAATTTTAAATAAAATGGGTGCTTCTGATCCTATATGAAATTAAATCCATTGACCCTTTCTTAAGTTTGGTAAAAAGATGGAATAATTAAGGAATATTGAGGCTTTGTTTTTGTAATGAAATTATTTGCTTATAATGTTTTATTTGTTAATGAAAAATACAGTACTTTTGTTTAATTTTCTACTGCCATTCTCTTTGATGCCAAGTTGCAATACTGAATAAATTTAATACTGATTTGATTCACCATTTTTTAAATTGCCTCCAACCTTTAACCTTATCATTGTAATTCTTCTTTGCTAACCCTTTATTGTATTTACAAATCTTGTACACTCGATGTATTAATCTGTTACTGTATACTTTTGTCAAAGCATCTTTCTCAGGACTTAAACAGTTTTTAATACCTTAATGTCTTTTTATAATTGTTTTATATTTATTGGAGACAATATTATGCCGTTTAATTTATGTGAATTTAAATTGTACTGTACATACCTCGGATGTTATGGCATGTCCTTACACATGCTGATAAACTTATTTCTTCATTCGTTGAAGAAATGAATGAAGAAATATTTCTTCATTGAAAATAATTGTTTTCCCAATTAGTAAGACTTCCAGAGCTTGAATGCAATTAAAGTGATTTACAAACCCATTTAGGGTTTCCTCTTGCATTTATATTTTACAATTAAAAAATTGATGGAAGGTGGATAAGATTAAAATGTGAGTATAATCTTCATGGGATTTAAAACAACAGATATTTCCATGGCAGAAACAAGATTAGTAATATCCTTGAGAGCAGCAATATCAATGGATTTGGATGGTATGATGAACTATATGGTTTAGAATGTAAATAAATTAATAGTTGCAGATACAGAGGCTCTGTGTGGGGAACATGTTAAGGTGGATGAGTGCAGGGTAGCTGTTACACCCTAGCAATAACCCTGTTCATTATTTGCAAGAAAAAATCATAGTACAGTTGGAGAGTTTAAAGGCTAGGTTTTTGAACATACAAAATATAACATTTAATTGCTTGTAGAGGAAATTGGTAATTTATGGCAGAAATGATCAGGAAGGTGTGGAAAAATGGTGAAAGCTGATAGTATAGCAAAGGATGTAGTGCATGGTTCAACAAATATTAATAGAAGTTCGGTGTTTGAAATGAATGTGAGAGCTATGTTGGTTAAGGAATGCCATCGTGGCTATTGACCATGGTTAATTTCCTATTAGCTTAGAAAAGTCATATTTTGGGTAAAGTATATAAGAGTTATATTGTGAATATGAATGCTGCAGTTAAGTGATGCTATGAAAAGGGGCATTTTCATTTAAATTATAATTGGAATGGTAAAGAATGGGATATAGTTGTGTAAGTTAAATAATTGGCTTAGCATTAGTATATAAAATGCTGAATAAATTGTTTGATATAGTACAGTTATGATGTTATGTTATTTATACAAATTTTTATAGCAATGACAGATATTTTACAAAAAAAAAGATTACAGAAATATTAAATTTTATATTATACTGTACAGTAGTATAATGTTAAGTTCTTAATTTTTTCTTTTAATTATGTAATTTTGAATACTTGTATGTATTTACTGTAATTATTTTGCATTTGAAATTTACCTTACTTTAAAAAAGGTGCTGTTTCCCAATCCACAACAAAATTATTTTAATTAGCACGATGTGGTGTGCACTCAAAGTTGTGTTCTCTCTAATGCCAGAGCGAGTACCCAACTTCATAGATATGAAATTGTTCATGAGCTGCTGGCTTACTTTTTAATACTAATAAAAGATAAAATATGTGTGCTGTTTTCTTTAATTTACATTATGTATTAATGCCCCAAGTTTAGATGAAAAAAGTTAATGCATGTGTAAACTGTAACAGACTTTTTAGTTATGATTAACTTGAATTATTTGACTGTATCTGTACTGATTTTTAATATACAGTATATTTTTCCCTAATATTATTTAAATACTGTATTCTAGTACAGTATTTTTCTTTTCATATCTTAACATCAATCTGTTAATATGGCATAAATGTTTTAAGCATTCATGAGATCCTATCAATGATTTCAAACCTTCAAGAGTAACACTACTTATTTTTCCTCTCATTGACAATGCCTTAACGTGGCATAAGACTTTCGAATTCTTCAGTGATGTGAATGACATTTGACAGTGACTTATGAAGCTCCTCCTAGTCAAATTTTAAGTTGAGATGAAAACCTAGGCTTGTTTCAGCCAATTTGTGTGTCTTTTATGCATTGTTCTGGTTTCTCTTCAGTCCATACAGTCCTGGTTTTGTTTCATCTAGGAATTGAGTTTCAATGAACATATGACTTTATGGGCAACACGCTACTTTAGTGGGTGGATAGGGATAAAACAAGGTTCACTGTAGCCTGGTTGAGTTAATCAGTTGGCACTGCTGAGTGTATTAGAATCAAATGAGCACCCCTATTGGTATCTGGTGTGCTGCCCAGTTCGACGATGTGGCCTTCCATTGACTTTGCGGGGTGTTTGGTTGTGCCAAGGTGGCCCTCTTTGCAATGGATTGAAACCGGCAGCATCCACTTTACATGGCTTCATTTCCCAATCATAAAGTGCTCTCAGTGGATGACTTCGGTTGGTGGGAGTTTCTTGATCTCTTCCTGTGGTTCAGATGTTGCTCCAGGGTCTGTCCAGAGGAGACATTCTAGCAGGGTACTGTCATTGGCTCCAATGTGTAATGTGTAAAATATAGTATTTTCATACAGCAACTAGAGTGCAAATCATTATAATTAAATACTGTCTATGGTATGAAAAAACTAACAACACAAGTCAAACAATATCTACTGATGTCTGATTAAGACCTTTTGTGCTACCTTTATACAGGACAAATATGGGTTGCACAATAAACTAGTGGCAACACTCAGTCTGTATGACCTCAAGAAATTGCACTCCTGTTTGTAATGTTAGATTCACCCAGTCTTTCATTTCTTGGATAAAATTCTGTATGTTTGAGAGCTTGTGCTCCAGATGCTGCCTTTATGGTTCACCTTGTAATTTCCAGCTGTTGGGGACAGGAAACCTGTTAGGCAAACTGAAATTCCCCTAAGTCAAATACTGAGGACTTTTCCCATGATGCAATCCAAAACAGTTGCCTATCTCCTAAGCACTTATTTTCTGTTAGGTGAACAGATATTAATAGCTGTTTTTGGTTGTGGTTGTAGCTTACTTTGTAGCAGGAAGGAGCAGAGTACCAAATGCTAGCGGCTTTCCTTCGTTTTATTATAAAATACAGTATATAATATTCTATACCGGGCTACGTACTACTATAGAGTGAGCGAGCGTGCATACGTGCTGAGTATAGTGTAGTGGATAAGAGTGCGTACCTGCCATCTTGATAGCCAGGGTTCAAGTCCCCAGAGGAGCAGATGAGGGCCACAGGGACCAGACAAGACAAGGTTACTCTCAGCAAAACTTAAATTACTGAACAATTTGGAAGATAATGACCCAGAACACTTCTTCAAAAAGCTAGATGTAAGACAAACCAGGAGCAATGGTTTCAAGCTCAACAAGCCACACACTATATATATATATATATATATATATATATATATATATATATATATATATATATATATATATATATATATATATATATATATATATATATATATGTCGTACCTAGTAGCCAGAACGCACTTCTCAGCCTACTATGCAAGGCCCGATTTGCCTAATAAGCCAAGTTTTCATGAATTAATGTTTTTTCGACTACCTAACCTACCTAACCTAGCCTAACCTAACTTTTTCGGCTACCTAACCCAACCTAACCTATAAAGATAGGTTAGGTTAGGTTAGGTAGGGTTGGTTAGGTTCGGTCATATATCTACGTTAATTTTAACTCCAATAAAAGAAAATTGATCTCATACATAATGAAATGGGTAGCTTTATCATTTCATAAGAAAAATATTAGAGAAAATATATTAATTCAGGAAAACTTGGCTTATTAGGCAAATCAGGCCCTGCATAGTAGGCTGAGAAGTGCGTTCTGGCTACTAGGTACGACATATATATATATATATATATATATATATATATATATATATATATATATATATATATATATATATATATATTTTTCTGGTTTAGGGCTTCTATCCCTCTAACTATTTTCTTAGCATCAGGGCTTAATTGGAATAGGAGTTCTCCAAAACTCATTTTCGTACTTTTAAGGTGAAGAAAAGAAGTGATTTACTATAGAGTGTATCACACTTATTTGTATAATTTAAGTGTGATACACTCTATAGTAAATCACTTCTTTTCTTCACCTTAAAAGTACGAAAATGAGTTTTGGAGAACTCCTATTCCAATTAAGCCCTGATGCTAAGAAAATAGTTAGAGGGATAGAAGCCCTAAACCAGAAAATAATAAATACAGAATATGCGGTCATATTCAATGAAACATGTTTGAAAGAAAACCTGCTGCCAGTATACACCAATATATATATATATATATATATATATATATATATATATATATATATATATATATATATATATATATATATATATATATATATATATATATATATATATATATATATATATATATATATATATATATATATATATATATATATATATATATATATATATATATATATATATATATATATATATATATATATATATATATATATATATATATATATATATATATATATATATATATATATATATATATATATATATATATGTACATGCATGTATGAGGGTGTGTACATGTGTATACAACATTGATAATTTTGTATCTAGCGTCAAACATTATTTGCTTAGCTAAACGAATTAGAGGGTTCAGTTCCTGAACTGATTATGTGCCTCTGTAATCCTTTACACCACCGCCCACGGGATGGGTATGGGGTGCATAATAAAGAAAGAAATTGAATTGAATTGGGCAAGATGTTAAGATAACTTATTTTATTCATTAAATTGTATAATGATAAATCGCCGCACATATCTGAAAAATACTTATGTATTATTATAATACAATACAATCAAGTGTCATGTAATTATTCACATTTTAACTTATTCCCTGTTTCTATTGGGCATTTTATTGTCTTGGAAGACGAGAACCGAAGAGAATACACGCCAGCGCATGTGTTTTTGGCTACACTTGTGTATACAAAAGGGTTCCTGAATACAAACCTGTTTGTGAACGAATTATTATATAATATTACCATGTGCCATCTGATAACCTGCATTAACTTATTAGCAAATTCTATCGTCTCATTTTGGTTATTTTATTGTCTTGGAAGACGAGAAGAGCAAGGAACACAAGCCAGCCCTTAATGTGTTTACAAAAGGGTTCCTGTATGTAAGTTGACCAGACCACACACTAGGTGACTAGAAGGTGAAGGGACGATGATGTTTCGGTCCGTCCTGGACCTTTCTCAAGTCGATTGAGAATGATCCAGGACGGACCAAATACTGTATTTGAATTTTGTTGTGTAGGTTAGGAGCTAGTGCAGATGCTTATACACGCGAGAGGACCTACAGTATGTTCAAATCTTGGGCAGGGTCTTTACCCTGATTTACAGTGATTTGGAACATGGGAACAAAATTGTTTTTAATGAAGTTTTTAAAACCTTAAGTATTATTAATCTACACAATAATTTAATATCAGTATATGAAGGTTTGTGTATCCATGGAAAATGGGAAGCATAAACACAATTGTGAAATTTAATAAAGATAACTGTACTCCATGGTGTAGTGTACTATTACAGAAATACTGTACTATTACAGTCTCCGTGGTGTAGTGGTAAGACACTCGCCTGGGGTTCAGCGAGCGCTTTGTCATGGGTTCGTATCCTGGCCGGGGAGGATTTACTGGACACAAATCCTTAACTGTAGCCTCTGTTTAACGCAACAGTAAAATGTGTACTTGGTTGTAACAACGATTCTTCGCGGCGGGGATCGTATTCCAGGGACCTGCCCAAAACGCTACGCGTACTAGTGGCTGTAAAGCAATGTAACAACTCTTGTATATATCTCAAAAAAAAAAAAATAAAAAAAAAATACCAAGTTTGCATGTCCCCTCTCCCAGCCATAGGACAACAAAGTCCCGGAGGTTTAGTCATATCGTACACAAGATGATTTGACAAAGATTCTTTCCTGCTCGTTAAAAGCATACATATTGTTAAATTAGGATGTATTAGCTTAGGTTATTTTGGATAAGACAGTGTTAGGATGGGGTAAAGTAAGGTAGGTTTTAAAATCCATTGGCGATCTCTCTCTTGTGTACGATGTGACTTGCGCCCAAAGTACCAAGGTATGCGATTGAGGAGGCAGGTTGGCTGGACTCTTAGATATGAATTGCAACCTGATTTTGACACATCTCTTTTTAAATTAATTACATTATAGATTTAATAATAAGTTAAGAGTCCTTATCACTAGATGTAAATAATCTTGTGTGCTTAGCTAAATGAATTGTGGGTTCAGTCCCTGAGCCCATTATGTGCCTCTGTAACCCTTTCCACTACTGCCCACAAGATGGGTATGGGGTGCATAATAAATGAACTAAACTAAACTGTGTATATTGGATAATGAAGTACATATATGCAATCCCAAGTTTGATCAATTGATTTAATAATCCATGCAACCTGTCCAAAACGAAAGATTATAATGTAACGCGAACATCCATTACTACTTGTGTGGAATTGAGACTTTTCATGCAACAAGGGTTCAAAAGCTGAAACCAGAATGAGCAGACCATGATGCTGTATCACACTCTTGTTGTGATCATATGGTGTATGAATATGTAGCTAATCTTATTTTTAAATTGTAAGGAATATGTTTGTATGTAATTAACAATATGTATGTGAACCTATAGAACCCCCTACCTAGCCTAAAGCTGTTTACCTAGCAGTAAATAAGTGCTCAGGAGTTTGTCAACTGTTGTGGGTAGAATCCTGGGGACTGCCAGTATTTGATGTAGGAGGACAATTAATAAGCCTAACAGGCTTCTTGTCACTGACACTGAAAAAACTTTACTCTCTTGACAAAAATTTAATTGTTCTTCACAGTGCACTGCATAATCCATGGTGATGCTGCGTCAGTGGTCTCGGTATGCAAAACAATTTCCTTTAATTTACATTCAAGATCATGTCCGAAAAGGAATGCGGCAAACATTGTCTACTTCTGTTCCCTGCCTGGCAAGAGGTTCCCGAAGAAAAGTATCCGACAGCATAGCAGTAGATCAGCAGGATAAGAATGGTATGATGCAAATTTAATATTTTTTTTTCAGTAAATTGCTTTGATCTGGAACCATTTATTAGTTTCTATTTTCTTGAATTTCTAGCTTTAAAAAATACAGAACTATTAAAAACATAATTTTCTAAATTAGGCATTTTGAATCAGGGCAAAACCTTTTCTTTTTTTTTATATATTTTGTTGTTCTCTTGGCCCTTGAATCCCTCATTCTTTGAATATAATGATAAAAAAATTAAATATAATACTGTACTATAATACCTGAAGAAAATTTGTGTTAAGTCTTTAGAAAATTGACTATACAGCTGGAAAAATTCTTAAGATCTATATCCATTTTAACATTAATTTTGTATTTTAAATGATAATGACTGTTCACTGTATTATCTAAGCATTTTTAGCATTTTAACTATTTATGCTATGTGTTATTCAGTAGTAAATATGATTAGGACCTTCCAAGAAAGAATTAAATACTGTATATAAGAATCTTACCCAAGCCAAAGAATGGAGCCAGATGGTGACTGAGCTGCAGGTAAGAGAACTGACCACAGGAACCACATCAAGGGCAGATGAAGGCAGCCACCCGCAGATAAGCAAATAGCCTAAGGTCATACCCACAGTAACAGAGAATTCAGTTACATTGATAATAAAACTACTCTGGCAAAGCCTATCTAGCAGGGCCAGAACTGTATGGAACACAGTTGAAAGAGGGAAGTATTACCACAAAAAAGGTAGCCACGTCATGCCAAAGCAAGGACAAGCACGAACCACCATGGAGAATAAGTTACAGCAGGCAAGCAAACGTATTTTGCAATGTCTTGGACATGACACAAGCTGAGGTCAATTGGAAGGGGAACTGGATAAAGTGACATCCATGCCCTACAACACAAGGAAGATTTGCCACTGTCTTCCTTTCCTAAATACAGAACAAGATCACCAGAAAATTATCTTGTCATGGTGGAGAAGATCAATTAAGGTTTGATTAGTATGAGTCCTGGATGGACCATATATACTCTGGCTCAAGTAGTATCTGAGGGACTGGCTCAGAAGGCAGTATACATATATATATCAATATATATACAGTATATATTATGTATGTATGTATACCAGTTTCTGCCTCTGGATAATGTGTATTTCATATGCATATATGTACTTCACTGTACAACTTATTTTATTACTTGTGTTTGGAGCTTACTATTTGCTGTATGTTAAGTTCATTACTCCTTTGCAGATAAAACGGTCAAACCCAATGCAACTGAATATGATTTTGTTGAAGAGGCATTTAGTTCAGAATCCACAAAGGAATTACTGGAGAATGCTGCCAGTTATGAAGACTCTCCCCTCAGTCCAGATGATGTGTGGACACAAGGTCCTTATCCTCACAACAGCAATTATAAGTAAGATAAATGATGTTAGCATTCTGTGTAATGAATTTTCCTTACAATTAAAACCATCCTGGCCATGGAGTGCTGTATGGGGCATAAGTCATAGCAAGTCAATTTTATTATTTAATAATTATTTGTCTGAGCATGGCCTTCTCAATAGCTTCCTTAGCTAGGGCAATGGGTCCAACCAGATCACTGCTAACCCGTCTTGCACTGGATGACTTACAGCCCCTCCAGAAAAAGTAACTTTCAAATGGTCTTGTCTCATAGTTTAGGGGTGGGAAGACAATGGAGAGCATGCTGCACCACAACCCACCACCTGGAAAGACCACTCCTTATCACAGCAAAGAACATATACAACAACACAACACCCCTCCCCCCTTCTCAAATGATGAATATGACTGCCAGGATGGCTAATTATCAAATTATATCTGTACAAAGTAGAAATGTTTGGCACCATGTCTTATGACAGTGCTTATCCAGTTTGCTTTGTGAAAAATTGTATGAACAAATCCACAAGGGACGTGACGAGGATTCGAACCTGCGTCCAAGAGCATTCCAGACGCTGCCTTAAGGGGGCATATTACGGGTTTCGTAAAAATTGTTCAATTTGTTTATAAATTTATTTATGAAATGGTTATAGAAAGAGCTGCAACTGGTCCAAGTTTCAGCATCACACCCTAAACAGAAAAGGAGAAAAAAAATATACAACGTATTATGCAACGAATTTTCAACATTTTCAAATAATTTCAGGGAACACATGTGTCAACTAAAATCATTTCTATAACACTCAGATATTAAACTAACACATACTAATAGATTGTATTGATCAGTTTTATCAAGGAAAGTGTTTAGTGCAATAATATAATTTTTCAAAGTTACCCTTCCAAAAATATGCAATATATGATGTTTATAAATTTTTATAAAATCAACAAATGGATTTTGGACTAAAATGTCTCAATAGGTTTGTAGAAGCACAAACTCTACATATAAGGTGTAATTTGCATGTAAATTGATTAATAAATGAAAGCTGAGAAACGCCTTGAAGTTGTAAATTACTTTCCAGAGTAAAATAAAGATCCAAGTTCGGCCACCTGTAGCTGAGCTTGACTTCGACAGATTTCGTTCATAATTGGCACCCTTGCAGATAGGCATCCATTGAGCAAGGTGTGCAAGTTTCATGCAAATCCCTTGATAATAAACGAGAAAAAAAAAATTGGCCAAAAAAAAAGAAAAAAAAAAAAAAAAAAAAAAAAAATTGTTACATATAAATATATTGCACATACATATTACAATTAATACAAGAGTTTGTGCTTCTACAGCACATAGTAGACATTTTGGTTGACACATGTGTTTCCTGAGATTATTTGAAAATGTTGAACATTCGTTGCATAATACGTTGTGTATTTTTTTTCTCCTTTTCTGTTTAGGGTGTGATGGTGAAACTTGGACCAGTTGCAGCCCTTTCTATAACCATTTCATAAAAAAAATTATAAGCAAATTGAACAACTTTTAATTTAGTGTGATAAGCCCCCTTAATTAATCGATAGACACTGCCTTTTGTTCATTTGATGCATCACGTTATTGTGATTTCTGTGTGTAAAAATTGTGTCTTTAGGAGCAATTATTTTCAAACATTTTGATACCAAAATCCATGTTCTATGCCTATAAATAGCTTTGCAAGCAAGAAATGTGTGCAAGAGACAGTTAATGTATCACTGAGCATATGGTTGAAGGAGTTGGTACAGTAGTTCATTTTAGAGAAGGAATGCCAGAATGTTAATAGGGAATGATTTGACTTGAGAGAATGCTCAGCATGTTTGGAGTTGACAAAATCTGTCTATGTAGGAAGCAGTGTATGTGTGCGAATTATGGTGTAATGAGTGACTGGCCTTGTATTAATGTAGGTGTATACCAGGGTTGTGTGATACCATCTTAATTATTCAATATACAGTATATGGATTTGGCTATCAAGGAGTTAAGGATATTAGAGAAATGTGTGAATGATATGAGTAGGTGGAGTATGCAAAACTTGATGTATTCAGATTCATTTATTTTAGCTAATAGTGATTGAGATTTATTTAGACTAGCTTAAATATTTATTGGTATGTGCGAGAGAAGAGTATGAAAAGTAATTATGGACAAAAGTAAAGTTATAGAAGGTGGTAAGAGAGATTCTTTGGGTGAAACTAGTGTGAATTAAGAAATTTAAAAGTGGTCGATTGGTTTAAAATACCTGAGGAAAAAATTGGCTCGGGAAAGGAGAACATTTAGTGAAGTGAAAGCATTTGGTAGAAAAAACAAGATTGGAAGAGATGTAGCCAGAGGGTTGCATAAAGGATCATTCTTACCCTTTAGCAAAGATGAGAGGTAAAGGTGTGTTGTGTACATGAAAATAAATAATTAATGCAGTTGAAATGAATTATCTGAGAAGCGTGTGTGGTGTTAGGACAGTAAATAGGTAGTTAGGAATGAAAATGTCATAAGATATGGAGTGCAAAAGTCAGTAAATCACAAAATTGAGGGAAGTGTACTGAGTTGGTTTGGGCTTAATGAATGAATGGTTGACGATTGAAGAGTGTATTTAGGTGAATTTAAGGATAGGCAAAAAGAGAAGACTGGAAAGAAAATGGGTGAACATTGCTGAGTGGCAGTGGTTTCCAAGGCTGTGGGTTTTTGTTTTGTATATGACGACTCATGAGGAGCACTGTATACTGTACTAGTCTTTTAAGTGACAAGGTTCTATTGTGAATGAATTACTGAAGTATGGTGTTGGTTATTTCTCTTATAATTCTGTGCAGGGTGTATGAGGTGTTGAATGAAGATGTTTATCTGTTACCTTCTTGTCCAACACAGCTCCCATTTTTGTCTTCAAGCTGATGCTTCTAAACCCCACAAAAGTGGTAATTAATAGTGATGGTCTATTTGCCAAAGTCAAGCACCATATTACCCTTACAATATCATCTAAAAAAGACAAAATTATTATTCTCATCTTAAATCTATAGATACAATAACAAAATAAATATTTTAAAAGTATTGTAACAAGTTGAAGGAAAGTGTATCATGTTACATGATATTTTAAGACAAAGACATAAATAAATAGTCACATGTATCAGTGAACAAATGCCCAGTATCAAATACTGTACATTACATTTTACTCTTAAGATATGACAAACACTTGCCAAAGTGACTAGAGAACCAGCATATGGTAGACTCAAGGTAAATAATGCCTTTAATCTGTTGTAGATGAGGTAGCTTAAGTTTCTTTTTCTTTCCACCCCTATTTATTTATTGTTAATGCCTTTTAAGTAACATCATTTAGTAAGTTTACATACCTCTTTTGACCATGCTATCTACAAATGTAATTATTCTAACTGAATTGGGATAAAAATAGTAGACATAATTCTAAGACTTATTACATATTACAATTACAGTTTTTATCCAAAACATTAATTAAAATAAATTAATATTTTCTATGACTGTACTCTATATTCAATATTGTAAAGTGTAGAAAATAGTGGGTGAATCAAGCAGTTGAATTAAAAACTAAGTTTACCAGCATATTTTTTTATTTGGTTAAGTTTTAAACATATAAAATTTTATGGTTTAAATTAATTTTCACAGGTTAAGTCATTAAATAAATTTTATTTTATAACTTCATGCCTGTTTATTGTAGACAGAGTCAAGCTAAGCATTCTAATCGGCCCAAAGTTGACCCGCAAGAAACATCCATTGTATTATTCCCTGGACAAGGCACACAATATGTTGGTAAGTTTTATCAAGTTTCTGATATATGCTCTAGAATTAATAATTTAATCCAGGTATCAGCCTGCCTGGAAATGAGTCATATCTGCTTTTAAACCTATTGATAGTTTACCTCCACCACTTGCTCTAGATTTGCCTGCATGTTTATTGCATACACAGAAAAGAATACTTCCTTACAAAATGTAACATTTACCCAAAGTTACTGTACCATGTTGAGTTGCTGTAAAATTGAAAACTTTCTTGCCTTCATATTTAGTATTTTTGTGTGACGCCATGCTCGTTTACTCGTTTTCATTTGAGGAGTTCTGTCTTTGCCCGAAACGCATTGCGTAATAGTGGCTTTAGGCATTGTATGTACTAGCTCTATCTATATATCAATCCATTAATGTAACATCACTTGTATGTATATACCTTACCTGAATAAACATCTGAATCTGAATCTGAATCTATTTTCGTTGTCTTAACCAGAATAGGGATTTGTTTTGTGGAGCTTACCTTTCTGAGTGCCTGTCCCAGTCGATGGCAGATATAGAATGTTCCAAAATCACATGTGCATTTCTATAGGCCATTGCTCATTGTGCCCCTCTTAGGGGGCCAGGTTTTGGCTCATGGTCCCTGGTAGGCCTAGAACTCCACCCACATCGATTGATGCCAAAGTTAGGGATATTCATATCAGCCTGGATAGTTCCGGGGAGCCTCCAGAACTTGCCCAGAAAATGGTGTTTCATTACATTCAACGCTGGTTTTATCTTGCATAAGCTCCCAATTAAATTCAGTTATGTTATTGACACAGTTGTTTTCAGATTGAATATCCTGCAATGTTTTAATTATGCTTAGGATATCTTTTCTAAGATTGTAAATTAGTTTCAATAAAATTTAATTCTAAACAAAAAAATATACATTTCAGGAATGGGAAAAGAATTGTTAAAATATCCTAATGTTCAAGAAATGTACGAATGCGCATCTGAAATTCTCGGCTTTGATCTTTTGGACCTTAGTCTGAATGGCCCTCCTCAGAAATTGAACAAAACTGTACACCAACAGCCTGCTGTAGTTGTTGCATCATTAGCTGCGATAGAAAAGTGAGTATTTTAATAATTAATTTCTTTAGGTATTTAACACCTATACTCCTGGTACTGGTATTTCACTGGCAGGACCAGTTTTAGAACTGTTGTTGTTTTAACATTATTTTTAAAAATCTTGTGCTGTTTCTTTAAACAACACTGTTGGCTTTAATGGCTCAATGTGCGGAATTCACAAAATTTATGCTTATGTTCTGATGCTGCATCCATTATAAAAATTAACAAAAATTAATTGTTCATTACAGTATGTAATGACAAATGTATGTCCAATTGCATGCTAGACAGTTTGGAGATTAGCTCCACTTACTTGTACTCTCCTTGTGGTGCAAGTCAGTAAAATGTAGTGTAGTAAAGACAAATTTTGCTTACCTTGGATGTCCTATCATAGCATAAATATACTTTCCATGTCATTATGGAAATATTTACATTATTATGCAATAATTTCCTGTGCTATGCCAATTGGTTACTCCTATAACATCCTGGTCCCAGGATAGGTCTGTGCTTAGTCAGAACAAGCTAAAAATTGTATTTGCACTACAGAGATCATTTCAAATTGTGTTTTGCTAGACCACACTTACAAATGGCAAATATTCATTTGAGCTCCTGCTCTTAAATACTGTATATAAGATAAAAGTTACAAGAGTTCAATTCAGCTGATTCTACTGAGGCTGACAATATTTCTCTTAAAGTAGCATAATTTTTGGTTATAGGTTGCTTCTGTAAAGGTGGCATTCAAATACTTATCACCATAATTTTCTTTAATCTTAGATTAAGAGATGAACGACCCAGTGTACTAGACTGTTGTGTAGGCGTGGCAGGATTCAGTGTTGGAGAAATTACCGCTCTAATTTTTGCTGGTGCTCTGTCATTTGAAGATGGTAAGGGAACTTGAACTTTCTTAGTTAAATATGTGTCTAATGGTTTCTGGTTGGTATCTTTACAGTTAAGTACTGTACTTGAAATTCAGTACTTGAACCAAATTGCTACATAATTGGTGTTACTATGTTCTAGTAGATTACAATGTAAACTATTAGAGGCATCATCTATAAACCAGATGACTTCAACATCTTTCAAGGTGCTGTATGCTTAGGAATTATATTAACTGCTGACAGCCCATTTTGAAACTAATTATATTTATAGTTTTGATTGTGGAACCAGTGTTTCTGGTCTGTAACCTACTGCAGACACTTGATGAATTATAGTAGCACACATTTACACAGGTAGTATAGTGCTAAGTAGCATATTAGTTTGTAAGGATTGTTTATGTTTCAGCTGAATCAGTCAGTTCATATTTTCATCCCATGAACATAACTTTACCCTTAGTGAAGGGAGGGGGTGAGTTTGACAAGCCTATTAAGGGCTTTCAGTCTTTTGATTTGTTAATTTACTCATTCAGTTAATAGATACAATTGAATTGAAGATTACACAACTTACACTGATATAGACAACATTTCAAAAACTTTCTCTAGCTCCTCTGAGGTGAGCTATCCAATTTTTTAAAAATATCCAAGTATACATTGCATATATTACAGTGCTTTCACAATGTTTTGTATCTGTCGTTTTCAGCAATAAGACTGGTAAAGGTGCGAGCTCAGTCCATGCAGCTTGCTTCAGAAATAACTCCAAGTGGAATGATGACAGTTATGTATGGGCCTGATTCTCGATTAAATTTTGCATGTTCTGTGGCAAAGGAGTTTTGTAAAAGACAAGAATTGCCTGAAGTTGACTGTCGCATTGCAAACTATCTCTTTCCTCACTGTAAAGTAATTGCAGGGAATGATGAGGTGAGAAAATTTATTTTATTAATGTTTTTGCATACTGAGGGATATGTATCTGAGTGATGGATAGAAAGTTAAATGGATGATTACATAAGGAATAAGTAACATAGAGCAGATTAGATCATATATCGTTTGGGCTGTCTGAAGTATTTTTCTCATGACTAGTCGCATGAAGTTTGATGTTCCCTCTGAAGCACAGCATCAGAAATATGGGTATAAAATGAAATGTCAATGCAGTTTGATTACCTTTGATCCCCACATCAGTCCTGGCTGTTTTTCCATGTGGTCTGCTGCATTTTTGTTCATTCTAAACTGAATCGAAGCCATCTATCTGGTAATCATTTGAAATGAACCCACAAACTATTTTATTTGAATATTATTTCTAAATTCTGTTTGGGTCCATTTAGTTTAATTACTTACCAGAATTACCCCAACAATATTCTCGATACATACTGATGCCAGGTGGTACTCCAAGTAGAGATATGAAAATATTTTGGGAGAAGATAAGCTACAAAGGAGGCATACAGGCAGGATGAAGTTGGAGGCATACTGGCAGTGTAAAGCAGGATAAATAAATATTATACCATTGATGGGAAACCAGATGGAAAACTATTCACTAAAAATAATACAATTTTATTTGGGTCGAATCAAGATTTAAGTGTTGGTTCTCTGGTTCAAGTAGTTATTGTCATATGTTGATTTTCATGGTTACTGTCAGATTTGTATAACCACAGTGTTGTTCAGAGTTTAATACATCTTAAATGGATGGAACCTTGTACAGTAATTTTCTAAGGTAATATTACTATAAAGAAAAGTGCCAATTTCTCAGATTTTACCCAATTGACCTCCAGTTTAAACAATGAGATGGATAATTACAATACAGTATTTTCCTTTAGTGTTATTTATAAGAAAAATTTAAGGTGATTGTACATAATTGATGTAGGAAATATAGTACAGTATAGGCTAATATGTCTACTGTAGTTTCATCTGTTCTTGTGTGTCCAGCACATGTAAAGGATTGAATCATTGTTTTTTCAGGCCTTGAAATTCATTGAGGAAAACAAATCTGATTTCCGTTTGAGACGTCTAAAAAGACTACCTGTCTCGGGAGCCTTCCACACTGACCTCATGAAACCAGCAGCTGAGCCAGTCAAAGAAGTAAGTTATATACATTTAGGTATATTGATATCATTGGTAATGTGTCAGATTTAGTGAGATTTATACAAAATTGCTGCATAAAACTTCCCAGTACAAAAAAAAAAGTTGCATCACAGTAAAGGTTCATCTGGCCTTTTTGTAACTTCACGCAGGTAGTCAAGAGTAGCGATGTCTATGGGATTTGAGCATTTTATTGTAAATAGTTTTTTATTGTAATATTGTTAAATGTCTTAGTTGTTTAGGTATATATCTCCTATAAAAGCTCATTTCAACCAGTTTGTCTTTGTGCATAAATGTATACGTGTTGCTTGGCATGGTGGATATACTTGTTTCTCGGAGTGAGAAGTTTGAAATACAGTGTCCACTCAATTTAACGGCCTATATGGGGCTGTACCCTGGTCGTTATTTCCGGAGCTCTGGTATTTCCGAAGTGTCGGTAATTTTTCAAGTAACGTTCAGGTAAGATATATTTTATACAGACAGCCACTGTAGTGCCTTCTACCCTGTGACGTCACAGATTCACGGCACATTGTTTTGATTTGTCATGAGGCTGGAGTGTTCATTCCGTGACTTTGTTGGACATATCTGCACAATCAAGGAACATCTGTGCACCATGTTGGCTCCAAATGCACTCATTGTGTCAGTGATGGCTGACTGGTGGGTGGATGGGCAGGCAGGCAGGGATGGAGAGGCTGAAATGTAGGCAGGCAGGCAGGCAGGCAGAGATGGAGAGGCTGAAATGTAGGCAGGCAGAGATGGAGAGGCTGAAATGTAGGCAGGCAGGCAAGGATGGAGAGGCTGAAATGTAGGCAGGCAGAGATGGAGAGGCTGAAATGTAGGCAGGCAGGCAGGCAGGGAGGGAGGCAGGCAGGGATGGAGAGGCTGAAATGTAGGCAGGCAGGCAGGCAGAGATGGAGAGGCTGAAATGTAGGCAGGCAGGCAGAGAGGGAGGCAGGCAGGGATGGAGAGGCTGAAATGTAGGCAGGCAGGCAGGGAAGGAGAGGCAAGGAGGAAGGCAGGCAGATGCTAGGTGGTAGGCAGGGAGGGAGAGGCAAGGAGGAAGGCAGGCAGATGCTAGGTGGTAGGCAGGCAGGGAGGCAGGCAGGCAGGGAGGGAGAGGCTGAAATGTAAGCAGGCAGGCAGGGAGAGGCTGGGAGGTAGGCAGGGAGGGAGAGGCAAGGAGGAAGACAGAGCTTGGGAGGGAGGCAGGCAGAGGCTGGGTGGTAGGCAGCGGGGGAGAGGCAAGGAGGGAGGCAGGCAGGCAGAGGCAGGGAGAGAGGGAGGCAGGCAGGCAGGCAGAGGGAGGGAGGCAGGCAGGCAGGCAGAGGCAGGGAGGGAGGGAGGGAGGGAGGCAGGAAGAGGCAGAGGCAGGGAGGGAGGGAGGGAAAGTGAGGGTGTGGGGGGAGAGGTTCAGTGAGGGTGAGGGAGGGGATGAAAGGGGTAGGCAGCCTGCTTGCCATGTGAGGACCCTCTGATGCCAAGACAAACCCAATACCGACCTTTGGTAATATCGACCGCCAGACCGTTATATGAGGCTCTAAATACCGGTCTCCCAAACCGGTCGTTATTACCAGCAGATCGGTATAAAAGAGGCTGTTAAATTGAGTGGATACTTCTGCATTTAGCTAAGACAGCAGTTGGTTTTATCTTTTGGCTTAAACATACCTTTCTTTCAAGACATTTAACATCTTTGAATACATTGGCACATAAGTGGGTCACAATTGTTTTTTATAAACTATAGTAACAATAACTTCACTGCTTTACATATGCCTCAAAAACAATAAATAATCAAGCATAGCTCAAGGAGATCCATTTCATCATATACAATGTCAGAAATTTTGAGAGCTTATCAGGGGGCTTCTGAAAATATACTGTGAAGACTAAACTACACACCAGAAGAGGAAGAGGAGACGACGTTTCAGTCCATCCTGGACCATTATCACAATCGACTTGATAATGGTCCAGTACAAACCAAAACGTCGTCGTCTTCTGGTGTGTGGTTTAGTCTTCAAATCTTCAGCCATATTATTGTGACTCATCATCTGCATATCATACTGTGATTGTAATCAATAGTTTAATTAAAAATGTTTAGTTGTTTTTAACTCCAGTGCAATAATAATATTGTATTTTCATGGATATTATATGTATATTTCACTCAGATGCTCTCTAAGTCAAAATTACTGAAGCTGTCATTGGACAGAATTGAGTCATGTCTGGGTGATATTCAGCACTAGGCTAACGGGGATCTTTTCAAACACCCATGATGAATCATGCTGGTCCTAGGAAAATAAAGGAGAAAAGCTTCATCCTATCAGAGTGACTAAAATAAAAGTTTACACACAAATGCTGACATTTTTCCAAGAACTGCTAAGTGGTGCCCACTTTGACAAATCCCTCGACCATTTGCACCTAGAGGGGGTTTAGATTTTATTTAAGTGCACTTTAGTTAATCCACACCAGAATGATCTTGACCAAGAATCAATAGGATTTTGCCTTGGAAAGTTACTGAATGGAATAGGTCGGTAACATACATGAATATGAAAATTTTTATACAATTATATATTTCAGATGTTGGCAAAACTTAAAATTGAAAAACCCATAATTCCGGTCCACTCAAATATTGATGGAAAGTACTACAAGAGTGTGAATCAGATCAGTAAACAACTACCCAAACAGATCTACTCTCCTGTCAAATGGGAACAGACAATGCATGTGCTTTATGAAAGAAGTCAGGGGACACATTTTCCTAAAACTTTTGAATGTGGGCCTGGTAGATCACTGAAGGCAATATTGAAATTGTGTAATGCAAAAGCCTGGGATTCATGCATAAGTATTGAAGCATAAAAACACTGTAATTATCTCTGTGCCGATTTCAATGATGCTATTACAATGTAGTGTCAATAAAGTTATTTCAATTAAATTAAAACTGCTTTGATATTACCCTAAACATTTTGTTCAAGCAAAACTAGCCACTCGTACATAAAAAAAGATCACGTCCTTGGTCAAATGTCACTTTTAGTAATGTGAAGATGTAAATGTGTCAGCTGCAGGGAAGAAAGATTATATTTGGGGTCTAGTGTATTGATAATATATGAAGTAGTTGGAATGATATTAAATACTATGAAGGGATTTTTGTAGGAAATGGCATGTATTAAAATTACATCACTAATGAGTAACCAGTTTTATATTAATGTAAGTGTGTAACATTCCCTACTGCTATTCTGCATATTTATAGATGAGGTAATGATGGAATTAAATGAATACAGTATATAAAATAGGATGTATGTAGATTCTAGATATACTGGCTCAAATAGATAGATATGCTGAACAAATAGAAGATATAAGTAGTTATGGGCATATATTTACATAAATTTGAAGGTAAGAGGTGAGAAAACATAAGGAAATGGAAATACATGGTAAATTAGAGAGAGAGAAAGCTGGGATTAAGTATGATCAGTGGATGAGATATGGTGAACAATAAGGCTACATGAATTAATTCAAAAGTGAATGTTAAACAGTTTTCATATTGAAACTTGCAGGTAGCACTTTTATACCTCATTGTTTTAAGAGGTGGGATGCTGTTGTGGATATACTGTATTGCTGGTGTGTTCTATGTGGTGCAGCAGAAGTACAGAATTTATGGCTAGATGCCTAGATTTAAATATCTTTGTATTTGTTCTCCCATTTCTTCCAAGCTGAAGTCTCCTGACCCCATCAGTGTGGGAAACAGGGTAGTGAAACTTATGATTATGTCTCCCTGAAAACAATGCAAGGACAAATTTATGAAAAACTGATTTACCATAAAAGTAATTTTGGATGCAGCAATGGACAATTTTGCTAAACATCAACAGTACCTGCAAGTTTTTGTTCATGTCGTATAACAAAGAGAGCTGCTACTCCAACTTCAGCATGTAGATTGGGTTAAGAAGAACATCTCTTGCTGACCAGAACATCTGTTGTCAAAATACTGTACTTAACTGTGCTATTTTGTGACGGTGTCCAGCGCCGGCTTGGCGGAGAAGTCCTGGGAGTTGGTGGGCTCCTGGTGTGCCCTCAGACGTGGTGGGCGGCTGGCTTCTGCTCTGCCGGAGGGCTCTGGATGACTTTTGCATTTTAGCTGGGGGCCCACCCTACACAGAGAACACCCAGTGTTCTCTTATGGGGTGGGGCCGGTGCTTGTCACCCTGGGAGACTCCTTGGGCTCCCCAGTCATCTACCTGTTTGTGTTTCTTTGCAGCGAGGCATATTAGTTTCCAGTGATTGGCGTCACTCGTTTCGCAATTAGGCTTGGCGTTTCACCTTTCCGGGCTTCGCAATTAACCCATCACGGGTACGACGGGGCACATCCGATCCCATGATCGTCATTGCCCCTAAATCAACAACTATTTTGTCAATATTAACTGGTACCTTCAGTATATAGAAAATGTTAAATATAAATTTCATTGCCTTTCATTTTAAAATAAATATAATAATAATATTATTATTATATAATATCATGGGTAATACAATAATTACCCATGATAACCAAATCACACATTAGAAAATGAAGGAACGTCGCCATTTCTTCATGTTCTGATGTGTGGTTTAGTTAGTGTATCTTCAGCCATGTTATTGTGACTCATCGTCTGAATTTTTAAGTTGTTATTTTTGTTTTACCATTATTACTTTTGTCATTATTAAAAAGTATTGGTAATAATAATGCTGTTTATGAAGGACTTTTAAAATAATATGAAAACTTTAATTTAAAAAAATGTATTCTTTCATTCCATTTAAATATGAAAAATAAATTGTAAACTGGAGGTTTAACTAATAAGTTACAGTATATCTGAGTTACATCTATAGCTACTATACAAAAAGGAGAGCTCTATATTTTGTGTTCTATTAGATGGGATATATAATATACTGTAGCATGTACAGCCAACAATTTCTAAGTTGCATTACCATTTTCAAATAACAGTTAAATAATGATAAAATTTATATTTTGAAAACCATAATTGTGTATACCACCATACTTACCATATTCAAGTACATCTTGAATATGTCGATCGACTTGAGAATGGTCCAGGATGGACCGAAACATCGTCGTCCCTTCACCTTCTAGTGTGTGGTCTGGTCATCATACTTTAGCCACGTTATTGTGACTCATCGCCTTCAAGTACATCATTCGGGAAAATAGTAAACCCCCCATTTGCAAGTTTAATTTCAAGTGTTCGGCACAGAAATTTCGCATTTTTACAATTGCAGTATCATACATCCTTAATTTTCTTGTTTCTGTTTTTATACTGAACTCATTTCATGCTAACTACTTAATTATAATCGTACATTTAACAGTTATACCTAAATCTTTGAAATACTAGTATTCTATTTATAGGAGTGTACAGATCGGTGTCTTGTGCCGGACATGAAATTACACTTACAAATTGGGGTTGTCAAATGCACGGTCACTGAAATGCCACATTTCTCTGGTGGGGGCTACAGCATACTCTAACAACCCAGAAGGCAGTGGAGTTTGGAATAAATGAAGCCCCACTTCTGGCCATAAGTTAAGAAAATGTGTGTTCCTCTAAAGGCAAGTCCTGTGATCATTTCAGGCCATAGAGCTGTATCCCACCTGACAGCATGGTGGTGTAATGGTTCTGACATCCCATTCAACAAAAAGGTGACACCCCTAGGGTCAACACTTGCAGCAGAGGAGCTCCAGCATATTTCAACAATCCTAAGTATTGTAGTACAGGTTGATGGTAGTGAGTGGTGTCCCAGAGAACATAAAGGTATAGTGCTCTTGAAAAATAGGTGAGATAACAGGAAAGTGCTAAGGGAAGTGAAAAATCGGATGAGAAAAAGTTGCCCTAGTGTTTACAGTGCAGAGAAGAACATTCAAGATGGCCACTGGCAAGGGGAAAAACAAAACAGAGCTTGATTTTGAGGGATTCAATGAAGAAAGCATTGATATTAGTAGTCTACATAACAAGTTGGTAAATTTAGATACTATAGTGAACTCTCATGTAGAAATAATTAGTAAATTGAAAGAAAGTAATGACCATTTGAATAGCAAAGTTTTATGTCTTGAGGGTTTATTGAAAGACTTGCGCAAGGATAAGAATCAATTGGAAACAAATTGCAAAGCCATGGAAGAAGAAAATAAACTCTTAAAAATAGCTTTGGAAGAAGTTAAAGTAAATTTAAACATAAATGACTTCAATAGGTTAGGCAAGGAAATTCAACAGGAGAAACAGCTTTTGTCAGCACAGATGGAGGAAGTTACACAGGGAATAGAACAGTGCAAGAAAGATATGCAACTCACTTATGCACAAGTGGCCAAGGAGAAGGAAAAAATAGAAGAAGCAGTAAAGGAAGTCAAACACTGCAGCAACCAAGATAAAACAAACATTAGGCTAGAAGTGAGGAAAGAATTGGCATCTAACCCGAAGTTGGTGCAAAACACAGTTGATCGGAGTAAGTCCCTGATCATTTTTGGCTGCAAAGAAAAGGCGATAACATCTAGGTCAGAAAGAGCTGTAGAAGAAGCTAAAGTAGTAGATAAAATTGTTGGCCTCGTGGAAGGTCTTACAAACAGAGAGAATGTGTGCGACTACAGGAGAATAGGCAGGTACGTAAAAGGGAAAGATCGACCTTTGAGGATCACCCTAAACGGTGCCAAACAGATGGAAGAAGTACTAAGGAATGCTAGAAAATTGCAAAGTGATGAGGATGGGAAAGGGTGGTCATTAAGACGAGATCTTTCAAAAGAAGATAGAGAGAAGCTGAAACTGAACCTCGCCGAGGCAAAACATTTAAATGAGAGCAGGAATGAAGAAGAAATAAATTCTTTTTTCTACAAAGTGATAGGGGTAGGCAAACCAGTAAAGTGGTACATAAAGGCAAACCAACAAAATCAATAGAGAGAGGGGGAGTGAAGAATAAGGAGAGGGGGAACAAGTTCCTGAAGATTGCATACACCAACATAGATGGAGTGAGATCGAAGATACTGGAGTTAAGTGATGTAATACAGCTGCAGACACCAGACATTGTTGCACTCACGGAGACAAAACTTGAAGATGTAATTTTAAATGAGGTCATATTCCCAAGGGGCTACTCAATTTGGAGACGGGACAGAAAAATTAGGAAAGGCGGTGGCGTTGCTGTGCTGGTAAAAGAACACCTAAAGGTGAAGGAAATAATGACTGCCAATCCACAAGAAGTTGACATAATAGCACTAGAGATCTGCTATGAGGATGATAAACTAATGATGATAAATGCATATAGTCCACCGCCAAGCAGCACATGGTCAAAGGAGGAGCTAGATAGTAAACGTGAAGGTCTTATAACAATAATGAGAGAGATTATAGCGAGAGCGGATAACGATAGATCACGACTGTTGATAGTCGGTGACTTCAACTTGAAATCCATAGACTGGGAAGCATATGAAGCTAAAACAGAAGATTTTTGGACCTGTAAATTTGTAGACCTCATCCTGGAAACATTCTTGTATCAACATGTTAAACAAGCTACGAGGATGAGGGAAGGGGACGTTCCCTCCATGCTAGATTTGATATTTACCAGGAAGGAGGAAGAGATATTTGACATTCAGTACCTTCCTCCCTTGGGTAAAAGTGACCATGTCTTTTTGGGAATAAAGTATGCAATGCGTTATAAGCTGGAAGAAAATAAGGAGGTTGAAGCAGTTGAAAAACCAGACTTCAGGAGAGGACATTATGGTGACCTTAGAAATTTTTTTAGTGAGTATAATTGGACAGATTTGATGCTAGGCAAGGAAGTGAATGAGATGTATGGCAAGTTTTGTGAAATATATGATAAAGGCACAAAAAAATTTATACAAAAACAGAGATGCAGAACTAGGAAACAGGATTGGTTCAATAGAAATTGCGAGAGGGCTAGAGACCGAAAGACACAAAAATGGAATCAATACAGGAAGAGGCCGAACCCCCAAACATACCAGCGATACAAAGATGCGAGAAACAACTACACGGCAGTGAGGAGAGAGGCAGAAAGAAATTTTGAAAAAGGGATTGCGGACAAATGTAAAACAGAACCAGGTCTATTCTATAAATTCATAAACAACAAATTGCAGGTAAAGGATAATATTCAGAGGTTGAAAATGGGAAATAGATTCACGGAAGATGAAAAGGAAATGTGTGAAACACTAAACGAAAAGTTCCAAAGTGTGTTTGTACAAAATGAAATCTTTAGGGAACCAGATACAATAAGAATTCCAGAGAACAACATAGAACACATAGAGGTGTCTAGAGACGAAGTGGAAAAAATGCTCAAGGAGCTTGGTAAGAACAAAGCAGCTGGCCCAGATGGCGTTTCACCATGGGTTCTGAGAGAATGTGCATCTGAGCTCAGCATTCCACTTCACCTGATCTTTCAGGCATCCCTGTGTACAGGAATCGTAGCAGACGGGTGGAAACAGGCTAACATAGTTCCAATCTACAAAAGTGGCAGCAGGGAAGACCCCCTCAATTACAGACCTGTATCATTGACAAGTGTAATAGTGAAAGTATTGGAAAAACTAATCAAAACTAAATGGGTAGAACACCTAGAGAGAAATGATATAATATCAGACAGACAGTATGGTTTTCGATCTGGAAGATCCTGTGTATCGAATTTACTCAGTTTCTATGATCGAGCCACAGAGATATTACAGGAAAGAGATGGTTGGGTTGACTGCATCTATCTGGACCTAAAAAAGGCTTTCGACAGAGTTCCACATAAGAGGTTGTTCTGGAAACTGGAAAATATTGGAGGGGTGACAGGTAAGCTTCTATCATGGATGAAAAATTTTCTGACTGATAGAAAAATGAGGGCAGTAATCAGAGGCAATGTATCAGAATGGAGAAATGTCACAAGTGGAGTACCACAGGGTTCAGTTCTTGCACCAGTGATGTTTATTGTGTACATAAATGATCTACCAGTTGGTATACAGAATTATATGAACATGTTTGCTGATGATGCTAAGATAATAGGAAGGATAAGAAATTTAGATGACTGTCATGCCCTTCAAAAAGACCTGGACAAAATAAGTATATGGAGCACCACTTGGCAAATGGAATTTAATGTCATGTTATGGAATGTGGAATAGGAGAACATAGACCCCACACAACCTATATATTATGTGAGAAATCTTTAAAGAATTCTGATAAAGAAAGAGATCTAGGAGTGGTTCTAGATAGAAAACTATCACCTGAGGACCACATAAAGAATATTGTGCAAGGAGCCTATGCTATGCTTTCTAACTTCAGAATTGCATTTAAATACATGGATGGCGATATACTAAAGAAATTGTTCATGACTTTTGTTAGGCCAAAGCTTGAATATGCAGCTGTTGTGTGGTGCCCATATCTTAAGAAGCACATCAACAAACTGGAAAAGGTGCAAAGACATGCTACTAAGTGGCTCCCAGAACTGAAGGGCAAGAGCTACGAGGAGAGGTTAGAAGCATTAAATATGCCAAAACTAGAAGACAGAAGAAAAAGAGGTGATATGATCACTAAATACAAAATAGTAACAGGAATTGATAAAATCGACAGGGAAGACTTCCTGAGACCTGGAATTTCAAGAACAAGAGGTCATAGATTTAAACTAGCTAAACACAGATGCCGAAGAAATATAAGAAAATTCACCTTCGCAAATAGAGTGGTAGACGGTTGGAACAAGTTAAGTGAGAAGGTGGTGGAGGCCAAGACCGTCAGTAGTTTCAAAGCGTTATATGACAAAGAGTGCTGGGAAGACGGGACACCACGAGCGTAGCTCTCATCCTGTAACTACACTTAGGTAATTACACTTAGGTAATTACTTGCTTCAGAAGCAAAGTCTTGAGACTATACTAATCCTTCATTGTTCCAGCATCTTCCATCTGATTTAATTCCTTTTTTTAGGGAGTCTGGTTGAAATGGTAAACATAATCCAAGGGTTAGAAGAATGTTATAACTATATGGCATAAATTAATACTTTCATAGTACCAGAACAAATTATTTATGATCAAGTCAAACAAAATCTGATTCAGATTGACTCAATTTTTAATTTACCAGTATACATACTGGGTATCCTTTAAAAATATTATAGAGACTTTGAAAATGATTATCAATATGCTAGAGATAGTAAGAAAATTAAATGAACTAAAGCATTTGTAATACAAATAGATTATTGCCATTTAAGAATTTTCAAGCTAGTGCTGAAAATCCCATTTATAGAAAAACTTTCATAAATTATGAAACTTGCAGCATTTCAATTTAATTGTATTGAAATACGGTATAATTCCATTTCAATTGTACTTAAATTGTACAGTATTTACAGTATTGAATCAGTACAGTTTTTTAATTTGTTTCAACACTCAATTATCGAGTTTCTAAATTTAAAAAATATAATAATCAACCCTTTTGAAGACCAAATTTGGACATGCTACCCTAAAAGGGTTAACTTATCCTTGTGCATTTGAGTATAATATTTCCATAACTAGCAATATCCTCTGTGTACAATGTTTGGTTAACATTACAATAATGCATATCAAAATTAGTCAAGGTGCCACAAAGTAAACTATCTTTTGAAAATTTATGAATTCGGTAAATTCAATATAAATTTTAAAGAATATATACTGTACTATTCAAAGAGCAAATAATAAGTCATACAATGAAAAAATACACTGAATGTTTACTTCAACTTGAACACATGATGGGGGGGGGGGGAATTAAAAACAATAAATAATACCCTTATAAAATGTAAGATCCACTCTTTCCTCTAGTCACTCGTCTCTCCTCTATTACAGATTAAAATTTGTACAAAGCATGATTACCACCTGAAAAATTCAGTACTAAAATAAACGTGACACCATTAACATGGCTGTACTAATACTGAGAAGACAACTCCCGTTTTAGATTTATAAATATATATCTATAAGTCTGATTACAATATTCAAATTGAAAATTCAGAATGTTTGTTATACAATCCTTTCAGAATCTATGACTAAAATGTTATTGATTCATGCTCACATTTGTGACAATAATAAAATAATTAACTCTACACTTAAGTAGTATACTAGAGATCATCAAACAGCTCCTCTTCACTAGAGCTGTCAGTGTCACTGTGGTGATACTCTGGCAGGTTGTCATTTTCAAACTTAACTTCTTCAAAATTTAGGTTTCCACTCCCCTTTAAACTCTCAACCTGTTGTGATGAAATAATAGAGCTATAAAGTCCATATTATACATTTCTTGTTAAAATATATATCATACTTTCTTTAATGAAACATTCATAAAACACCTTATTTAGACAGGAAATAGTGGAAAAGATTTTTTTTGTTGGGGGGGGGGGGGGGGGGCTAAAAATTTTGGTAGACAATTCAAATCGTGTACAAACTAGGATTTTCCTCATGTAAAACTACAAAATGTATACTACCTAATTTTGTATTTCTTTTAGATCACATTTAGTCTTGTAAACTGCTCGATCTAATTAAGTCAGAATTTGAATACTGATCATTTTCGTCTTATTTTATTTGCCAGTAGAACTCGCTCACTTGCCAATGATCTCTAAATCCTTGGCAAGTGATTGCCAATGATTTTTTTGTTATAAACAACCCAAAAAATTACTTTCTAATTTTTCTTACTTCAGAAAAAGTGTTGACACCACTCTTCTTACTGCATCTTCATTCTCAAGCCACTATCACTTTTCAACATAATTTTAACCTTCTTGTGATGTCAACAACTTTCTGGCAGTCTAGCAAGATGCAGTCCATACATCCTTCATTCTTTTGCCTTAAGGTATCATGACAGGATCATTAAAATAGGTTTGTTAAGCATGATTTTTGTATCGGAATCAGTGTTCTGCCTCCATTAACAAATTTAACTCTCCAAATATTCTACAATTAGTTTCCTGATGACTTCTTTTCCAGAGTTTTGCTTGAGATGCAAGCTAATGGCACTGGTCTGTAATTTAGAGCTTCAAGTCTGTAACTGTTCTTGAATATTAGAATTACATTTGCTTTTTCCAGATTTCTGGTAACTCTCCAATCTCTAGTTACTAGGTAACACACACACACACACTGCAGGCTTCCTTTGGTAACCAATTATATCTGATTGGGCTCCACTGCATTTGCTGAATCCAGTTCCTCCAAATGTCTTTCTTCTTCTTGTGCAAAAACGTTTATTCTAGCAGTCTCTTGTCACCTCATCATGGACAACCATCTGGTTCCAGTTTTTTAGACCTCCTGGAACCTCTTGTTGAGTCCATCATTCTGCCAATGTGTTGCTTCTTTTCACCAGTATGATCATATGGTTTCGTGGTGTTTTCTTATATATTTGGCTATGCACCGATTAGGTTGGTCCTTTGCTTATGTCACAACAACATTTTCAACCTGCCTTCCTAATATTAGTGTACTCATTTCTGGCCATCTTAAGTGCCTTGCTATATCCCTCTATCTGTATCCTAATTTTCTATGTATTTGTTGTCTTTCCTCATTAAAATGTTGAACCATGGGTTTGTTGTTCTCTTTTCATCCTCTTTCTTCCATTATCCCATTCACTGGCTTTCCTTTCATTTCAGTCTCACTGAAAAACCTGTTTCTTAATACAAATCTGTTCCAATTCTACAATATAATCAAATACAAACAAATTTCTAGATAATACTGTACAATGCAAAGCATAAAAGATATATGCACACATACTGTATACTGTACTTGCAAACTTGGACAAAAAACAATTGGTTATCAAGAAAACAAGTATCATCTGTCGTATTGGTTACATAATTGAGAAGGTACTACAGGCAGCTACAACTCCTTCACTAAGGCAGGGTAGCTTATTTTCAAGTCATGGATTAAAGAATGCAATTACTTATTTCTAAACATTTCTGCAATCTTTTGCTTCATATATCATTTCAACTGTGATACTGCCATGTAAAGTGTGTTCCAAATCTAAAACTACCGACATCAACAAGATTTATTATTTATTACCATACCTCAATTGGAGGCTGATAAACAAACAAAAAATCTTCTTCGTCACTTTCTGTCCAATCTGTCCATACATTTCGAACAGCTTCCACTCGATCAAGCGAAAGAAAACTACGAATATTTCTGGCTAGTTGTTCCTGGTCACTGGAAAGAAATTAACAAAATAAGTTCATGCATATTAAATGTAGCTTTTCATCCATATACAACTACTCTGATTTTTATGCCCTAACAAGGATGATTATACAGTATTTAATGAGGTATTTTCCAAATCAAAAGCCCAAGCATCATCCACAACACTTAAAACTTGAAGTCTGATGACAATATTTGCCAGTGCTATATGTTGCCCCTATCTGTTCGTGATCGTGCTCAAATGCCACAGCACATCTTAACCACTGCACTGTACCAAACAACAAATGTTGTTTTGAGAGTTGTGCATTTTTTGTTTGTTTACTTAGGCTATATTTTAATGTATTCATTACTCTGTGTTTTGAAATGAAAATAGCTGAGTTTGGAAACATTTTGATATTAACTTTACCTGACCATTTATAAAAACAACAAAAATATGTCCTTAACAATTGTAATATGAAGTTTTTGCCAAAAACAGGTGCGCAGTGCAGGGGTTAAGGAGGCAACCATGTGTGATTGCTCAAAAAAAAGAAAATGGCTCATTTTCATAATTGTGAAAACAATAAGGTGTCCATGCTCGGCAGACTAAGTAAATAGCTCCTTTGCTACAGGAGTAGCAAAGGAGCCCATAGCAAATGCAGTTGATCACTCACCTCTTTAGTCCTACACTTGTTTCAGAGACAGGAACTGTGCCCCCTGCTCTCAGTACCAATGCAACCTGATAGCCATCTCTGAATCTGTTAAAGGAAAACACTAAGTAATATATATTGTGTGCATTCTCAATGAATGGCAATAAATACGCCTCAGCACTAACCATTGACTTTGTGCTTACATTCCTACCTTTCCACAAATATACTCCTCAATAACAGCACTGATCTTCAACAACTATTATTCATGCCATTTCACTGTGTTCAAATATGAATGTAATTTATCATTAATTTAACAAATTCACCATACAGTCAGTGACCTGCAATTTGACTTCAGCTTATTCGAACTGACTGACTATTTAGGATCACACAAGCAGCCTTTCCCCAGCCAGCCATCTGTGGAGTCACATAATTGAAACAACTGCTTTATTTTGTTTTTTTTTCCCTTCACATTTCCTTGATATTTTACTTTAAAATACTGATCACAGCACTTTCTCAGCTTAAAATACAGGAATTGTGTCAAAGGAATTCACTCCATTTAATGCTCTTTAAAACCTCCCATAATGCTTCACAATAAATCAAGGTAATTCCCTCCAAAACCCACCTTGTTTTCCCTACAGACCAATCAGCCTAACATCTACAAGCTAATGGAAAATAGCATACCATTAAAGAATCATTAACCATCTCTCAGCGCACAATATTATGTTGTAAAATCATCATAGGAAACCAGGCTGTCTAAAAACCTGCTCACATTTCTGGAAATGGCAATCAGCTATACAAAGGACTTCCAGTAGAAGTAGTGTATGAGGTCTTTCTTCTCTATGGCTTTGATAATGTACCACACAAGAGATTGACAAAGATTACAAACACATGGAATCAACAATAAAATACTAAATAGATAAAGCAATTATTAAAAACAAAGAAAGCGAACAAATCAAACAAAGAAAGGGTTGTACTAAATGGAAGTGAATCTGACTGGAAAAATGTTGAGTGGAGTACTGCAAGCTTCCATTTTGGATCTAACCCTCTTGGTAATACTGTACAGTATATTGTACAATAACATAAATAACATCACAAACCACATCAAATTTGCAGATGACAAAGATCTATGATATAGTGGAAAGTGAAAACTACATTAAGGCCTTACAAAATGATCAACTTCACAAATGGTCAGAATACTGACATATGGTTTTCAATATTGGAAAATTGAAGGCTTTATATGTAGGGAATAACAATACACATAATAAATAGAATTAACTAAGTGACCCAGTAGCAGATTGAAAAAAGGAATGGACCCTTAATTAATTAATTATTTACTAGTCACTGAAAGCTGTGGTAAAAAAGAAAAAAAAGTCAACCAAACATTAGGAATGATCAAACATTTAATTTCAATGAAGAGAGAGTGGTTATTCAGCTGTAGAAACTGTTGGTGTGCCTCCATCTGAGCTACTGTATACAAGCATAGAGACCTCACCTTCAAAAGGACATAAATGCTTTGAAAAAGTTTAAAGTACTCAACAAATTGGAAGACATTAATCCAGCCACTTTCAGTCTTTTGACTGAAAGATGATGAGGATTTGAACCTGTGGTAAAGTGTGGATTTTCTCATGTGAATTCATAATTCTTTTAATCATTATTTCACTCTACTCTTCATTCTCACTTTCTCAGAGGCTCGTCTCGAATACAGGTAACTCAGTAAATTTTTTTTCTCTAAATAATTTCAAAACTATCATCATTTGCTTTTCAAATAAATACATATCCATTCAAGTTACATCATATATTTTGCTCTTAAGTATTCATTATACTTTACATTCAAATTAGTAAATTTAATCATATTAACTCACCGTCCACTGCCATGTACGACTCTCACAGCCATTACAGAGCTATTTTCCAGGATCAGTGTGTTGTAATTAGCACAGCGGCTTGTTAACCTTTCAAACCAGTTGCGGCGTATCATGGTTACTTGGCCCTTAGTCTTATCAAACACACAATCCTGTAAATAGATAATTATACAATTGGCAGAGGGTAAAACTTCTATCTCTACACTTAAAGTTGTGGGGCTGGATTCAGGTTCATTTGCAGGCTGAGCAGTTGCCCTGTCACAACACTTCTCACGCCTCCCTAGCCATTACAGTTTGGACTTCACAGCACTACATATTTTAATCAATTGTGACAAATTTGTCTTGTATAATAAATGCATTTAAATGTTCTTTTAACATCTTATTTAAAAGTTTTAAAACAGTCTTGTGGAGACCTAGTATATGATGAATAGGATGATTCAAGTATGCTGATGGGTTCTAGTATAATGATATATATAGGAGGGGCCTAGTGTACTCATGCACAGAAGATGGTCTAGTATACTGTTATATAGGAGGAGAGGGAGAGGCCCAATATACTGATGTACAGTACTGTATATGAGGATAGGGCATGGGCCTAGTACCGATGTATATGAGGAGAGAAAGGGCCTAGTAGACTGACATATGAGGGAGGGAGGGGAAAGCAGGCCTAGTATACTGCCTAAAAGTGAGGAAAGGAAAAATTTCAACTTATTCATGAAACTCTTATATCCAAATTCTGAAACATGTATCAAATATTTTCTATGACAAAGACATTTTACAAAAATCACAACGGTATTAATAAATTTTTCTGATTTAGATTAACAATATTTCAAATATTAATTTATAATTGCCTACTATACACCATGGCTGAATGCCCTTACCTCCCAGTCATCTAGGAATGTGAGCCCAAGAATGAGGCATCCAGTTAAATAAGCAATCTTCATAAGTATATGTTCATCTGTAAGAAGAAATGTTACATAACAAACGTGATCAAATTAAAATATAAATAAAAATTTTAGCACACATATACAGTATACTTTTATTCTTTGTGTAACAGACATCCAACATTTTCAAACAAAATTTGTACAGTACAGTATGTATTCATAAAATTTTAAATTTAACAAAAATTATTAAATTACAGTAGCTTGTTTTACTGTCCTATAAACCTGTAGATCTGCTACACCATTATAATAATTCATTCTGTCAGGGAACAGGCAGCGAGTTTATACATATAGAACATATTAGATTTATTTCGAGGTGCAAGGTGTCGAGTTACTGACCCTCCCCAGGATGCAACCCCACAACAAGTCGACTAATTCCTGGGTACCTATTTACTGCTTGGTAAACAGGGGCATTAAGAGAGGAGGAAAGCCCAACCATTCCTGTCCCGCTCAGGATTTGAACCTGGAATTCTCAATTGTGAGCCAAGAACAAACCCGACTACTACTGGGATCCCAAAATTACATACATCAATCATTCTCAAGATATATTTCCTATAAAAAAGATATTTCTGGAATAGTTTTAGTAGCCAGTGATAAGAGAATGCCTGAAAAACAGCTCATGATGTTTACTAGATTGGTAAATCTAGACAAAAATATACCCGTTTGTGACTTATTTCATCAAGGCCTGTGTAGATGACAGTGAGTGTGAAGATTAACTTAGGTCAGAACATTTTCTTCATTCACATTCCATCTTAATATTCCAGATGAAAACAGTCTGCATTTTGCAGATTTCACAATTCACATCGTACTCATGTACTCCTCAGTATATTGCAGAAAAATGTAACAAACTACTGTATAGCAAATCATTAAATGTAAAAGGAGAAGCAAACTAAGTTTTAAAGAACATTCCTACCTGGGCTGTAATAAGATGCTCCCACACCAACTGACATGACACCTGCAAATTAAAAATAAAGTATACAGTATTGATTATATTGCATGTATTAGGACTTTTCAATATATAATAACTGCTTTAGTAAATTTTTAAATATTAAATAATATAGATGTACGATACTTTATATTACTGGAATAAAATAGGTACTGTATTATACTGTACAATCACTTATGGATGTCATCACTCAAAATGCAAAGTTTTGTTTCAAGGAAAAAAAATTGTTTATTATTGCATGCACACAAAATTAAAATAATAATAAATAAATAAATAAATATGTTTATTCAGGTAAGGTACATACATACAAGTGATGTTACATTAATGGATTGATATATAGATAGAGCTAGTACATACAATGCCTAAAGCCACTATTACGCAATGCGTTTCGGGCAAGAAAAACATTAATATCTAGAACTTAATACTAATTGAGCATAAAGAATAAAAAGTGTTGAAAACAAATACAAATAAAGATAAAAAAAAGGGGGAACATGACTGAAAAAGCAGCACAAATACAATAGGTTGACAAACAGTGTTGATTAAAAAAAAAAAAAAATAATAATAATACAATAAAATAACAGACATGGGTTGACAATAAAGGAGTGAGGTGGGTTACAGGGAATTTATTAGGTAGTGTTTAGTTTTTATCTTAAACTGGTTGAGAGAGGTACAGTCTTTAACATGGTTGGGAAGGTCATTCCACATTCTGGGTCCCTTGATTTGTAGAGCATTTCTAGTTTGATTAAGTCGTACTCTAGGAATATCAAAACTGTATTTATTCCTGGTGTGGTGCTCATGGGTTCTGTTACAACCTTCAATGAAGCTTTTGAGGTCAGGATTGGCATTACAGTTCAGCGTTTTATATATGTATAATACACAAGAGAGAATGTGCAGTGACTTAATATCTAACATATTCAGAGATTTGAGTAAGGGTACCGAGTGATGTCTGGGGCCAGAGTTGGTTATTGTCCTAATAGCAGCTTTGTGTTGGGTAATGAGAGGACGTAAATGATTTTGGGTAGTAGAACCCCAAGCACAAATACCATAGTTGAGGTATGGATAGATGAGGGAGTAATAGAGAGTAACCAGGGCAGGGCGGGGTACATAATATCTGATCTTAGAAAGAATGCCAACAGTTTTTGAAACTTTTTTTGATATATTTAGAATGTGACCCTGGAAATTCAGCTTGTGGTCGATGAGAACGCCAAGGAATTTGCCATCTAATTTGTTACAAATTTGGGTATTGTTTATTTTGAGATTTATCTGATTAGAGGATTTATTGCCAAACAGAATATAAAACGTTTTGTCAATGTTAAGGGTGAATTAGGTAGGAAGGTAGGTAAATATAATTATTTTTATTGTTGGTGTATTATTCTTGTAGTAAAGCATTGTAATATGGAAATTTTTCCCCATTACTGATAAGCATGTTAAGTTTATCGAGGTCCCCCAAGACTAATGACTGACCCAGGTATGCAATCCACAACAGTTGACCAACTCCTAGATACCTATTTACTCCCAGGTGAACAGTGGCACGAAGTATAAGGAAACATGCTCAAACATCTCACCCTGCTTGGAAATCAAATTTGGGTCCAATTGGTTACTAGCTGACTGTACTAACCACTGCAGTTATAATTGTACAGTAGAGCACTGTTGAAACCCAAAGGTAATTTAAAAAAATATAAAAGCTGACAGCAGCCTGACAGCTGAGTGGACAGTGCTTGGGATTCGTAGTCCAAGGTTCCGGGTTCGATCCCCGGTAGAGACAGAAACAAATGGGCAGAGTTTCTTTCACCCTGATGTCCCTATTCACCTAGCAGTAAATAGATACCTGGGGTTATACAGCTGCTACAGGTTGCTTCCTGGGGGAATGTAAAAAAAAAAAAAAAAAAAAAAGACCTGGTTGAGGACCGGGCCACGGGGGATGCCAAGCTCTGAAATCATCTCAAGATAACCTCAAGATAACAGCCCTGACAAGATCAAGTACCTCCAGGCAGCAGCACTAGCAGGATCCAGTACATCCTGGCAGCTGCTCTGGCAGGGTCCAGTACCTCCTGAAAGCCACACTGACAGGTCTAAGAACCTCTTGACAACAGCTCTGGCAGGACCAAGAACCTCCTGACAACAGCTCTGGCAGGACCAAGAACCTCTTGACAGCAACTCTGGCAAGACCAAAAACCTCCTGACAGCATCTCTGGCAGGACCAAGAACCTCTTGACAGCAACTCTGGCAGGACCAAGAACCTCCTGACAGCAGCTCTGGCTGGACCAAGAACCTCTTGACAGCAACTCTGGCTGGACCAAGAACCTCCTGGAAGCACCAAGAACCTTCTAGCAGCAGCTCTTGAACAGAGAACCTCCAGGCAGTAGCTCTGGAAGGACCAATCATTTCTTGACAGCAGTTCTGTCAGATCATCATGAGCCTCCTAACAACAGTTCTGTCAGGACCAAAAACCTCCTGACAGCATCTCTGGCAGGACCAAGAACCTCCTGACAACAGCTCTCGCAGGACCAAGAACCTCTTGACAGCAGCTCTGGCTGAACCAAGAACCTTCTGACAGCAGCTCTGGCTGAACCAAGAACCTTCTGAGAACAGTTCTGTCAGAACCATGAACCTTCTAACAACAGTTCTGTCAGGACCATTAACCTCCTGACAGCAGCTCTGACAGGACTAGTTCCTCCTGACAGCAAGTCTGACAGGACAAAGTTCCTGCTGAAAGTCGGCTGGGTGCCGTATGCAAAACAGAGCCCATCGCCCTCTTCTCACCAAAAGTTGAATCATCAATCCTGTGACGACTTTTCCGCAGAAGACGTTTCCCCTGCCAGACTTCCAGGTGCCACAGACACTCACCGACAAAGATACTCCATGACCTGACCCCAGGAGCCACAGACAGGTGAAGAACCTCCCGGGTGTTGACAGAAACGTTCATTTTGCCTCCTGCATGTCCCCTCCAGCGGGCCGCGCCTCCTCCACTGTTTATATTCGAACCCCAGTTGGAAACAGACCCAACTATAGGATGGGTTAACCCAAGTATCGCACTTCCAAAAGGGTCGCCCAAGTTGGAAAAGACAAACGCTGAAAGAATATTGTTGAAAACATCTTGATAACTGATTAAACCAAAATTATTTATTAGTCAGAAGAAAGACAGAAACGCGATCTATATGCAAAACCTCTACCAGACAAATATTTTAAGTAAAACCGAAGATATTTGTAATTGTATAAAAGTGGCAGTTTTCATCGCTCGTCAAACTCGAAAACCGCAGCATTCATCTCAGAACCATGTCTATTTCACGCAGATTCCTTAATAAACGTAAGAGTTTTATATGTCACAAGAAAGATAGATATATAAGCTTCGTTCTAAATACCTTACCATGGGCATATTTAAATTTAAAGCGAAGATACGTGTACTTTTATAATAGCCGAGCTCCGACTCCGGACAGATCGATCGACGGAGCAACTCTCTCAGAACAATGCCTATTTCACGTAAATTTGTAAATAATCGTAAATTTTTTATATGCCTCAAGAAAGATAGGAATATAAGGCTCATTTTAAACACTTTATCATAGACATAATTAAAGTTCTAATGAAGATTCATGTATTTTAATAATCGCCGAGCTCCGACCCCCGCATAGACTGAGCGACAGAGCAACTCTCTCAGAAGAATGTTTATTTTACGTAAATTCGTTAATAAATACAAATGTTTTACACGTCTTAAGAAAGATAGAAATATAAGCTTTATTTTAAATACATTACATTAGACATATTTAAAGCTCAAGTGAAGATATATATGTTTTTATAGTGGCGTTCAGTAGCTTTTCGGTCATGGAGTGCAGACGCCTACGTTCAAGTTCAAGTCGCCGGTGTCCGGACACATGAAAGCTACTTAGGTATCAGTGGCCAGCCAGGTGGAGATCACAGGCTGTACAATACTGATAAATTATGTAATTCACAGAGATACGTTGATAAATATTAATGTTTTATATTTTATTAAAAATACAGATATATACTTTGTTTCATACGTTAAATGTAACAATATTTCAGTATATATTATATAAGCATAGTATATATAATTCAGTATATACAATATATAATAAGAGTGTCAGACCACGGAGGAAGAATTGAAACAGGAATTTCCTTTAGTACTTTCTTATATTAATACATCTTCAGAGCGAACCATTCCTTCTGAAGATGTATTAATATACGAAAGTACTTAGAGCATTCTATTGTGGTTTTAATATTGAACAATTATACATATACGAAACAGACAAATCTGGTGTCCAAAATAGTAAAAATATTAGTGTGCGATGTGATCAATGTAAGGGAGATATTGGGTGTGCCTCGTATCCCCTACAACAACAAGAAGTTCGAGAGCGATGAGGCCGCCACCTACTAGCTTCAGGATGTCGTCGAATCTAAATCAACAATATACTATACCGCCGCTACTTTCTCGGAAACGTAAGTACCTGCCGCTTTACTTCTCTCACCCTGCCTAGCCTGGCCTGGCCTGACCTGGCCTAGACAGACCTGACCAGACCTGACCTGGCCTAGCCTTACCTAGCCTAGTCTGACCTGGCCTAGTCTGACCTGACCTGGCCTAGCCTTACCCAACACTAATCACCACACGTGACAGCCCAAACGAATCGCAAATAAGTACACGTAACAAGTCATTTGCCCGGACACTCTTTCACCTTGGGGACTGAGTGGTAACTATTGTATAGAAGAGCCGGCTCCCTGAGAGTGGTAAGAGGGCGTGATAAGAGGCTAACGTGTGGTCTTGAAGGAAGTCGATAAAGCAGACAATTTTCAAAAGGAAGGGCAGCATAACGAGCAGACAGGAATGGACAGACAGTCGGTTATCCCATAATGTGTAATAAGCCCCGCACAGCATGGGTGGAGTGGGGGGGGGGGTTGTAGCAGGGCACAGTATGGTGATGGTGCGGGTGAAGTACACACCCACTGAATTCCTGCCATCAATAATTGTTTTCATAACCATTAGAACAATGGCATCCCTCCAGCCACCATCCTTCCACTGACCCCCTCCTCTGGTCCTCCACCTCAGACAATAACCCCCCACACCCCCTCTCCCTTCCAGACATCAGCATGTCAAAATCAGTACCATAATGTGTTTAAACTATTTAAACTAAGTCATTGTGTATCTCAAGGTATCTTAATTAATTTGAAAGTGTACATGTGCATTCGTTCATATACTCGCCTAATTGTGCTTGCTGGGGTTGAGCTCTGGCTCTTTAGTTCCAACTCTCAACCGTCAATCAACAGGTGTACAGGTTTCTGAGCCTATTGGGCTCTATCATATCTACACTTGAACCTGTGTATGGAGTCAGCCTCCACCACATCACTTACTAACGCATTCCATTAGATATAATCATATATGATTACACATAATCATAATCATTCTATACACATAATCATATATGTGTACGTCAACGTATACATACATGCGTATATATACCTCATATTAAAATACTGATAAACGAATGACCATGAACAAATTAATTTATAATTGTAGCATTATATATAATTTTAATAGACTAATTACGTGTTTATACATTTGAATGGTCCAGACAGGTGGCCAGCCTTGGACATATACACTTCTGGTAGGCACAATGACCTCATGTTAGACCCTTGATAGATTATGTGAGAGAGAGAGAGAGCTGGGGCAGGGAGGTGCGTGCCCCAGGGAGATAATCCATGCCCATGCCCCGCCTCGAGGTCAGTTCTCGAGTCACACCAAGAATAACAATCGAGCAAGTTGTCCTGACCAGGATGTGGCATATTAGGGAGGGTTGAGGAATAGGAAGCCTGTCTGATAGGGCTCTTGGCAAGCAGCTCTCCCTCAGTCTACCTATCTATATGGAAGAAATGTATCTAGGCCCTCCTCCCCCCTGCCTATTCTCTCTCCCCCACCTTTCTTCCTTCATTTCCTCCCTCCTTCCCTTCCCCTCACTGGTGAGAGAGTAGGAGTGTGAGAGTAGTTAGAGAACTCGTAGTTCTCACACTCGTGAAATTGTCTGCGACCCTGGAGGAGTAGAGCGGAGGGGGGGATGAAAGTAGGTGACGATGGAGGAGTAGAGGGGAGCATTATATGCAGTGAACGTAGGTGTCTATGGAAGAGTACATCATAGAGGAGGGTGAAAGGAAGGTGACGATGGAGGAGGAGAAGGGAGGGGGTGTGAAGGTAGGTGATGATGGAGGAGTAGAGGGGAGGAGGGGGGCAAAGGTAGGTGTCTATGGAAGAGTACATCATAGAGGGGGGTGAAGGTAGGTGGCGATGGAGTAGAGCAAAAGGGGTGGGGGTTGAAAGTAATCCTGAGTTTAATTTTTTAGTTATATATAGTGACACCTCGGCTTACGAATGAATATTTATGAACTTTTCGGGTTACGAGCCTAATTTCTTCGAAAAATTTGAATCGGGTTACAAACTTTGCCTCGGGAAAGGAGTTTGTTGATATACGTATGGGCTGACCTAGCGCGTGGTGGCATGGTGATCGCGCCTCAGTTTACCAGTGTCTCCTGCCTAGTAAGTATCGCGCCTGAATTCTTTGTAAAGCATTACATTTGTTTTGGGATTTTTGGCTATTTGAACATAAAATTTGTTATGATATATCTTGCCATGAGTCCCAAGAAAGCCAGTGGTAAGGTTCAAGCCAAGAAAACACATGTGAGAATGACCATAGAGGAAAAACAAGAGAGCATTCATAAACATCAAAATGGTGCACAGGTTGTTGAACTAGCTAGGCAGTACAACAAATCTATGTCAAATATATGCACTGTACTTGCTAAGAAAAAGGACATTATGAACATTAAATTGGCAAAAGGCATATCAACAATCCCGAAACAAAGAACACAAACACTTGAGGATGTTAAAAAGTTTTTATTAATTTGGATACACAACAAGGAGTTAGCAGGTGATAGCATTTCAGAGGCCATCATTTGTGAGAAACCAAGGCATTTGCATGAAGACCTTTTAAAGAAAACCCCTGGAACGAGGGGGGAGGGAAAAATGAATCAAGTTTGAAAATGTGAAAAGTTTGTGTGACAATAGAGCCTCGTGGAAAACTTTTGCTGTGGTCATTACCTGGTGGAATGCACCCAGGATGGAGTATTAGGGCTATACATCTTTTAAATCATAAAAGTAATAAACATTTCCCATCAACCTTACAAACAATATTAACCTATTTTCATGTATTTCCCCCATGTGCATTTTAACAAAGTTGCTAAATTGCCTTTATCATTCTGTAAAATTTCAATTACAGTACTGTATGTATAATTTTGTTAGTATAAATGGACTGAATATTCTGAAATTGCTATTAATTTTACAATTTCAGATTCAAAGGTGGTCTGGACACCCAATTTGGTCAGACAGGTGAAGAGAGCATTTAGGATAGTTCGAAGAGATGAAGATGGTCGCAATTGTGTTCGAAGAGGCAAATGCCCCCCTTTGCTCCTGACATTATGTTCAACCATTGACCTCTGCACACCTAACACAAGGTAGGTTGAAAAGTCCTCCTTCATGTCATTGGTACATTAGCCAGAAACTCAGGGCTCATGTAGGAATATCCCTAAAAAAAAAAAAAAGTGGCCCCAACAATGCATCCTCCAAGCCTGGAGGATGAGCAGGAGCATTGTCGAGAAGCAGGCCCTTTAGTGTCAAACTTTTCTCTTGCAGATATTTTTTGATGGCAGGGCAAACCACTCTACATCACAGTTTTTCTGCACGTTATATATTTTTTAAAACTCTTGGATTTTCGGAATGATACACGAGCAAGGGTTTAATTTTCAAATCGCCACACAGCACAAGAGTTAGCCTATCCTGACACAAGTTAGCCCAAGTTAGCTTGTGTCCGGGCAGTGACGTCTCCTCTTGGGTAATGTATGTCCTCCTCGGCAATTTTTTCCAGAATAGCCATGTCTCCTCACAATTAAACACTTGTTGTGGAATATATCCATCAATACAGTATCTACAAAATCTTTAAAATCACAAACAAATCTTTCAGCCCCTACTTTGTCTGAGCTGGCACCCTCACCATGCCTCACAACACTATGAATACCACGTCTTTTTTCAAAATTTCTCAAACCATCCCCTACTCACCTTAAACTCTTTTGTATCTGCAAAACTCGTTCTAGGGGTTTTCTTTATAAGATCTTGCATGAAGATTTCATTGTTGACCAAACCACACACTGGAAATTGAATAGACGACGACATTTCGATCCGTCCTGGACCATTATAAAGTCGATTGTGATGAGATGAGGGAAGCAAGAGTATTAAGTAGGCAAGAGAGAGAGGTGAGGAGATGGCAAGTATGTACGTATGTACATGAATAAAACATGTACATACTTATACATAACGTGTGTAAATAGTGTAATAAACACAATAACAGTATTTTGGGAGGAGGAATGTTGGCGAGTAATGTGTTGGGGGAGGGAGGGAGGACTGGCAGGGTGTGGCAGCTCACTCATGTTTTTTGGGCTCACCATACCAACATAGTGGATCGTTATGGTGAATTCAATTATCGTTATGGGTCTTCAACCTCCTGTGGGGGGTCTTTAATCTCCTGTGGGGGGGTTTTAACCTCCTTGGGGGGTTAAACCTCCTGTGGGGGTCTTTAACCTCCTGTGGGGGGTCTTTAACCTCCTGTGGGGGGTCTTTAACCTCCTGTGGGGGGTCTTTAACCTCCTGTAGGGGTTTTTAACCTCCTGTGGGGGTCTGGAGCTCTATCGACTGGGATATGAGTAGTCTTGATAAGAAAAGTTTCCAAATACAGCATCCTGCCGCCAAACAGATTACATATTCTAACATCACCTCACAACATATCGCATCACATCAACATATCACCCCACCTCACGTCACTTAATCACCTCACGTAGACTCGCTTAACATGACCTCATCTCTCGTCTCTACCGACAGCATCAGGAAGGTGGACGCGATGCACTGCAAGGCCAAGTACTGTAGTCTGCTGGGAGCTGACAAGCAAAGACGATGCTGCGACGTGTACAGCCAGTGCTGCGCCTACGCCAACGTCCCTCACAGCAACAGTAAGTCGAAGCCCTTGTAGAGGGCAGGACGGGGTAGGCCTTGCTGCAGTCTGTGCTCGTGGATTATAGGGAGGAGGAGGTGGTGTTGGTCTTGTTAAAGTGGTAGGTCAATGCTTGTGGGGGGACGGGGGTCAAAGTTACAGTAGTTGAACAACATCTCAACTTTTCTCTCTTATACTTGGCCATTAATTTAGAATTTAATGTTTAATTGTATTAGTATTTGTTGGTTAAGTATTGCAAATGATGACCCCGAGTTTTAATCGTTGAATCTCTTATGATTTTTCAGTGTTGAAAGACCTAAAAGGTGTTTGTTTGGTTCTATACTAATTTAATGATTGTTCCTTTATGAAGCGGCTTCATAGTGAGTGAACATTTGGCCAGGAGAATGGATGGTGATAAGTTATAAGTTGGCGATTATAACGGGAATATTTTTTAGTATTAAAATGTGTTCAACTTGCGTTCTCTTCTGACAGATCCCTTCTACTTCGAGAAGAACCCTGTGAACTACTAGCCAGACCAATGGAATGATTGACACTTCAGACATCAATCATCCGTCAGCCATCTATCAGCCCGTAAACCTGTCAGCCAATCGCTGTTAAACGTCAAGCTTAATGCCGAACTTTCTGATCAACCAAATCGGCTCCAATTCATGGATTCTCCTCTCGAACACCAGATGAAGATGATCACCAGATGATCCTACGCATACGCCGGCTCGATGAGCATTTAAATGTGTTTTTTAACTATACTGGCGATATAGATCTACTCAACCTCTGCTAGTCTCAGTGCTCTCTCTCTCTCTCTCTCTCTCTCTCTCTCTCTCTCTCTCTCTCTCTCTCTCTCTCTCTCTCTCTCTCTCTCTCTCTCTCTCTCTCTCTCTCTCTCTCTCTCTCTCTCTCTCTCTCTCTCTCTCTCTCTCTCTCTCTCTCTCTCTCTCTCTCTCTCTCTCTCTCTCTCTCTCTCTCTCTCTCTCTCTCTCTCTCTCTCTCTCAATTACGTATATTATCATCACCTCAAAAACCCATAATTTAAGAGTGCATCAAGCAGCATCGCATAGAAACTCCCTCATAATGAATACTGTCAAAATGTAGAGAAGTTGAAGAAATATATTGAAAAGTTGCGGTTTTGTGCTCCAAGTTACCCAAAACTGCGTCCCGGTGTTAAGCAGTTGCCTGACTTCCATTTTAATACACCCAGCTGTTGTACCATTAGTTTGAAAACATTGAGAGCTTTCAGCAGTCAGATCCCCGCATATGGGAAGGCAAGTGCTCGTTTTCATCAAATCCTCGCCAGCCAAATTTGGTGAAATGAGACAGTTTTACCGAGAAAGCTTTCGTAACTTTGAGAAATTGTAAGTTTCGCCTAAACTATTTTTGTAAAAAGCATGTATGAGTATATTATATATACATTATATTTTATATTATAAAGTAGTAGTGTGAGTGAAGAAAGATGAACATTCTATACCTGCAAGATCTTCAGTGCTTATTTTCCTATAGGAAAATAGAGCTATATTGAAGGCTATTATGCTAGATAAGGCATTTCAATCCGCCTCCTGGTTCTATTACTCTTTCCCCACCTCTCCTTTCTTCCCCTACCTCCCTCGCTCCCTCTCTATCTCCCTCCTTCATTCCCTGTATCCTTCCCTCTCCTCTATATGATTGCTGTGATTGATCATAAGTGATATTTCATTATTCCTGTACCTACTTTTAGTAATTTCCACTGGTGAAATGAGTTTCTATTAGTTGCAGTATAGGTACTCCTCAAGGCTGGAGGAGCACGTACAGGTACCCCTCCAGCCTGGAGGAGCACGTGCAGGTACCCTCCAGCCTGGAGGAGCACATACAGGTACCCCTCCAGCCTGGAGGAGCACGTACAGTACCCCTCCAGCCTGGAGGAGCACGTGCAGGTACCCCTCCAGCCTGGAGGAGCACGTGCATGTACCCCTCCAGCCCGGAGGAGCACGTGCAGGCACCCTTCCAGCCCGGAGGAGCACGTACAGGTACCCCTCCAGCCCGGAGGAGCACGTACAGGTACCCCTCCAGCCTGGAGGGGCACGTGCAGGTACCCCTCCAGCCTGGAGGAGCACGTACAGGTACCCCTCCAGCCCGGAGGAGCACGTACAGGTACCCCTCCAGCCTGGAGGGGCACGTGCAGGTACCCCTCCAGCCTGGAGGGGCACGTGCAGGTACCCCTCCAGCCTGGAGGAGCACGTACAGGTACCCCTCCAGCCTGGAAGAGCACGTACAGGTACCCCTCCAGCCTGGAGGAGCACGTACAGGTACCCCTCCAGCCCGGAGGAGCACTTACAGGTACCCCTCCAGCCTGGAAGAGCACGTACAGGTACCCCTCCAGCCTGGAGGAGCACGTACAGGTACCCTTCCAGCCCGGAGGAGCACGTACAGGTACCCCTCCAGCCCGGAGGAGCACGTGCAGGTACTCCTCCAGCCTGGAGGAGCACGTGCAGGTACTCCTCCAGCCTGGAGGAGCATGTGCAGGTACTCCTCCAGCCCGGAGGAGCACGTACAGGTACCCCTCCAGCCTGGAAGAGCACGTACAGGTACCCCTTCAGCCTGGAGGAGCACGTACAGGTACTCCTCCAGCCTGGAGGAGCACGTTCAGGTACTCCTCCAGCCTGGAGGAGCACGTGCAGGTACTCCTCCAGCCTGGAGGAGCACGTGCAGGTACCCCTCCAGCCCGGAGGAGCACGTGCAGGTACTCCTCAAGCCCGGAGAAGCACGTGCGGGTACTCCTCAAGCCTGGAGAAGCACGTGCAGGTACTCCTCCAGCCCGGAGAAGCACGTGCAGGTACCCCTCCAGCCCGGAGGAACACGTGCAGGTACTCCTCAAGCCTGGAGGAACACGTGCAGGTACCCCTACAGCCTGGAGGAGCACGTGCAGGTACCCCTCCAGCCTGGAGGAGCACGTACAGTACCCCTACAGCCTGAAGGAGCACGTGCAGGTACCCCTCCAGCCTGGAGGAGCACGTGAAGGTACCCCCTCCAGCCCAGAGGAGCACGTGCAGGTACCCCTCCAGCCTGGAGGAGCACGTACAGGTACCCCTCCAGCCTGGAGGAGCACGTACAGTACCCCTACAGCCTGGAGGAGCACGTGCAGGTACCCCTCCAGCCTGGAGGAGCACGTACAGTACCCCTACAGCCTGGAGGAGCACGTGCAGGTACCCCTCCAGCCTGGAGGAGCACGTGCTGGTACCCCTCCAGGTTGGAGGACAAGTACAGGGACTTCTTTTGTAGTACAAACCAATAATTTTACCAATAATTTGAAAACTGTTGCGATTACTTCAATCATTACTACAAATATTAAGACATTGACGTTCAATTCAAGACATACTTATTGCAACTATTTTTTTTACTGTAAGTCTAAACATATGCTTACATGTGTTTAAATTATAATTGTATTACCACTCTCTCTCTATGTATTACTTCAACTTTATTGCTGCCAGGATCTAGGATATATATTTTTTTCTTTAAGAAAAATGGTTTAAAGTGCTTAATAAAGTCATATATATTTTAGGTATAAGTCTTAACTAAAGTACAAAATATATATTACATTTGAGCTTTGATTGTGTTTTGACTTTATCCTGCTGCAAGAGATTGGTTTTGTGTGTAGTTAGTTATACAGGAAGGAAGGAGGAGGAGCAAGAGGTATATCTTCCTTACTTGTCCCTTTTTTATGTAGTGAAATTTGTCACAGCTGAGAACAGTAAAGTGAAAGAATAGCAAGCAGTTGGTATGGGACTACAGGTGCCTAACAACCAGGGCTAACACCTACATTAACTTCAGTGTTGCACAACCAGGTGGCGCTGCCACTCAAAGGAAATCAGCCAAGTCCTGTAATTACAGAGAACTGGATCACCATTAAAATTTTGTCCCTATTGCTTCTGAGACACACGGCGCCTGGGGATAAGAGTGCCACCAGTTTTTTTTTTAAGGAACTGGGTTCTAGGCTAATTGAAACAACAAGAGACCCTAGAGCTGCCAGCTTCCTTTTCCAGCGCCTCAGTGTATAATCATATATAGCTACTTTGTAGCCCAAAATTGGGCTACTTTGTAGCTAATTGATTTTTGCCCGCCAGCTGCGAAAATCGCATGGTTTTTGGCCGCTAGCGGCAAAAATCGCATGGTTTTTGGCCGCTAGCAGCGAAAATCGCGTGGTTTTTGGCCGGTAGCGGCGAAAATCGCGTGGTTTTTGGCCGGTAGCGGCGAAAATCGCGCTATTTTTGCCCGCCAGCTGCAAAGATCGCATAGTTTCTGGCCGCTAGCGGCGAAAATCGCGCGATTTTTGGCCCCTAGCAGCGAAATTCGCACGATTTTTGGCCGCTAGGGGCGAAAATCGCATGGTTTTTGGCCGCTAGCGGCGAAAATAGTGTGGTTTTTGGCCGGTAGCGGCGAAAATCGCGCTATTTTTGCCCGCCAGCTGCAAAAATCGCATGGTTTCTGGCCGCTAGCGTCGAAAATAGCGCGGTTTTCGGCAGTTAGCGGCAAAAATCGCCCGATTTTTGGCCGCTAGCGGCGAAAATCGCACGGTTTTTGGCCGCTAGCGGCGAAAATCGCGCTATTTTTGGCCAGTAGCGGCGAAAATCGCGATTTTTGCCCGCCAGCTGCGAAAATCGCATCGTTTTTGGCCGCTAGCGGCGAAAATCGCGCGGTTTTTGGCCGCTATTGGCGAAATTCGCACGATTTTTGCCCGTTAGCTGCGAAAATCGCATGGATTTTGGCCGCTAGCGGCGAAAATCGTGCAGTTTTTGGCAGGTAGCGGCGAAATTCGCGCGATTTTTGCCCGCTAGGGGCGAAAATCGCATGGTTTTTGGCCGCTAGCGGCGAAAATAGTGTGGTTTTTGGCCGGTAGCGGCGAAAATCGCGCTATTTTTGCCCGCCAGCTGCAAAAATCGCATGGTTTCTGGCCGCTAGCGTCGAAAATAGCGCGGTTTTCGGCAGTTAGCGGCAAAAATCGCCCGATTTTTGGCCGCTAGCGGCGAAAATCGCACGGTTTTTGGCCGCTAGCGGCGAAAATCGCGCTATTTTTGGCCAGTAGCGGCGAAAATCGCGATTTTTGCCCGCCAGCTGCGAAAATCGCATCGTTTTTGGCCGCTAGCGGCGAAAATCGCGCGGTTTTTGGCCGCTATTGGCGAAATTCGCACGATTTTTGCCCGTTAGCTGCGAAAATCGCATGGATTTTGGCCGCTAGCGGCGAAAATCGTGCAGTTTTTGGCAGGTAGCGGCGAAATTCGCGCGATTTTTGCCCGCCAGCTGCAAAAATCGCATGGTTTCTAGCCGCTAGCGTCGAAAATAGTGCGGTTTTTGGCCGTTAGCGGCAAAAAGTCGGGCGATTTTTGGCCGCTAGCGGCGAAAATCGCACGGTTTTTGGCCGCTAACGGCGAAAATCGCGGTATTTTTGGCCAGTAGCGGCGAAAATCGCGCTATTTTTGCCCGCCAGCTGCAAAAATCGCATAGTTTCTGGCCACTAGCGGCGAAATTCGCGCGATTTTTGGCCGCTAGCGGCGAAAATCGCGCTATTTTTTCCCGCCAGCTGCAAAAATTGCATAGTTTCTGGCCGCTAGCAGCGAAAATCGCGCGATTTTCGGCCGCTAGCGGCGAAATTCGCACGATTTTTGGCCGCTAGCGGCGAAATTTGCACGATTTTTGGCCGCTAGCGGCTTAAATCGCGCGATTTTTGGCCGGTAGCGGCTTAAATCGCGCGATTTTTGCCCGCAAGCTGTGAAAATCGCACGGTTTTTGGCCGATAGCGGTGACAATCACCCAGTTTTTGGCCGGTAGCGGCGAAAATCACGCGATTTTTGCCCGCCAGCTGCGAAAATCGCATGGTTTTTGGCCGCTAGCGGCGAAAATCGCGCGGTTTTTGGCAGGTAGCGGCGAAATTCGTGCGATTTTTGCCCGCCAGCTGCAAAAATCGCATAGTTTCTGGGCGCTAGCGGCGAAAATCGCGCGATTTTTGGCCGCTAGCGGCGAAATTCGCACGGTTTTTGGCCGCTAGCGGCGAAAATCGCGCTATTTTTAAGAACATAAGAACATAAGAACAAAGGTAACTGCAGAAGGCCTATTGGCCCATACGAGGCAGCTCCTATTCTATAACCACCCAATCCCACTCATATACTTGTCCAACCCGTGCTTGAAACAATCGAGGGACCCCACCTCCACAATGTTACGCGGCAATTGGTTCCACAAATCAACAACCCTGTTACTGAACCAGTATTTACCCAAGTCTTTCCTAAATCTAAACTTATCCAATTTATATCCATTGTTTCGTGTTCTGTCCTGTGTTGATACTTTTAATACCCTATTAATATCCCCCCGGTTATGTCCATTCATCCACTTGTAAACCTCTATCATGTCACCCCTAACTCTTCGCCTTTCCAGTGAATGCAACTTAAGCTTTGTTAATCTTTCTTCATATGAAAGATTTCTAATTTGGGGAATTAACTTAGTCATCCTACGCTGGACACGTTCAAGTGAATTTATATCCATTCTATAATATGGCGACCAAAACTGAACTGCATAATCTAAATGGGGCCTAACTAGAGCAAGATATAGCTTGAGAACCACACCAGGTGTCTTGTTACTAACGCTGCGATTAATAAATCCAAGTGTCCGATTTGCCTTATTACGAACATTTATGCATTGATCCTTTTGTTTTAAATTCTTACTAATCATAACTCCCAGATCCCTTTCGCAATCCGACTTCGCAATCACAACACCATCTAGCTCGTATCTTGTAACTCTATCATCATTACCTAACCTCAGAACTTTACATTTATCAGCATTAAACTGCATCTGCCAATCCTTTGACCATTTCAAAACCCTATCTAGATCAACTTGAAGTGATAGTGAGTCCTCCTCCGAATTAATTTCCCTACCGATTTTCGTATCATCGGCAAATTTGCAAATGTTGCTACTCAAACCTGAATCTAAATCATTTATATATATTATAAACAACAGAGGTCCCAGGACAGAGCCTTGAGGCACTCCACTTACAACATTTTCCCACTCTGACTTGATTCCATTTATACTAACTCTCTGTTTCCTTTGGTATAGCCATGCCCTAATCCAGCTTAATATAGCACCCCCAATACCATGAGACTCTATTTTTTTAATCAGTCTTTCATGTGGCACTGTATCAAAAGCTTTGCTAAAGTCAAGGTATACAACATCGCAATCCTTACCACTATCAACTGCCTCAACAATGCTAGAATAAAAAGATAACAAATTTGTTAAACATGAACGGCCATTTATAAAACCATGTTGTGACTCAATTATTAATTTATGTTTTTCAAGATGAAGACGAATTTTATTTGCTATTATAGATTCGAGTAACTTTCCCACAATAGACGTTAGGCTAATTGGTCGATAGTTAGACGCAAGTGATCTATCTCCTTTCTTAAAAACTGGTAACACATTAGCAACTTTCCAAAACTCTGGCACTCTGCCTGACTCTATTGATTTATTAAATATGGTTGACAGTGGGTCACAAAGCTCCTCTTTGCATTCTTTAAGCACCCTAGCAAACACTTCATCCGGCCCTGGGGATTTGTTTGGTTTGAGTTTTACTATTTGTTTAAGAACATCCTCCCTGGTAACTGCTAAACTCGTCAACCTGTCCTCGTCCCCACCCACATAGACTTGTTCGGCTGAAGGCATATTGTTAAGTTCCTCTTTAGTAAATACAGATACAAAATATTTATTAAAAATACTACTCATCTCTTCATCACTATCTGTTATTTGACCTGTCTCAGTTTTTAATGGACCTATCCTTTCCCTAGTCTTAGTACGATATAACTGAAAAAACCCTTTAGGATTTGTCTTTGCTTGCCCTGCTATGCGAACTTCATAGTTTCTTTTTGCTTTCCTTATCTCTTTTTTAACATTTCTAACCAGTTGTACGAATTCCTGTTCTAAAGTGACCTCCCCATTTTTAATCCTTTTGTACCAAGCTCTCTTTTTACCTATAAGGTTCTTCAAATTCTTTGTTATCCACTTTGGGTCATTAGTATACGATCTATTCAATTTGAATGGTATACTACGTTCCTGTGCTTTGTTTAGAATATTCTTAAATAAGTTATATATTGAATCCACATCGAAATCCCCATTTAAGTCACCTATCGCTGGGTTCATGTCTCGCTCCAAGACCGGCCCACACCCCATACCCAAGCCTTTCCAATCAATTTGACCCAAAAAATTTCTTAGGCTATTAAAATCAGCTTTTCGAAAATCTGGCACTTTAACAGAATTTTCTCCTACTGGTCTATTCCATTCTATGCTAAATCTGATTTCTTTGTGATCACTGCTCCCTAGCTCACTCCCTATTTCGATGTCATTAATTTGCGTTTCCCTGTTAGTTAACACTAAATCTAAAATATTATTTTCCCGTGTTGGTTCCTTAATGTGTTGCGTAAGAAAGCAATCGTCAATTAATTCTAGAAAATCTTCTGCTTCACTATTCCCTGTTTTGTTCAACCAGTTTATTCCGCTAAAATTAAAGTCACCCATGACATAAATACTGTTAGATCTAGATGCTCTAGATATTTCATCCCATAGATGCTTTG